CATACAGTATTATGAAATATACGATCGACTTGAATTTTGGTAAGCCCCGAGGCCAAAAATTGGTGTAAGAAGTGTTTTGATACCTAGGTTCAGTAACTGACTGTACTTGGTGCTCACTTTACGATCAACTCAGGTTCTCACCAAGCTCAGCCATGCCAATATTGTTACTGTATTATTGTCCACTCTGTATTTGTATTTTTCTGGCTAAATGAACTGTTTCAATATCAATAGGTGGGTGACCTAAGTATATGTTGAAATGAAGAGACACATTAACAATTGAAGGACATTTTATGATATAGAAAACTAAAAAAATTAATTCTGAAAAAATAATTTGCGGTTTCAGAATAACAAAAAAATCGGCAATAGTAGACGACTTACTGTACGATTTTCATAAGAAATAGGATTCAGGATGGTGTTTCCCAGCCTTGGCAAAATCCGAGTCGGACGTGAATTCTGTTTTAAAGAAAGTTTCACGCTGTTATTTCAATTAACATTCTGGTGCAAAATGCATGGAACAAAATTACAGTACCAAAGGCTTTACTTGCTTAAAGCTCCAGAGATCTTTTTTTTTTACATGCTTCTATTCATGTTCTTGCAAGCTTATCACTTCTTGGAAATCCATGGACAATCTTTTTCTTATTCTTCCCTCTAACTCTGCATAAAGCTACAGCATAAATTACAATTGCTATCTTAATCACTTTCAGAATTGCGCCTTCACAGCTGACAAGAGAAACAAAGGGGCGGAGCTAAGTGACGTCTCCATAGCTAGCCAATCAGCACACTGAACGAGTCGCTGATGAGTGATTAATTTTCTTTTTTTATTTAGTATCTGACTCTACAATATATTTAATGTCATTGCAGCATTTCATACCATAAGAAAACTTCAACAAAAGCTCAGATTTTTTTTTACAGAGCTCTACGAAAATGGTGCTACTGTGGGGTATTGGATGTTTGGTTCACACTCAGGATGGGATGGAGAAAGGAAACTCACAATGTGCTCTCATGTATACATGTTGTATTGGATGTACAATGCAGCTTGGTGCTGGGAAGGCAGCATGGTTACAAGCGTGATGTAGAGAGAGCTGGTTGGTGAGGATGCTCAGAGGAGGACAGCTTGTGGGTCGCCAAGCTCGCCGGCGGGAGCGAGGGCCACCAGGCAGGCGGAGGAGGAGGAGGAGGTGGTGTTGCTGACTGGTTGGTGTAGGTAGAAAGAGCGAGATCACCACGAGGTCAGGTCTTAAATAGCTGGGGTTGGCGTGGCTCAGTAGTTGACCCCCGCTCCGTGGGCGGCGCTGGTTGACCTAGACCACGAGGCACACACTGTAATTCGCAGGGTCGGCTATGCAGCGACAAACAGCGTTTGTAGGGGAGAAATGCACTACAAACTCACAATGTGCTCACTGTATACATATTGTATTGGATGTACAATGCAGCTTGTTGCTGGGTAGGCAGCATGGCAACAAGCGTTGAGTAGGAGAGAGCTGATTGGTGAGGGTGCCCAATGGAGCACGCGGCTTGAGGGACCCCGAGGTCGCCGGTGGGAGCCGCCAGGCTGGCGCGGAGGTGTTGCTTGCTGGTGGCACTGGGTAGAAAAGAGGCTGGTCACAGCGGTGTCAGGCCTTATAAGGCGAGGGTAGGCATGGGTAGATAGTTGACCCCCGCTCCGTGGGCGGCGCTGGAGGCGTAGGCTGGGGAATTCGAGAAGGTTCAGTGCTTGTAGGGGAGGAATCCACTACAATACTCCCCTTCCATTCCGGGCACGGCAGGAGGCTGGAGGTTGGCAGAGTTGTGTGCCACATGTGAGGCAGAACGGGCGGTGCATGTCACATGTGGGACATAACGGCGAGAGCGTGGATGAACCGGCCGCTAGGTGGGGCAACTCTGTCTAGATACACGAGATCTGTGGGAGAAAAGAGGGGGAAGGAGGGTTGTGGAGGCGATGAATGTTGTGCTTCCCTCGCGACAGGTACAGAGTCCTCAGATGCGCCTGCTGGGGTGTATGGGCCTAGGTCAGGAGCAGGGGCTGCGTTAGGAAGTGTCCATGACAGCAGCAGGGTGCAGGATAGTAGCAGGGGGTACCTGAGGGAGAAAAAGAAGGGTGTGGGGGTCCGCGTCAGGAGCAGCAGGGGGTACTGCTGGGCCGGGGGCGGCGTCTGAGGCAGGACAGGTGTGTTGGGGTCGGTAGGACGTGGTGCATGGGGCAGGAAGAGGAGCAGTTGTCTGCTTAGAGTAGCAGAGCTGCTCTAGGGTGTCTAACCTGCGGTGTAGAGACAGTAGTTGTAGAGCCGATGAGAGCTGCCTCTGTGTGGATAAGCCAGTCTTCCATGTTGCTTGAAGACTGGGAGAGTGATCAGTTTCTCCTCCATCCTGTGCGAGTGCAAATCTCCGGGGTCACCATCTGTGGGGTTATGAGATATTGGTTAACACTCAGGATGGGATGGAGAAAGGAAACTCACAATGTACTCACTGTATACATATTGTATTGGATGTACAATGCAGCTTGTTGCTGGGTAGGCAGCATGGTAACAAGCGTTGAGTAGGAGAGAGCTGATTGGTGAGAGTGCCCAGAGGAGCACGCGGCTTGAGGGACGCCGAGGTCGCCGGCAGGAGCGGGAGCCGCCAGGCTGGCGCAGAGGTGTTGCTTGCCGGTGGCACTGGGTAGAAAAGAGGCTGGTCACAGCGGTGTCAGGCCTTATAAGGCAGGGGTAGGCGTGGGTAGATAGTTGACCCCCGCTGCAGCGTAGGCTGGGGAATTCGAGAAGGTTCGGTGCTTGTAGGGGAGGAATCCACTACACTACCTCTCATTCGATGTATACCTTGGTGTGTGGTGGCGGTGCAAAAGTGCCCACAGATCACAGCCACTGGCACTGTGTCCGGTTGTCTGGACTATGGGGCCAGACAAGTGAATTTTCATTTCCATGTGCTAGGCACTTGCTTTACAAAGAAACTAATATTTTGAGATGAAAATTTGTCAGGTGTTACATTATTTAACCAAGGATTAATGAACTATGTTCGTATGTGTAGCATTAAGATATGTATACTCAATGTTAGCCGAGACCTTAGATCATTTTAGCACAGTACCATGTTGAAGGCCCATCTGTACGTAATTTTGGTTAAGATTGTGATATGAGCCAATGAGTAGTACCTACGTTTTTGTCTGCTGTGCAATTGTTAGTCTATAACTAGTTACATTTACTTGTCCTAGAAAAACCAGAGAATTTCAGATGCATTGAAGTACAATATGCAAAATGCTGAAATTTACCAATTGTAATTAATCATTTGCTATGAAATGATCGCATTGTTAACCTGACAGCAGCTACCTAAGATGCGATTTCAAACTTATTCCTTTATTGTTTTACTACACCATTGAAAGCCCAGATACTGATTAAATTATAAAGATAAGAATTAAAAGATGCTACTTGCAATAGAATAATGTGCATACGAGTCAAATTAATAACTTTGAATTCACAAATCCGTCCTGCGGAAATATTTATTTACAACAGTTAGAGCAAATGTTCCATTGCTTACAGGGAATGGAGGTTGATGCTGCCTTGTGATGTAACCAGAGATAGAGATATGATGTCAGATGGTCCTCAGGTTGAGATGTGCCAAGTTCAGTGCGAGGGGTTTATCAAAGAGGACCTGCTGTAAAACACCGAGAATTGTCTCGCTAAAGTGTGGGTGTGAACCCCAAGCCCTGTACCACTGCAGAGGGCTGGATATATTCCTGCATGTCATCCTGAACCTGTATGTGCCACTATTGATGAGCCAGGGGCGGATCCAGGAATATCAATGGGGTGTCCGGATGGCATAGAAGAGACAACAGCAATGTGACATAGCTCTGCCCAGTAACACACTCACTTTTATGTATAAATAGCAGTAACTTGTATGGTGTTTATTCCTTTAAAAAAATTCTTGATGAAATGTCAGGAATAAAGCTCCATCTCTTAGCCATGTTTCCTTTGCTACCATTCTACCAAATCTAAAACTGTTGAGTAGAATTTTCTAATACATGTCAACAGCACCCTTGAAATGTTGGTTCTTTAACTCTTCCCTTCTCCTCCTTGTTTTACATGCACCCACCTTGCTTCAACCTTCAAAAATTCATCTTCTCATTTCTTTCTATCTCTTTCACCTTCCTATCACAATGTTATTGGTATCAAGTGATGACCCGACATTCCTTGTCATTCACCTAAAATTCAAATTTGTTATCCACCTTACAGTCCTCTTAACTACTCCCTGCTTTTATGTATATACTGTATATTAATTTATCTTTATTAAACAAAGTATTCCCCAATGTCAACCCTCTCTGTGGACATATCTATCAATCTCTTCTTTCCATTCTATCCTGGTTGTCCATATTTCTCCCAAACTGTCAACAACTCCTTTTCAACTTTTCATCCTGAAGCCTTTTATGTAGTTATTTAGATCTACCCAAAAATTATATTTTCCCTTCTCACTCTTTTCAATCACTGATGCATATGTACTCACTATAACTCGCATATCACTCCTTGTTTTAATTTGATCCATACTAATTTGAGACTAAGCCCTCATCACCCATATCATGCAAAATCCACATTTCATCACTCAAGTGCTGCTACTCCTTTTTCTCTTACTCTTTCAAACACTACAGACTTCCCTCTTCATCCATCTTCACACTGCTTTTTGCCTTTCAATTTTGTTTTGTACAAAACAAAACATCCAGGTTCCACTCACTTTTCAATCTAAATCACTCTAATTACATCCTTACACATTCAAATGCTTTGCTCAACTTTCTTTGATGTTCACTTTACCAACCGAATTTAAGGTGAAATTACTAGACCCATCCTCCTTGACATGGTGGGGAATATCTCTTCCCATGCCCATCACAAATAATGATCTACTGTATTTGCACCAATTATTTAAGAATTCATATTAAATGTCATATCCAAACAATTTAATGAGAAAGGCACACCAGTGCTCAGCAACATAATCCTGAAGATGGACATTACACATATATCCAAATTTAAATTTTTTATTCTGTAGTTTTCTTTTTCATGACAAGCAGTATTATTTCAAATTACTCTTAAGTCAATGGAATCTATTGTGATCAGTATGAAGCTGTCCTTTTTACCATTAACAATCTCAGCATTACCTGGCCCTAAGTTGACATTTGAGACAATAGGTATTAATACAGCATATAAGAAACAGCACCACATGACACTGACTAATTTTTTCTAAAATAAAAATTATTTGATTCCATAAAAATACAAGACAAGAATGAAGTGACAATTTCCAACTCAGATTTACTTAATTGTAAATGAATAATACAACTTGAAAGAGGAAAGAAAAAACATAACTGATTATCGACTTCATTATAGATACAAAATAATCTTAATGTAAATATTGGAAATGTTCAATTCACCATAGTTTCAGCATTACGAAGCGTACCCAATGAAAGTCAATGTCATTCAGGGATTGGTAAAGGTGTAAACTATATTGTGCTTTCTGTAAAATGACAGAACCTGAACAGCCATTGCTGACTGCAAATTTTTTACTGCACATAACATTACAACTCTTAATTTGCAATTTGTAATGATTGTATACATCGAACTCTCATAAGAAAGCCAAAATATAAGAATAAAATCAATAAAAAGTAAAAAATCTAGTTAAAGCTTCTCTTAGTCCTCATATATGTGGACAAAAGCAAAGTTGAAACGACTGTACACAAGCAATATATTGTTTAAATTTACAGAGAATTTTAAATTGGGTCAAAAGATTTAACACTGACTCAAGTTCAGAAAAGAACTACTTAAATCTCTTTGACACTGAGACCTGCACAAGAAACAAAGCAATAACAAAGAGGGTGCTACCAATACCATACAAGACTTTGCATTTACCATGAGTTGGCTCAAGCATAATACAACATTCATCTGTGCTATGATTACATTAACTTTGGTTTCACAAAAGCAATCGACTTCTCTCATTGTCAAGGCACAGAAGCAATAGAAAGTTTAATAAATCTTCATTAAATTAACATCCTAAAGATGATGTTACTGCATACAACATAAACTAAAGTCCCCTTTGTGGAAGATTAGTTCTGGAGGTACAGTATACAGGAATGCTTGCTACCTATAGCGCCAATACAGGGATAATGTCGATTTACCCCCTCAAAACTGGTTACAAAAGTTTCATGTGTAATGCACGAATTACAATCACATTTGCTTTATACAGCCAAGTTCAATTAATAAATAAACTTAATGTTATCCTTTGCCTTCAATATTTATATTCAACATAACAGGATGCATATATATCCATACCAACATAATTTTAATTTTTAAGCTAGTTACTGATGAAACTACATATCTTGAATAACACCTTGATAGCAACTTGTGCATATGATATGAATCAAGGTGTTTCACAACCATGACTGGTACTGCTATAGTGTCATCAACTTTAATTCTTACAGTCAACAGTGCACACCACTGTCTGAAGACAAACCAAGCTGCACAAAATCACAGTGTACAATTCCTAATTCAAACAATCATAATTCAAAAATAATGTAATTCTTGCAAAAGCCATTTGAAAATACCCAATAAAATGCGGAATCTTATTTCATGAGTAACATCTGATATGCTATATCAACTGGCTAGAAACTTTTTTAAAAATTTACTTTTTTATTTTTCTTGTCGATAATTCACAAATGTGGCAAAAATACAATGTCTAAACTCCCACAGTGACCTTTTATTATTAACATCTGTATGTAATTTTTACAGCTACCATATAGCAACATTAGATTCATGACATCCATTCTATACTCCCAAAGAACATTAATGTATTATAAGTTAGTCCATCAAGTTTGCATCTATCATAAAATATTGAAATTAATTTAAATTTGTATTAAATTTTTTTAAAGAAATCATTAATTTCAGTCAAACAGAACAAACATGAACAATATTCTTTGCTTAAACTAGCCATAGTCTACATCTAATGTGCAATTAGAAGGTCTTCCTATGAACTGCCCGAACACCATCCTCATCGTATTCACGTTTGCCAACCCACATGCGCTTAAAGGTGTCTAGCGAGGCAAGAATAGAACCACCAATCCACGTAGAATAAAGTCGCTCTGCTGGTGCCGAGATCTAAAATGGAAAATATGTATCTGTACATACATATCAAATAATAATTTTTCTTCAAGTAGTAATAGTGAACCTATTAGGTTTTTGTGGATAACCTCAAAACTACTGTAGTCTTCACTTGGTGTTTGTAAGTATACATGAAAATGATATAAGAAATAAGTGTTGATAGATGCACAAGGATATCATTTTATGTAATTTTACGATTTGGCATAAAAGCTGAAAGACAAAGCATTACTAAGAAAAGGTTCTATGGTAAAGGTAAACTTTTAACTACGTGTAATGATATTTGCATTATTGTTACAAGAGGATAATATGTAGGCAGACCCCAATTAATAAAAGCGTTACATTCCCAAAAAACTTCTTGTAAATCGGTGCAAATATTTCCCTGGACTCCTATTACAAAAGTCGAGTTCCCAAGAAGGAGAAGAAAAAGAAAAATTCTTAAAATGCCACATATTGCATTTCTAATGACATTTTTTGGTGTACACAATTATTATAAGACAATTATAAAACAATGTGAATTTAGTGAACTATATGTAGTATAGTAGAGTAATAATTTAGTTTACTGTATATCAGAGAAACTGGATGAAATTAGAAACAAAGTGAACAGTATTAAATGCCAAGTCAACAAACATACATATGAGAGAGAGATAAAATGAACAGTTCTTGATTCAAACTACTTTTTCCCATAAAAATGCAAGGAATTGCAAGCATGACCAACTTCATCTAAAGAGGTTAAGGAACCGACCTTATGAACCTGGCAGTTCACACTGTGCTGGTGTAAAAATAATCAAATATCTTTACAACTAGCCTTTGAAACATGACTCAACAAAATACTTACCCTGATTTTAATATCTTTCGGTGCTAGCTTCTTTACTTCAGAGAGCAATCGATCACCAAATCCCTTGAAAAGTGTTGAGCCCCCAGAAATTACAACATTTTGAAATAGAAGTTTACGTAGATCCATGTCTGATTTGTGGATAGCATAAAGAAGAACCTCGTGGATACCGTCACTCTCATCTCCAATAAGATGTGGTTGGAATAAAACTTCTGGTGCACGGAAACGTGCCTGGCCAACCTGAAAACATATAAAGATATATCAGGATTCTGTTATACCTGCCCAACTATTCAACAAATTCTTGAAGTTAACTTATTTTCTTTTACTATAAACTGTATATGCTGCCCAAACTACTACCAGGTAAAAGATAAACAAACCATCTAATGTAAACTATACTGAGAAACTCTCAACCTCTGCAATACAATAACAACACTTTGCAAATTCATTTTTCTGAAGCATTTCAGTTTTCTTTGCAGTACAGTACAAAATTTATTCAAACTTCTCTTCTCAATCATGCTCTGTTTAAACCCAGCTATTTGATATTTGAAGCACTTACCATAAATTTCTTCTTTCAGTCTATCTAATGATCTGGTTATAAATCTCCATTAAACTTGGTTTTTAAATGTACACTTTCTACAGTATAATGTAAAAAATACAGCACTATTATCCAACCAGTTTTGTGAATCTTCTAATTTCTGATCAAGATCACTCCCCCTGTGCTCTTACCCATCCAAAACCATGAAGCATTCCCATTTCAAGGGGTAAATTACTGATCAATGTAGCAGGACACAGCTAAGAAGTAAAATTTCCTTACTAAAAGGGTCTAGGGTCTCAACTGGTGGTGCCTGATGAACATTTGATGAGCTAATTGGGAAATGCAAACATTTCACAACTTAATAAATGTGAATTGAGCAACTCTATGCAGTCCAATTGAGCAACTCTATGCAGTCCAATAAGTCTTTAGGGTGAAACCCCAAGCACCAGGGCCTTTATATATGTCAGTTGATGATTCACCAGAGATGGAGTATTTCTTAAAACTTCCTAGTTGACTATCTCAAAACGGATATGAACAATTAGTACACTCATGCTGCTGACATCACATTCAACCCATGTCTTGTTGGAAGAATACATACACATGTAGCAGTGAAATTTGTGTCCAGAACTATATACGTACTGGTTTACTGACCACATGTTTGCCACACTTCTCTCCAGCCCACCCAATCGTGGCGTGACCACCCAAGGGAACAGACGTGCCCATAGGTGCTCTTGGCTTCCCGATCGTCCCACCAAGGTCCCCTCTGCCGGCACGTTTTGCCAGCATGGGGGGTCGACATAAACGTCCCAGACGAGGCTCTCTCATAAACGCAGACGCAGACATCTCTGATACTGATGCCATTACCAACTCGCCTGGTCATACTGAATCCAACACCCCTCAAGAGTCAGACCCCAGTGATTATGACAGTGACGCTAATGTTTCTATGGGAAACGCTAGCCACAGTGGAAACACCAATGCCATGGACCCTATCACCCTGCCCTCTGCCAAACAAACAAGTAAGCTGAATCTCCACTTCCCCAAGGACTCTCTGAAAACTGTAGAGGAACGCTTTAACTGGATGATGAAGTACTGCAGACAGCACGGTTTCAGCATTGAATTCCGACAAGGTAAGAACCGGAACTTTATCAAGTGTCAGACTCCTGAGGCCTATGAAACACTTAGTACTGTTGGCTTTGACGGGGTCGTCCTGCTGCCGCCCCCTGTAGACGCGGATGAATGTTGCTACATCCTAGTGAAACGTTTCCCCTTATACGCTGACATCGAAGATGCGCGTGACTTTAACTCTAGTATACTGAGTATACGTCGCCATTACCGGGGGAAGAGTTCCACAACCCGCTGTCATTGTCAAGTGGAAGGGAAGGGAGTGCCCAACCACTGTGAATGCCCACCCACTCTTACCCCCACTGTATGCAGAAGCCTTTCATCCTGAGCCTGCATTTTGTGTTGTCTGTTCTCATTGGGGTCACAACTTCACTGCCTGCTGTCGTCATGATCGGCCGAGATGTCGCTTCTGTTCACGTAACCACAACTCCGCCGCCTGTGCCCAGAAAATCAAAGACCACCTTAATAGTGGTGGGGTGGGCTATGTAATTAATCCCAGATGTTGTAACTGTGGCGGCCGGCACAATGCTGACTCACGGCAATGCCCCAATCGCCCGTCTGTCCCAGGGGAAAAGCCTCCCCGAAGGCCAAGTCTACCACAACGCCCCCCCCAGTCTTCCGGGCCACACCCCCCTGTGTACCCTGTGTCTCCAGCAATGCCTTCTTCAACAACACCTGCCTCTGCCTGGCCTCATCTGGCTACAACACAGCAGTCCCGGCCGTCTCCTAACTCAACTACTACTGGGCCTCCTCCTCGTCTCTACTCTGAGGCTGTCAGGCCTTGCGCTCCCACCGGTGCCCCCCCACAACCCCCCGCCAGTGACATGACACAGATCATATCCCTCTTCCAAGAATTTACCAACCGTATTAAAAAACTCTTCGCTACACTCTGTACCACCATCTCCCACCTACTCCTGCCCTCTGTTGCCACCCAGTCACTCCTCTCTGCTGGTTTGACACAAGCTGTTGGTCCCCCTGTGAGCCCCCCTGCTCACGGCCTACTCCACCGCCGGCGGCCTTCACTACTGGTGTAGTGCCTACCGGGCCTGCCCTGGTGTGTCCTGCTGCCCCCGAGCGAAGTCCTGCCCCATCCTCACAACACTTGGTGGCCTCAACCTGTCCACCACCCACCGCAAGCCGCGCCCGTGTCTGAGCTGTCTCCACCAGGGCTACCTGGACCTGAGGACACTACCCCCAGCTACCTGTACCCCACCGACATGTCGATGAACACACCTTCACAATCACACTAAAAGGTGTGTCCCTCAATGTTGTCAATGCCTATGTGCCTCCCTCCACCCCTACTGTACCTGCCCCACCACACCATATCACCTCCACCCCCACTGTACTTCGCCACGCCTAGTACATTGGCAACCCTGAGCCTGGCCGCACTGTTTGTAAACTTTGTGGTCAACAGACTCTCACACCCTCTTTCACCACATCCTCATCTGCCCTATGACCTCCCCCTACAAGGGTGGCACCTCTTCCCTTCCTGACCAGATATCCCTCCTCCTAGTGACAGGCCTGGCACTTGACATTATTAGTGACCTGCCACATTTTGCCATAAACAGATAAATTGTACCGGGAATTTTCCCCCACACACTCATCATTTCACTTTATGTAACTTGCTGACAAAACCCATGACCCTTCAGGCCTTTTACGCCCTTAATGCATGAGTCATAAAGGCAAGCATGAACTCCGCATGCTTCCCAGTTGGGCACTGTAAACGCTTCTGCGCTTCACCTTGCACAGGATGTAAGGGGGTGCCCAATAAACTAGTCCCCTCCGGGGCAATCTGTAAAAAATCTCTCCAGCCCATGACCACTTCCAAATACTGTTACATTTCCTCCACTTTGGCAACAACGTAGACCAGGTACTAATAATTTAGCTATGGAAGGCGAGTTTTGTTTGGTCTAACCCGAAGAAGAAATACAAGGAAGTTTCCATACCCTTCCAGAAATTTTTCATAAACGAGACTGATTTTATTTTCTGTGGTTGCATTTCTTTTATACAACAAGGACTGTCTATGCTCTTATTAAGTGCAGATTTAATAACCCCCCAAATTAAAAACTACAGTACTAAGAACATTCCTGCTATTCCAGAAAAAAAAACTCCTCCTTGGAAACAAAATATTCTGTTAGTAGCCTTAGGCCAGGCTGTGCATCTAGTTTAAAAAGTCAAAAGTGTCTCGCTTGATGGTACATTAATACACAATGTACAGTATAGTCTGCATTTATGCGGCCAATTGAACCCGTGGAGGTCTGCGTAAAACGAGAAACGCGTAAACGAAATAACAGAACATATAGGATTAATTGATATAGAGACTGGGCTGACCGCCAGACTACCTTTTTCCGACAATACGTACGTTGTAATAAAAATAACATCTTAATTTCATGATGGTATGCACACACAATCAATATTTAAGTAGAAAAGATGGCTGGGCACACGGGGATGGGGGGTTGGTTCCGAGGCAGAGGGCAGATTATTGGCCCTCACCTGCATCACTTGTATCAATTGTATCACTATCCACCACAGAGGCTTGCAGGGCCTCTTTGTCAAACCCCTCAAAGTCCATATCCTCACTATCACTGACTTAGGCCAGCTGTGGTGGGCGGCGGGTGAAGAACTCGGTAATGTTTTGATGACTGGGTGACCTTGTGCGCACCCTGCCCGTGCCGCTTCCCGCGTAAATGATGAAATTTACCGCGTAATTAAAACATTTCATTCTGGCAAGGCACCGAGTAAATGACCAAACGCGAAAACAAAAACCCCGTAAATCCAGACTATACTGTACATTAAAAAAATAATAAACCGGGACAGGTAATGTGACTGGCATTTCATTTTACCCCGTCACTTCCTAAGCACATACCAGTGAATCTGACAGGAGTACATTATATCCACTCAGTCACTTCATCTGGTATAAAATTATCTTATAAGAAAGAAAATCTCACCTCAACCATTGATCCATCTGGCAACTGATAAGAGAGTCGCTCAGTGTCAACAGTTTCCTCCCGCTGGGGGTTGGTGGCCAGGTAACAAACACGTTCTTTCATTGTTTTTACAACTTCAAATTCCGCAGTTGTGTGCAGACTTAGTCCTTCCTTTCTTAATAGAAGTTTTAGGAAACTGTAAATAGAAGAATTATAGTGATGAAGACATGTTACATTTTTCTCTCTCACAAATTTTACAATAATGTTACTTAATTTTATCATATTTGGTACTTCTATACTATTCCATTTAGATACAAATTTTCTCTCTCCTTTACAAATTTACACAGGGTACCATGGGTAAGCTATGAGTGAAAATGAAAGTGGGTCCCATAGGCATGATTGCCTGTTATGGACAGTGTTGATACAGCACATTGTATACTAAGCTTTTGGTACACAAAAAGGCAGCATGGCCAGTACTGCACTCGACTACACTGTCCGCACACTTCCCCAAGTTGTAAACTTAGGTACCCACTTATAACTGGTTTGAACTGGGAGTGCCAAGTAATGAAACCACCAACCCCTGGAACAGGAGGTAAGTCCTGTAAGTTTTAAAAGGAGGCTAGATTGATTCATGGATGATAAAGAGTGGTAGTAACTCTCGACAAGAGCTGCCATGCACAGGCCAACCGGCCTATTGCAGACGCCTTATGTTCTTATGTATCCACTCAACTGCCATACTCCAGGCTATGAGTGTCTCTCAAATTTATCCTCCTAGAAAAAATTGCCTTCCTGATGTTGACTGAAATGAAATTCCAGATTTAAGAAGAATGAGAATTTTACTCTCTGATGGTTAAGTACAGTACAGTATTTACAGTCCCAAAATACATTTTACCCAAAATAAATAAAAATAGTAATTTGTATCAATTTATCCACTTATCTGCTTATATTTGCAACAAGGGCCAACCAGATCAATGTCTAACAAAGTAACATGAGAAGTCTATCAGCAACACCAAGCATGACCCACCTCACCAGCTCCTCATGACACCAACCCTGATAAATCCCCATCCTCCATGAAAAGTGTTTTTCAATCTCCAAGGGTAACACACAAGTCAATACAGTACTTGGTAGTACAGTAGGATATCATTTCATAAAATAAAATCTCTGACTATGCCAGTCTAGCTGTTCCTGACCTAGTTATTTTCTAAATACACTACCTGTCTCAACCCCTCCCTTGCCGGTCTATGACTAGGTGCAGCTTTTGAGCTGTAAATGTAAGTATTGTAAAAATGAACTAGGACCATATCTTCATAAAGATAATACAAATAAAAATAAAATAAAATGAGTTAGTCAAAAGAATGTAAATATCTAGCAAACAGATGTACATACAATGCCATCACATAATATGCTTTAGGGGAAGGCCATCTTACCAAAGCAGTTTGAATAATACTCACCGAGTTACGTCTCGTCCAGCAATGTCCACCCTCATGATGGAATGAGGCATGGCAAAGCCCTCATAAATTGGAACAGCATGTGTTACACCATCACCAGAGTCTAAAACAACCCCAGTTGTCCTTCCTGTTGCATACCTGAAAATGACAAATGTTTTTTATACCCGGTAATTCTAATACCTGTATGTACTGTACTGTGCTTCAATATGCCTTTATCTCTTTTACATATGGCATAAATGAAAATTGTAATATTGTAAATGAACTGCTGCGGTGTTAGACAAAATACAAGTACTGTACTCTACTTACAAACTTAAGACTGCCTGCATGGAGACGAAGAGAGCAGGGACATTGAAAGTTTCAAAAAATATTTCAGCTGCTTTTTCTCTATTTTTTCGTGGATTAAGAGGAGCTTCTGTTAGTAAAACTGGATGCTGAAAAAAAATAATAGAAGTGTAAAAGATTTCACTTTCAAAGCTAAATTTCATAATACCTGCTCACTATTTTCTACTGACCTATCCCATGCAATAGACCAGATGGCAGAAAATCTTTGAAAACCACCACACAGTATTCTAACCAAGTGTGAATTAAATCTGGTGGAAACAAGAGATTTTCCTTAGGGTATGTATTGTAGTTTCAACTGCCTCTTACCACTATTGAGGAACACAAGGTTCAACTGGCATTGCACTGGTCTTCACCCATGCCCTGGCCCAGGGACCCAAACCTTCTGGTCAGATGGATCTGATCTACTTTAAATTAGTAATAATTAAATGAGAAATATACTAACCTCTTCAGAAAATGTTTGAAGTTGGTCTTTACTATAAATATACTGCCAGATCCTCTCCATATCATTCCAATCTGTTACAATTCCATGCTCCATTGGATACCTATACAAGTAGAAAAGTGGGGAGAAAGAACAATAGAAGTTAGTTGCTATCACATGATAAAGGAGAATACTGTATAACAACATAAAACAAAAGTATAAACTAAAAAAACTTCAACATAGTAGCTAAAGATGTACCTAATTGACAAGAGACCACGATGTTCTTCTGCTTTAGGACCAACAAAAAGGTCCCCCTCCAGTGCCCCAGCCATCACACGAACATGTTTTGGTCTGCCAATGCTGAAAAGGCAAGAAATATTGATATAATCTCAAAATATATGCCTCACAAAGTAATATTCACCTTGTAATTCTATCTTTTAGTAGAGCCCTAGACCAGCCGGCTCTTCTTAATGACATGTCATTTGGGCATCTCCCCCCCCCCCACTTTCATTTAATTGCTGAGCTAATCTTGAGATGGCCATTCCTACTCACCATTATTTTAAAAGGGAAATAAGCTACAAAGACGACACTTTAAAGGTAGATCTTAAAGAAACAATACAGATATCTACCTAGCCAGTCCACAAATAATGCCATACTCAGTAATTAGGATTTATTTTCAAGTTGACAATCCACAAAATCAAGGGAGAAAGTAGAGTGTCTGAGCCACATGGTTAATAATAATAGTAAGAGAGAGAATTAAAGGATTAATTTTATGTTACTAGCAGGATACTCTTAAGCCAAGCTGCTGCTGTCAATAACCAGATAGAAAAGTGGGGGGGGGGGGGATTGTTACTTTGTAAGCCTAGACAACACGAAAGATATCAAATTCAAAGAGAAGTTAATATATGGTAGATGCACAAGGAAGGGTGCATTATCAAAATAAAACTGGAACTTGAGGGAAAATATAAACCATTGTCATTCACAGTTCTTCATGATGAACATCACTCACCCATTTAGAACAGTCCTATATCAACAATTTGATGTCACAGAGCACATCCTTCACTTTAGATACTGACCAAAAATCTATTTTTTTTCAGCTATTGTGGTGGGAAAGGTCTCCAATTGTACACTTCATTTCTTCCTGTTTTCTCCAAGGGAAGGGTAGAGGCCTGAGGCATCCACTAAGCACTGCTGGAATCCATTTTCAATCCCGCTGTTCAGTGTCATATTGCAAATTTTGTTAGCTATTCTGACTCTGCATCCACAAAATTATCATTCTCAGTGATTTAGACAGTACCCAAATTATTGATAGCGACAAGACTACTAACAGGAGGGATGAACTATCAAGTGGGAGAGGGGAGGTAGCTGGGCCACAACAAGTGGCGAGTAGCATTGGTCTAAGTGAGAGTGGTGACTGGGGACATCATACAGTTTATTTATTATGGTAGAAAAATAATCCAGGTAGTCTCCACTTAACATGAGTTTGCACAACACAAAATTCACATCAGTATAAGGAACCAATTAGGGAAAGGAAATGGTTTACTAGGGGGGAGGGGGACAAAATAGGGCTGCACTTTCTAAGGATCCCAAAACCACTTTACTCAAAGAGGGTAAAAGACTTGTACTATCATATCTGTAAGGGTTATCCATTCAGCCAATTCAAGTTAAACACAGGACGACAGCATGGCAGTACACCAAATTCTTGAGGCCTCAAGAAAAGAATGCTCTGATTATGTAAACTTAAATGAATTAGAAACAAGGAATCCCTTAAGCCCCTCAGCCAGGTTGGAAATACAGATATAATTTCAAAGCAAGGATTCAGAACCAACCTAATCATGAAGTGCAAACTACTTGAAACAACTAAGCCATCTCCCACACACTTAAGAAAGCAACCCAAGCAAGGAACAAATGATGGGTAAATTGTACCACCTAATCTCCATCCTGTTTAAAGAAAATAAGATATCTAAGCATGACCTGAACGATGATAAGTAACATAAACATAACTTTAGTAATGAAGTGCAAATGCCACATTAAAGAAAATTGTTGAGTTAAATGCGCCAACCACTTATTGCACTTGTTAACCAACCCAACCTATCCAAGCCCACTTACAGATCCCTTGGGAGAATTCTCCAATACATCCCCAAAACTGGCCAAGGGATTACTGGGTAGAAGACTGTAGCTATACTGCTGAATGATGAAATGTACAGTTATGAGATAGACTACAAGGAGATTAGGCTTAAAGCAATTCAGCAATATTGACTGCAGATTTAAACAGAAGAATGGACAATAAGGAAGTGGAGAGGATTGTAGACAAATAATGTAAAGATTAATAGAAAAAGAAGAGAGTAATGTAAATGCTTCCTGAAAGTTTTAGAAGTGAGGAATATTTTATATGGTTTAAAAATAATTTTTAAATCTTTGGTACTTACTAATTTGGGAAGTGGCATTTTGGAGTTTGATCACCTGCAAAGCCTGCTTTAATTACACCTGAACCCTGAAATAAAATTTAATTATTTGAGTGTGGTTATATAGCATATACCATACGCTCCTGAAACAATATAATGTACTGCAAAATTTTCGACAATGAAAAGGACTTCGCAGAACCTCGCTCTTTTTATTTACTGTATACTGTACAGGTATTTACAATGTGCTGTCAATATAAAACAATAAACTTCTCTCTGTAACTGAATTTTCATTGGTCATGATAAAAATGAGGCACCAGCAACCAGTTATAAGTTGATATGAAGACTCATGACAGTCAATGACCAGAATATTGGCTTTTAATGTGGGATAAATTATTTTTGTTTTCCTTCCTCACAGATCTATACAAATCTCAATGACTGCAAAATATTCCTCCAACAAAATCAAAATAAAAAAAATAAGGTCATAATTCTAAAAGACGACTTTATCACACAAAAGAAAAGAAAGAGCTTGAGCTTAGTGTCATTAGATAAAAATATCACGGATTGTTACTACATTTGTTTAACCACTGAAATATGGGATCCTCTCTGTACTGAATAATATCATCTGGCATCAGCCAAGTACAGTAAAATATTAAGTGTCATCCCCATAGTGAAGGGATTAAGTGAGGACTAACGCTGGAACTGTATTGTTAAAAGAACTTACTTCTGCCAATTATTACTTCCATTCAGATAAATTTTTCTTTTGTCCATTATGCATAAAAAATTTTTGCACTCGAAAGTTGAAATCCACTGTATGTAGCCCTATTCTTCTGCGAGAAGCAGTGGTATGTTGGAGCCTCATAATAGTAAATTGATCCACGTTTTAACATTTGCTGTATGCGTCTTCTGGGATAATATATAGAAAACTTTTAGGTTAATTTTTGTTTTATGCCAAATGCATTATTCAGAAATAATTTCAGTATAAAAAATTGGGTAAATATTTGGCTGGCATCTTTTTCCAATTTCCAAAAATAAAGTGTTTTTCTAGACAAGAATTTTGTCCTCTTTTCTGAGGTAATAACCATTTGTTATGTACAGTAGGTTATTATTTAATTTTTTTGAGGGTTTACACTCAAGAAAAGCTGAGTGTGGGGCACAACAATTTTGGACAGTACAGACTTTGGCTAAGCTATACGTCACTCAAACCACAGCAAACCTTCCAAACCTTACCAATGCGTGGGGTTACCCTACAGCCAGAATAAATGCTGGCTGTAGATTGCAAACCCACACATAGGTAAGGTTAAAAAGGTTGAAATGGACACATAAACTAGTAGGAGTATAGGCTAATAATTTCATCTTAAACCTTCACTAAAAAAAAAAAAATACACAAATGATTATTGCCATTGAAAAGAAGAAAACCTGATTTAGAAAAACACCTTCATTTCAGACATCACAGAAGTCATTAGCTTAATATTAATAACAAATTCTGCCCAAATTTTATAAAATTATTAAAAAATGTTGTGGCAGCATAAAAAGTGCATGGTGGGCGAACTATACAATGATAGTTACTAAGATGGTCATCTTTCTGACTAATATAACCAAATTTAATTTAACCATTAGCAACACAATCTGTCAATATGGTTGCCTTACCAATATCGAGGGTGACTTTTGACATACGGCTGCCACACCTATATCCACTATGTTCAAGTTTTACAATACCTGGTCATCTGTTCCCACTAAATTTAGACATACTGTATAGTACAGGTACTTCAGTTACCAGTACCAGGTATATTTTTTTGTAAAAATGCCTTCCCACCACAGCTGTAGAGGGCATGGCCAACCTGCTGCTTTATTGGGGTAAATTCATAATTATGAGAGTAGCAAATTGCACTATGAAATGAAATCAACTCACAAAGGAGTAACCTACTGTAGTTGATACAGAGTGAACTTCATTACCACAGGTTAATTAACAAGTTCACACATACACAGTAAACTTGACCACTACCACAATAGTCTTGCTCAAGCCAATTATATCTTTGGTAAAGATTCATTTTATGCCATTTTCTGTAAAATATCTTTTAACATTAATTTCTGTACCCCAACTATGCTGTCTGGCTACCTGAATATTATTTGACAAGGTTGTGAATAATCATTCTACTTATACCTTGTTATAATGTCAACAACTTATATTATTATTTGTTTTATTTTGGTTAATATATAGGACTAACCCGCCAGGGCTGTGTAGCTCCGATGCGGCCGTATCATCTCACGTCCAGAAAATGCCTCAAATTTCACCATAAGTTCTTTCTGTTTAATATACCGGGGAAGTTGGGTAAGGTTAGGTAAGTTTGGTTAGGTCTGTTCTCCATACCCACAAATGTTAAGTAGCGTTTATCTTAAAAATATCAATTTTTTAACATTTCCATAAACTACAAGTGTCCACTATAATATAACAATGAAAATCCGGCGTTTTTATAATTGTTTTCAATCAATTTCGCTCACGGGTTAGTCCTATATAATTACCTTTACTTTTATCAGTTCATAAACTTCCACAGTAAATGCAAACAAAAATTATATAAAAATATAACAAAAGACGAGTGTCAGTCAGTCTTTTGAACTAATACTTATGGCATGATTTCATTAAACAATGTAATTTGCTTAATTCCATAAACCTGTTTATTAACGTGTCTTGTTCATAATTTGGTGGAGCAACAGCTGTTAGTGATGTATAGTAGCAGACTAATAACCTGGATGACTCATCGCCCTAACACATCATTTGACAGGCGCGCCCGGCCGCCCACCTCTACCATAACCTCTTTCTTTGTCTATATGACCAGATTATATGATTAATCACAGCATCTACCATACACTCACGTTATCTATGACGACAGGCTGGTTAACTAAAACTTCATAAGGCTCCATGCTGAAGGAGATAACGGAAATGGGCGGGCGGCCCTTCTGTTAATGATGTTTCCCAAGCTTCTCCACACTGCCACCAGACGGCTCCTGGTCTGCTGCAGGCGGGGAGACACCTTTAATACATTTTATATTATTTATTTATAAATCGTCAATTACAAAAACATATGTCTTATTATTGTTCTGTTTCCCATGCAATACTGAAATGTAAGTTATTAAACAAGCATAAATGATAAGGGATTAAGATTTTACTTTGCATTAACACTTATACTGTAGCAAATATATATTTCCTCTGAAATTTTATACAAAGATTCTCTTCAGCTATAGGCACAATATTAATACTAATTGACTTATAAATATAGTGTGTTTTATTGTTTCTGTGCATATAAAATACCAATATACTCTCTTATATTTTCTTCATATTGTTCCGATTCCATTATTCATTTATAGCCTAAAATATATTTTTTCTTGAAACAAAACTGATTAATATTTAAAGCAAATATATAACTGAAACTGCAAAGAAATAATGTTTAACAAAAATAACAAAAGATGCCACACCTTGAAGCTGTCTGCCACCATCTGTAAACAACACGACCACCTACACGTGACTGTCTGGAGATGCTTTAAGTCACCTATCTCTATAACAATGGCTGAAGGAAGTAAAATATTTACATCATACCGTGCTCTGGGTCTGGTGAGCACACATGTTCCACTAGTGGTGCGGTATATTCAACGCAGGAAGGAAAATCTTATAGTGACTGTTGTCGGGAACACCTTCCATACCTATGGTGCAGGGAAGTTAAGACTACTAAGTGTTGGTAACCCACATGACACTCTTATCAATTCTATGACTGGTGATGCCTATCATGTTTACACATCTAGTAACAACATAATATATGCTTGGCGGCGTGGAACAGAGTTAAAGCATAAATATGTTGGGCATGAAGCAAGTGTCCATCTTATGTTACCATTTGGACCACACTTGATTGCTGTTGATAGACTGAACAACCTTCGTGTCTGGGATATCAAGGTTGAATCGTTGTACATGGAGATGGAGTTCCAGGCCAAAAGTTTTGAGATCTCAGCCATTATGCATCCAGCAACGTACTTGAACAAGATCTTAGTAGGTAGCAAACAGGGGAAGCTGCAGCTTTGGAACATTAAAACCTGCAAGTTAGTGTATACTTTCAGTGGATGGAACTCAAGTGTTTGTGTTTTAGAACAAGCCCCAGCACAAGACGTGATTGCAGTTGGATTAGCAAATGGAAGAATTATACTTCATAACCTAAAGTTTGATGAGACTGTTGTGGACTTCAAGCAGGATTGGGGTAGAGTGACGGGAATAAGCTTCCGAACAGATGGATTTCCAGTAATGGTGACAGGCAGTGAAATTGGACATATTGCATTGTGGGACTTAAAAGAAAGACGTCTGGTTACACAGGTGCGTGATGCTCATGCTGGTCTTGTATCTGGGATTTCGTGTCTGCCAAGTGAGCCTTTGATGGTCACTTCATCGCCAGACAACACACTCAAGATGTGGATATTCGATCTTCCAGATGGTGGGGCTCGCTTATTAAAGAGAAGAGAGGGCCATTCAGCTCCTCCACTGTTGGCAAGATTTCATGGAAGTTTGGGAAATTCTATTCTTACTGCTGGTGAAGATTCTACGATGAGGGTGTTTTCTACAGTTACTGACATTATGAACAAGAGTTTGGGACAAGCTTCATACAATAGAAAGGCATCGAAGAGGCAGAGGAAAGTGATAGATACTAAGAAAATGTCAGCAATCATGCACTTTACTTCTGAAGTTGCTCAAGAGAGAGCCTGGGACAATGTTGTAGCAATTCACCGAGGTAATGCTTTTGTGACAACTTGGTCCATAGGATCACAAAAAATGGGAAAATATAAATTGATACATGAACGTTTTAAAGATAAAGAGTTACATGGCACTGTTGCAACATGTTTGGAATTAACTGTGTGTGGAAATTTTGTAGTGATAGGATACAACTCTGGTCATCTGGACAAATATAATATCCAGTCAGGAGTTCATCGAGGAACTTTTGGATCTCCAGTCGCTCATGAAGGTGGTGTGAGGGGTGTTGTAACAGATGGACTAAATCACTGTGTAGTGTCAGGAGGGCAAGATGGTGAGCTAAGGTGGTGGAGGATGAAAGACTATTGTATTATCAAAAAGTTAATAATGGATGAAGGCATCTCTAAAATGTCTCTAAATCGGGATTCTGGACTTCTAGGAATTGCTCTTGAAGACTGGAGTATTCATATTGTAGATGTGGATACTAAGAACCTTGTAAGGAAACTTTATGGTCATCATAACCAAGTGACAGATATTGCATTCAGTCCTGACTCCAAGTGGCTGATCAGCTCATCTCTTGATAAGGCAATTAGGACTTGGGACATTCCTTCTGGTACTTGTGTGGACTGGTTTTTGGTACCCATCCCAGCTACTTCATTAACCATGTCTCCTGTTGGAGACTTTTTAGCTACTACCCATACTGACCACCTTGGTATCTACCTTTGGTCTAATCAGGCATGTTATCATCACATTTCACTTCGCCCCTTGCCTGAGAATTTCATGGCAACAGTCATCGCTCTACCTTCAACAGGCGCAGATGAGACACAGTTAGTACTGAAAGAGGGCGAGGAAATTCCTGAACCAAAGCTTGAAGAAACCATTGATGATGATGAATACAAGTCACCTCAACAAATTTCTGAAGAGTTTGTTACCCTTGCCCTGTTACCAACATCAAGATGGCTAAATTTACTAAGTCTGGATGTCATCAAAAAGAGGAACAAACCTGTAGAACCTCCAAAAGTACCAAAATCAGCACCATTCTTTCTGCCCACTGTCCCTGGATTAGAATTTAAGTTTGCTTCAGCTGAACAAGAAAAAAGTGATGAGAAGTCAAAAGTCAAGTCTGTATTGTCATTTGAAGTGTTAACTCCCTTTGGAAAAAAACTTAAAGCTGGAGATTTGGAAGATGCACTTAAAATGTTGTTAGAAATGGGCTCTTCAGGAGTTGAAGTAGAAATCCGAGGTTTGGATCCTGACATTGGTGGATCAGAGGCAGTATTAGTGAAATTCTTGGAAATGATAAAGTTTGCCCTTGATAAAAACTGTTATTTTGAAGCTGTTCAAGGATATTTGGGACTGTTCCTTAAGATTCATGCAGAATTTATTATGAAAAATTCAGTGGTATATGAAATGTGTGAGAAGTTAGCAGTTGCTCAAGAGAAATCTTGGCATGATATACGGGACACAATGAATCAATCTCTTTGTCTTGTTTCGTATATTAAAAATGCTGCTTTGATTAACTACTAAAGTTGTGTACTGTACTATAAAATTGATGTTTGTAATCATGGAGTAAATTGTATTTGTACTATTGATCTTTAAGTAAACTTTGAACATATGAAATTTAGTTTGATTTTAAACCATTACCTATTCATTATATTTTTTCATAATGCTATTAACAGGACTGTAATTCCTTGGTGCAACTTTAATGATGAGTTAAGATCAGCCAACCCAACTAAAGATCTTTCTAAAGGCCTTAGCTTTAGCTTCAAAATCAGAGGCACAGCAGGCTTCAGCTTTGAAGCCACGGGCCTGGCTCTGAATTTTCTTCTTTACACCGACACACCGACCATATTGTAACATCACACCTGAGCTGGTCCCTTTCCTGTTCCCACAATGCTACAACTTCAGTGAAATCCCAGCTGATCCCTCCAATTTCTATTGGTTTATTCTCACAATGACCTGAAAATATGCATTAAAGCTCCCACTCATTGCTGCATCAGCAGAGCATGTTACAAATTGAAGTGAAAATATCAGTATGAATAAAAAGCAAGAAAAATTGACCAGGTTCTTCAAACATCACTGGATGGAGAAGGATGAGGGTAAAAGGCATTTAGGTGGACACTGATTTGAGTTGATACACACAACAAGTACAAATGTATGGTATTAAATTATGTATTTAACTTTTTCCCTAAAAATCTGGGCAAGCAAATTTCCTCCAAAAGATATCAGGGCAAGTAAGAAAAAATATCTGGTCAAGTAAATTTCAAAAGTCACTTGCACAGGACAAGTAAATGTTTCTCATAATCTGCACAGCCTGGGTTGAGTTGACCAGGGATTAAATTGAAAGGGGTTGGGTTAACCAGGGGTCGAATTGACGGACCACCAGTCGGGAGTTAGAGTTATTGGTGACAGGGACAGATATATTACAGGAATCAAACATTCTAGGCCCATTTTGGACAGTGTGCTGGACCACGTAGAAATTAGTTTGTACCATGTAAAAAAAAATGGCCTCAATTAACTGTGTGTAATTGAAGACATGCAGAAAAAAAGAGCATATTAAGGTTTTACTGTACAATACAGTACTATGTTTCATACAGATAACTTGTGATGGTCTGTAGGTCACAAGTTTTCAAAAACATTTCAAAATAAGTTGGGTGACTGGATTTAATAATTAATTTTGTTCACAGAAGTCCTTGCAAAGTCACCGAGCGTATATATTCCTTGTATTTTTCACCAAATTTCTTTGTAAAATACTGTCAACATTTAATGGGGAACCTTTTAACACCATCACCAGACTAAGATTCTTATTAGGAAAGCCACTGAAAATCAAAGGACTTCCATAAGCAATAAAAAAATTTCTACTGAGTGACAAAACCAGTTTATTTGTTATTGTACATACTGTACTGTACTGGCATCATACACACATAATCTACATATACTTCCCTGTCCACCCAACTGTAAATAGGTTGAGAACATAACTTTACACGGTCCGACTAATTACCCAAATGTAGCCGCAATGAAGTCAAATAATGGTCCTACATGAATAAATCGGACTGCTAATCACTTCTCGACTAGTATTTGGTGTCAGAAAATCACAAAAAATTGGAAAACTTACTTTATTCTGAGTTAATAGATTGCGTGCATGTACCGAGGGAGCGAGGAATTACCCAAATGTAGCCGCAATGAAGTCAAATGATGGTCGTACAAGCGTAATTCGGGCTGTGAATCACTTCTCGATTATTATTTGGTGTCATAAAGTAAAAAAAAATTGGTAAACTTAATTTAATCTGAGTTGTGTTGTGTTAGGTTAGGTTAGATTAGGTTAGGTTAGATTAGGTTAGGTTAGGTACATGCACTTGATCTATTAACTCAGATTAAATTAACTTTACCAATTTTTTTTGACTTCGTGACACCAAATACTAGTCGAGGTTAGGTTAGGTACATGCACTCGATCTATTAACTCAGATTAAATTAAGTTTGCCAATTTTTTGTGACTTTGTGACACCAAATACTAGTCGAGAAGTGATTGGCAGTCCGATTTATTCATCTAGGACCATTATTTGACTTCATTGCGACTACATTTGGGTAATTCCTCGCTCCCTCGGTACATGCACGCGATCTATTAACTCAGATTAAAGTAAGTTTTCCAATTTTTTATGACTTTCTGACACCAAATACTAGTCGAGAAGTGATTGGCAGTCCGATTTATTCATCTAGGACCATTATTTGACTTCATTCCGGCTATATTTGGCTACATTTGGGAACATTTGGGTAATTAGTCGGACCCACTTTACATGTGGGTTAGTGGAGGCAGCTCAGTATAGTCCCCATCATGATGCCTCCTTGTATACCAAAGGCTTAGTACAGTATGTTGTATCCACACTCCAATAAGCAGTCATGCCTATAGGATCCACTTTCACTTTTCACTACCTTTTGTATTCATTAAATAAATTTAGCATATAAGATTACAAGTAGTATATGTGTAAAACCCCTTTTATTCAGCAACTGTATATCTGCAACCTAATCATATATACTGTAGTACTGTACTTGCTTATACATTTGTTTATTCTTCATAAACAACTACAGTATAACATACAAGGATAATACCTGAATTGAATTTCTACTTGACATAAATACAGAGACCACAGTAAATTTTAAATGAATTTTAATATTGTACGAGAATCTGTGCAATAAATATCAACGAGGAGCTACTGCACCAGGGTAAGCTGCCAATTAATGTCTTTAAAATCATATTTGCTCTTGGAGTTGTCATGGAGAATTTATGTATTAAGTATGATAAAAGCACCTTTTTTCCATTCTCAAGTTATGCAAGCAACACATGGTTAGATACATAAATACAGTAGTACAATATGTACATTCTAACTCATTTCACAAATCTCCTTAGAAAATCAATTCATTATTGTGCATTTAAAAAAAAATAAATAAATTGTTTAGCATCATGATGGCAAGAAATTCAAAGAATTTTCTTTTACATTTAACTTTTTTTCCTTTATACAGTGGGGTATGCTATAACGAACGGATCCTACTACGAATATTCCTATAACGAACGGTTTTACCTATAAAATTGAGAATGCTATAACGAACGAAACTCCTACAACGAACATAATTTAATTTTTTTTTTTCTAATTTATTGTTTTATTATTACAAATATTAATGATATTCTTTATTTCAGGGGTTTAGATGCATATTTATGCACTTTTTTACAATTTTTACAATTTTATATTATATTTTTCAGTGTTAAGTGGTTGTATTTGGGGGCCTGGAACAGATTAATCCTATAACAAACGAATGCTATAACGAACAAGGTTCTAGAACCAATTAGATTCGTTATAGCATACCCCACTGTATTAGGGACCCCAAATATGCAAGTTAGTAAAAAAATCAGCAGGTACTAAGAAAACAATGTGAGGAATTTATTAGTCTTTGAATATAAGGTGCACAGAACCAAAGTAGGACAAACACCATAAATGAAAAATGGAGAAACTGCAATTAAAGTTTGCAAACCTTCAAATTACCATAATGTTGGAACCGGTGAAGATATTGAATTGATTCAAGTGGCAGATTTTAGCATTGTTAGTGGAGATAATTTGATACTCGTGATAGACACCCAATGTGTTGCTCGCAGTAAAGGCTATACAGTATTTACTAAATAATATAGAGGCAATGTATGATGATGACAAAACAATAATTATGGTCTAAAGTCATGCTTTACTAACTGAATGGAAGTAGGACAAGCACCATAAATAGAAAACCGAGAATATGATTTGTGTTATCATGAGGTCTGTGTTATCTATCTGAACTACTGAACTAATAATCCATGACCCCTCCACAAGGCTTTTATGCAAACAAGCAAACACAAGACACCCTGTTTACCATGTACTATAGGATCCCTGTGATACAGTTTATGAAAATTTGTAATAATACAGTGCAATGAAAAAAATCTATATTAGAATCAGAATACATGTAGCTCTCTATTACTAAAATGGAAAGAATAAACAAAAGCTAAACTACTACAGTACCTGCATAATGTTGTCAGGAATGCATCTCCATAAGTATATGTTTACTTAGCACTCACTCCTCCTGGAATGCAAACTGAGCACTAAGTGAGGTATGAATGTATATAGATACAGTCAGCACTGCAGGGTCAGATCCAGGAATATCAAGAGGTCCAAGAAGTTGTGGGTGGGGGAACATGGCGAGCACAGCAAGTCCACCCAGCTGGGGGGTTTGGTAAGGGCACTGTAAGCTCCCCCAGAAAAGTTTTTGAAATCTGACCAATATCATGGACATTTTTAGGCAATTTTGAAGCCATGTGCACTTGCTATTAGGAGATATTCTGAGGCTAATAGTAATTACTTTTTACTATACAAAATGCCTGGGTACAGTACAATACTACATTAAAGAAAAAGTATTGGAATTTTCTGATGAAAAGGGGGGTCTGGACCCCCCCCTGGATCTGCCCCTGCACTGACCACCCAACTCACATAACCTTGTAGGCATGATTAATAACAGACTACAGTAAAATGCGACAAAGGAAAATTTTGTGGAACATGTTTGACAGCAGTACAGTCCATCTATGATTAATTATTTGCTAAAATTAATAATCCTTCTCATTGTTGTTCAATGTTCTCATACCTAATGTACTCAGTAAATTTATATGTGGTTTCTACATTCATAACGAGATTAAAAACACAATCGGCAAGTGTACATTTGAAATATACTGTATTACATCATGGAGGTAAGACATGCAGTGAAATGACTCATTCTGTCTTGGGGCACTTTTGTTGGGGTGATGATTCTAAGTTATTTACATACGGGTGTGAATCCTTTCTCTTGTTTGTACATAGTGTAGAACTTTGCTGGACTTCACTGGTGTCTGTCACTTGCAGACACTTTATAGTTTTTAATATGGCCATTGTTAAATTTGAGTAATTACTAAATGAATGCAAAGCTGATGTTAAATTATTGTCTCTTCTTACTCTATGATAGTTTTTTAGAAATGTTGCCACTGGTTTGACAAATATATCGGGACTGCATTCTACTTTTGATAACAAATCATCAAAAACCGTCCTCATCTCTTCAATGCACTGTTCTAAAGATGATGAATCTTTATGAGCTTTAGACTGAAAATGAGTTGATTTACTTTCCAGTTTCAAAGATGAGACATCCCGAGGTAAAACAGAATTAGCTTTCCAATCATCACCTTCAGTACCCAATATGTGTCTAACAGGGGAACACACTGCAACAATAACTCGCCCACCTTCAGTTTTTTCAACTTTTGAACACTGGAAATTATATTTCTCACAGAATGTTCCTAATTGTTGCTGTAGGTCAACACATATTTTTCCATTTGAAATTTCAACTTCCCTATCTTGCACCTGAAGACTATAACAAGAATCTTTTAATTTCTCATCAATGTCAACCAACAAATTTTCACCAGATGGTTTATTATGGATATCTACTAAAATACTTTCACTTGGAAAAGTCTTACAATCAACAAAAATTTTCTCACTAGACTCTCTAATTTCACTCACTAGTGTCTCACTACTTATAGGTTTGTCTATTGGCTTACTTTGATGGTCTGCTAAATTGTTTTTAGTCAAAGGTTTACTACAACACTCATCAGGGTCTCTCTCACCAGACAGAATATTATGATCAGCATGTATTAGCATTTTTTTATTTAGAGGATTTTTCAACTTTTTACCGTGTTCAATTAGCATTTTTTTGTCAATCTGTTTCTCAGATGGTTTACTAAACAGGTCTGCTGACATACCATTTGCTAGTGTACATGTTGAATTACCTGGAGAGAACATACTGTAGAAGACCCTGCAAAAATAAATATGTGATAGAAATTCAATATAAGCAAGATGAGAAGAATGTAAGCAATAACAACAAAGTTCCCTGGCCTGTGGAAGAACAATGGAGTATGTTGAAACTTATAAAGACAAAATAATAAACTAAATAATGTATAAGAAAACTTATAGCTACTGACTGTAGAGCAATGTACTGTACTGTACTGTACTGTACCATATACAATTTATGAAAAATTTAATAGAAGTAGAAATCCATCCAATATACACGTTTACAAGCTCTTACCGATAGCAAAACTGCTTATCTGGATACTGTGATCTGTCGCCTGCCATAAAGACATAGTCTGTCTGCAGATGACGTTTTATAGCTTCCAGTGCTGTTAAAGGGGTATATCCTGCTCTGTACAGCTCCATCAGTTTTTGTACTATCTTTTCTGATCCATCCTTTTGATAAGAGTCTAGCAAAGGGAGCTCGTGATTATGATTAAAGTCAAGGGTAACATATGCTGGAAACCCTTGCAAGCATTGACTTGCAGACCTGAAATATTACACAAATTACTATACTGTACAGTAATGTTTCAATATATAATTTCCTGAAGATTATTGCTTACAAAAAAAAAAAAAATTACTGAATACTGTATATACTGTATTAATAATTAATCAGTGAATGAAAAATGTGACCATGCCTAAAAGTGTGGTATTGATCCTGAAGTAACAACTTTTACCCAAGCTTAGATACAACAACTTATGAACATGTCTACCGAGGACTAAGGACCAAGGAACCAGGTGAGCTCTGGTCTATAGTGACAGAGGCATTAATCATACTGAATCTGTTAACATGAATTTGAGTAATGGCATGTACGGATAATATAATTTTGTCCATTAAGAAGCTCTGTAAACAGGTAAAAGGGTTGAGTAACTACTTATTTTGGAATAAATGTCATCTAATCTATAATTCTTGGCATCTATTAACACAGACATATACGTCGATAGTCTTGGGACCTCAAGAGCAGCTCAAATCACAAGTCATTGGCCATAAAAATTAGAGATGTGAAAAAGAATAAATTACTGAGTTCTAGGATGCTACACTGCCAAATGTTAAATATCTATTATTTTTACACAAATGAGATTTTCTATTGTTAAATTAATTCTGAATTACTGTAGTTTGTAATCCAGGGTAACTAAAAAATAAACATGTACCCGGTAATATGCAGTAAGGTGGACACATACTACTGTTCATATAAATTATGACTTCCAATCCTAATACCTATACAATAATTTCTGTAAAGTAAAAAACTGTACTTACTGAGATAATTCATCAGGTACTATATGTGTTTGCTTTGCCACAATTGAAAATTTTGCAGGGCAACAGGAATTTTTTGAGATAATTCTTTTCATCTCTTGAGATCTTGAAGTTGTTGCTTGATTACACTTGAGATCAACCTATAGAAAAAAAAAATGTAAAAACAAACTTAAATATCTGAAAGAGATAAAAAACAACTGACCTCATTTAATCTGTCCTTCCCAAAGGGTTTTACATGTTTAGTGGAGAAATACTCTATGCATGTAGATAAAGTTTCACTGCAATGCAATGAACCTACCTGATAGACATTCTGAGTTGCTTTACTTCCACAGCCAAGGTAAGTCTTGCTAACATGCCATTTAACCGCAGATGTCTTCTCAAAGTCTTTTATCCATGATTTAACTTCTAACTTTCTTCTTAGTGTCAACTGAAAATTTGCCTTAAAATGATATTTGTTTGAATCATTTCTTCCAGACTCCTCAACATCAGTAAACTCACATATAGTATATTTGTAAGCAGGTGGCAAGATTCTCTGCAAATGAATAAGAGTAAATTAATTTGATAATCTTACAAAAAGTATGGTTGTACAGTATTGTACTTGTGTTACAGGATTGTAACATACATATGAAGGGTTATATATTGTACTTTTAAGCAGTCTGAAAGCCAAACTGTGGTTTTTCATAAAAATTACCTTTTAAATGGTATTCGTATATAGTAGATATGAAGTTGTTATAAAAACCAGTGATAATGATTGTCATACTATGAGGTCATAAGTACGGGTATGTGTAAGTCACCCTTATGCCTTGTTTGATATGATATCTTGACTCGCCAACATATATAACAGCATATATAGTATATATATATACATGTATATATACTACTATATATAATGCAAGTAAATCACTGTAGGTGCGCGTGATCTAGGTATATGCTGATAACCACAAGGAAAGAAGAAAACACGAAGTTCCCAAGCGCTTTCGTGTAATTCACATCTTCAGGGGTGAGTACAGACTAAAGAGAAATACAAACCAAGGTGTATATATACAGAGGAGGGTGACACCAGGTCCACAATGGTCAGGTATTAGGTAATGACCCTACTAATCTTTAAATAGCACACAACGGTCACCCTGTATATTTAAGCCTCTCTCTGTCCATGTAATCCAGTTGCCTCTGAAGATGTCTTGAATAAAGACGAAAGCTAAGGTGCTCCGTTGTTTCCCTTTTCCTGTGTGATTTTATCAAGATATATATATATATATATATATATATATATATATATATATATATATATATATATATATATATATATATATATATATATATAATATATATATATATATATATATATATATTGTAATATTCAGAAATTTCAAATGCCCGCCATTAGCGATACTGAGCTTTCAAGGTCGTCTGAGGGAAGAGAGCGCTCCCCGCACATAGTGGGAGGTTGTGGAACTAGGCCTATATGATATTAAATGTAATTTGCCGAATTAATAATGATGCGATTCATGAAGTTAAGGGACTATTATTGAATTTGAAATTATTATAGATCGTTTATCAGTCTGAATAATGTTACGGGCGTCCCAAGGAGTTATTAGTTAGGCGGAAAATATGTCACGTAGGCCTATGCTAACACCTTGAGAGGAGACGCGACGCTGGCTGGTCCTCAGTCACGGGGAGCACTCAGACATACAAGACGTCCCTGCGCGTCAGTCACAGAAATAGTCACGTGGCCTAGTCACCTGTGCTGTGCTATTGCAGTATAACAAGGTTTCCGTCAGAACCCACTTGACCAGAGTTGACCGGAGTTGACCGGAGTTTGACTGCGAGAGATTGACTGCCGTTGATGATTGAGGGTGGCGATTGTCGCCATTGGACCGATCAGTGTAGGCCTGTCACTGTTTAGCGGGGTATCAAGGATCTCTTGAGGGAATCTAGCCGTCTGGGTGCAGCTGACAACGGGACGATCGTGGGTCAGCAGCTCTCCTCTCCCTCGGCTCACAACACCACATGTCAGGAGCAGCTTAGTGAAACCCTCTTGCTAACGGGAAGCTAAAGCTTCTCTCAACTGTACAAGGCCTGACTGGCTCACTCCCTTCCGCTTTATGGACGCACTGGGAGTACACTGAGGCTAACTGAGTAAATTAATGGTCACACACTGAGACCGTGAGTCTAGGGCTCTAGGAGATACCTAGAGGAACATTTTATCTCCCTTATTATGGGTGTATGTTGAGTTGGGTGGAGCATGGTTCACGAGTATTGGTGGACCCAGTAACATATTAATAATAGTGAATATTTTTGGGTGTAGTTAATACCATTTCTCAGTTACTGATATATATACAGTGACCCCTCGTTTAACGAACGCCTCGGTTAACGAAATTTCGGTTAACGAACTGCCTTCCATAAGGATCTTCAATTCGGTTAACGAACAAAAATTCGGTTAACGAATTACTTACGAACCGACCTCAACATGTTTTCGCTTGCACTGGCCGGGCAACCAGCTTTAGTATCAGTCCACCAATACATTAATCGGTTCTAGGGCTTAAATTCCTAACTATTTTAGTAAATATCAAGAAGTTTATACTATTCAATAATTTTAAAAGTTTAATATTAAATTTTTTAGTCATTTTAACAATTATTGAACATAATTGAAGGTAAAGTGACTAGTTTAATGCGCAGCATCCAGCCTCTTAACACAGCAAACAGGCGTTAGTCTCTCTGTTTTCACTGGAGGTAATATCTTGCTTGAGACTCTCTTCAACTAAACGCTTTTTTTCTGTGTTTTCAAGCAAATTATTGGTCATTTTGAAATATATTTTACATATTGACAATATATAATGCAGTACAGTGTTGATTTAAAGAAAATAATCTTGAAATACACCAAGAGAACTAAAATTTTATGGGTGAAATGGTGCCATGGGGTGACTTCTCTTCCACCCCAATGCCTTCTCTTCTTCCTTCTCCTCCACCCCCATTGTAATTCCCATCATCATCATCATCATCCAGGAGCCTTCTACATACACACCTCAAAGTAAGTGAAATTTTCTACCATTTTTGTTGAATTTAGGAAATTTTCGGTGAGCTGGAACCAATTACCCAAAAACCCATTGAAACAATGGTTTCGGTTAACGAACGTTTCGGTTAACGAACGACCTTCTGGAACGGATTGAGTTCGTTAACCGAGGGGTCACTATCTTGACGGGTGTAGTTTATCATTTCTAAAAAATTTTGATAGTATTGTTTTTTGAATGTTTGTGTCATTAAGTGGAACCAGAGTGATACTGTGATTTGATTCTTTTAATGCATCCAATTTTTCTTCATAATTCTGATCTCAGGTATAACCTTTGTTCCCCAGAGTAGTGGTTAAGTTAGGTTAGGAAGTGTGCATCTGTTGGGGTGATATAATTTTGTTGAGTGCCCTTAAGGCCTATTCATTGTAGGGTATTTAATTTCTTATTTTTTATTACCATTTCCTCAGTGACTGATATTATTTTGCTGAAAGCCCTTAAGGCCTATTCACTGGAGAGTGTTTAATTTCTTATTTTTTATTACCATTTCCTCAGTGACTGATATTATTTTGTTGAAAGCCCTCAAGGCCTATTCATTGTAGAGTATTTAATTTCTATTTTTTTAATACCATTTCCTAAGTGACTGATATTATTCTGTGAAAGCCCTTAAGGCCTGTTTCATGTGTGCAAGCAACATTTCTTAATACTTCAAATTTATTGTTGCCTGAGTTTCTAATAATTTCTATATCATGTATAACTTTTATTCCCTAGAGTAGTGTTTTAAGTTCAAGTTAAGAGGTGCGCATATTGGTGTACCATTATTTGATTGTGTTTGTAGTGTTGGAGGGAATATAAGTGTCTAAATTTTACAGTGTCTCATTCATCCCAGTCACAGACGCTATCCTTCCACGGGTCACGGACAATTCATTTTGTTTAGTAGATTTAAGTGTTCTTGTGCTGGTTCGGGATTTTTCTCAAAGGGGCGCTTCCACTGCCATTACCATCTTATAATCTTTAATAAACCCCAAGTCCAGTAAATTCCGACCGGTTACATGTATATACAGTGGGGTATGCTGTAACGAACAGATCCTACTGTGAATATTCCTATAACGAACGGTTTTACCTATAAAATTGAGAATGCTATAATGAACGCAACTCCTACAACGAACACGGACGAATACCGGACTATTTCGCCTGGCGCATGAACATTGTTGTACCGCGACCCACAACAAGAGCGTCAGGCGCCACCTTTGTCTCATTGTGTAGCCAGTGCACCACTGTTATTGTTGAAATTTCGTCTTTTGATGTGGAAATAGAGTTATTTGTATAAATATTTTGTTATACAAGTGTACAATTGTAACAATGAATCATCCAAAGCGAGTGAGAAAGTTCATAACTCTTGAAACTAAGAAAGAAATTATAAAGAAACGTGAGAATGGAAGAAGCATTGCGAAACTTAGTGATGAGTATGGGATGGCTAAATCGACTATATGTACGATTTTGAAGAATAAAGAGGAGTTGAAAACTGTGCAAGTGGCTAAGGGAATCTCTAGACTTAGCTAAGCAAGGTGTAATGTGATTGAGGAAACGGAAAATTTACTCTTAGTGTGGATAAAGGAGAAAGAAATGGCAGGTGATAGCATTAGTGAAGCTATAACTTGTGAGAAGGCCAGACAATTGTTTGAGGACCTTAAAGCCAAGACTCCCAGTGCAAGTGATAGTGATGTGCCAGTGTTTAGGGGTACCAAGGGATGGTTTACTGGTTTCAGAAGAAGAAATAAATTACACAGTGTTGTGAGACATAGTGATGCTGCTAGTGCAGATAAGGAAGCAGCTAAGGAACACCATGACATTTTTGAAATGGATTAGAAACTTTGTCCCTCAGCCAATGCTTCTGGTGACTCATTGTGTATCATGCAGAAAACCCCAGAGCTTTCAAAAACATTAGGAAGACCCGCCTTGGTGTTATGCGGCGGTCAAACCCAAAGGCTTGGGTGACCAGGAATTTATTCTCTGAGAGGGTGATTGAGGTGTTTGGACCCAGTGTTCAGGAATACCTCAGGGAGAATAATCTTCCACTGAAAGCTTTGTTGGTGATGGACAATGCACCAGCCCATCCTCCTAATTTGATGGTTGAATTGCCAGAGGAGTTCAACTTCATCACTGTGCACTTCTTGCCACCCAACACAACACCTCTCATCCAGCCCATGGATCAACAGGTAATTTCTAACTTTAAGAAGCTGTACACAAAGGCACTGCTTAGAAAATGTTTTGCGTCCACTTCTTCCAGTGATGTTAGTTTGAAGGAATTTTGGAAGTCACTTCAATATAGCAGACGCTGTGTTTTTAATTACTTCAGCCTGGAAAGTTACTGTGAGGTGTCTTTGTGCTGCTTGGAGGCCATTGTGGCCTGAATGTGTGCTTCAAAGAGACTTTGAAGGCTTCGAAAAGTTAGAAGAAGAGGCTGTTGTTCATGAAATTGTGTCTCTGGGCAATTCCATGGGCCTGGAAGTGGATGATGATGTTGAGGAGTTGGTGGAAGAGCACAGTAAGGAACTGTCCACTGAGGAGCTGCTTGAGCTTCACAAAGAAGAAAATGAGACACTGAAGCAGAGCTTAACTTCTGAGGAGTCAGGGGAGGATGAGAACAAGGAGGAAAGCCGCATCATTCCAGCCAAAGATCTCAAGGATGCGTTCTTTTGCTGGAGCAAACTGTCTAAGCTTGCTGAGGATTATCATCCTGATGTTGGTTCTGTGGAAAAGGCCATCAGTGTGTTTAATGACAATGTTATGAACTACTTTTGGAAGGTCCAGAAATCAAGGTTGAAGCAGCCAACCCTGGATTTCTTCTTTAAAAAAGTACCAAAAGAACCTACAGACAAAGTACCTGTAAGACAGTCACCAAAGAGGGCTAGGAAGGATGACTCCTCTCCTTCCACCTCTTCTCCATAATTCTCTCCTCCCCCCTCCTCCACTGCCTCCTGTCCTGCATGCTGAACAACACTAAGGTAAGATAAAGTACCGTATTTTTTACATTTTCCACAGAATTTTTTCAGTGTTAAGTGGTTGTATTTGGGGGCCTGGAACGGATTAATCCTATAATGAACGAGGTTCTAGAACCAATTAGATTCGTTATAGCATACCCCACTGTATATATACAGTATTACCTCGCTTTACACGGTTTCACTTTCCGCGATTTCTCATTTACGCGGTACCTTGCCAGAACCGGATTTTCACTTTCCGTGGTGCATCTATTCATATACGCGGTGAAGTGTAATTTTTTTTTTATTTAGCTCACAAAATTGATAGAAATTACCCGGCCAGAATATAATTTACATTGCTGGAATTCTTACAATATGATGATCATTTTGAATATACACATCATGGATTTTGCATTAGACATACAAATTTTAGATCTAATGTAATAATTTGGTTTACACAAAGCAAATATTTTATCGTTTGTGCAAAATATATGAAGTTTACATTCAAAATATTCCCTGACCTGCAAGGAATCCAGAAATGTCAATTATATTATGCTAACTTTAGTCTGAGGTATTATTTATTACTAAACGTTAAAATCTAGTGTTTTCACCCAAACATTTCTCTGGTAGGGAGGGAAGGTGGAGGGTGGGTAGTGCTGGGAATTTAATCACCCTTTATGGAGGTGGAGAGGAAAAGTAATCAGATAGTCTGAAGAATATTTCTTTGCTTATTTACTGAAGATATTTGTGTTAGCTCATAAAATTCATACAAATTACCTGGCCAGAATATAATTTACATTGCTGGAATTCTTACAATATGATGATCATTTTGAATATAAACATCATGGATTTTGCATTAGACATAAAATTTTAGATCTAATGTAATAATTTGGTTTACACAAAGCAAATATTTTATCTTTTGTGCAAAATATATGAAGTTTACATTCAAAATATTCCCTGACCTGCAAGGAATCCAGAAATGTCAATTATATTATCCTAACTTTAGTCTGAAGTATTATTTATTACTAAACGTTAAAATCTAGTGTTTTCACCCAAACATTTCTCAGAGAGGTAGGAGCTAGTGAGCTGGGAAGAGGGGGGTGGGGGATTTGAGTCCATTATTTGAATGGACATTAACTTGGCGACTGTATTTCTCTTAAATATTAATTGTGTGAGCATACCATCATAAAATTTAAATGTTATTTTTACTACAACATAGGTATTGTGTCGGAAAAAGTGGAGTTTGGGGGTCGGGCCAGACTCTATTGGAATTAATGCCATATGTTCTGTTGTTCACTTTACGCGGTTTTCACTTTCCGTGGTTGGGTTAAATTGACCGTGTAAATCGGGGTACTACTGTGTGTGTAAATACATATATATATATATATATATATATATATATATATATATATATATATATATATATATATATATATATATATATATATATATATATATATATATATATGCAAGTAAATCACTGTAGGTGCGCGTGATCTAGGTATATGCTGATAACCACAAGGAAAGAAGAAAACATGAAGTTCCCAAGCGCTTTCGTGTAATTCACATCTTCAGGGGTGAGTACAGACTAGAGAGAGTAATACAAATCAAGGTGTATATATACAGAGGAGGGTGAGACCAGGTCCACAATGGTCAGGTATTAGGTAATGACCTTACTAATCTTTAAATAGCACACAACGGTTGGTGGTCAGGTCAGATGGTCAAGTGACCCGGCCTTCTCACCTGATCACAAATCTTCTTAATTACAGTGATTTGCTTGCATATATATATATATATGTAATATATATATATATATATATATATATATATATATATATATAATAGCAATATTAATAATATTATTGTGTGTGTGTGTGTGTGTGTGTGTGTGTGTGTGTGTGTGTGTGTGTGTGTGTGTGTGTGTGTGTGTGTGTGTGTGTGTGTGTGGTCCCAACTTATGAACTGGATTAAACTTGAAATTTATAGTACTTTATTTACCTAATGACTTCGGCTATGATATGGCGGAATTTTAAACATTGTTCTGTAAGTACGGTATGCACATTGAATGTGTTCTGTCTTCCATAAAATCCGACTTAAGAACGTTCTCAGGACAAACTTGTGCTGATTATTGACTCTTAAGTCTCAAAGTTTATGTTAGCAGTTTATAGTAAATGCAGCTACATATTTTTTTAACCAATTTGTAGTTCCTGTACTGTATACATATTGCATGATTACAATATGAGGTTTTTCTACACTGTAAATATAACTGAATTATGCTTAAAGTTCTCAAACTATTATATTTACTTATAAAATAAGATTCATGCAGCTTAAACACTATAGTTACTGTAGTAGGAATTCTTTCTCACACACACACTATGGCCAGGTGCTGGACAACTTGTACCCAAGCAAATCGTACCCATCAGAGCATGTCAACTCGTACCCACTTGTCATTTCCTTTTTTGTGTTTAATATCATAATATTAGTGTGAAGAAAAAACTTCAACCAATTCGGACAATTCCTTCTAATGGTCACCCTCTTCTACACCTTTACCAAAAGCTTGGGTAAATTTTTACTTCAGGACATGAGTCCCTAGGGGTTGACCCATACGTTTTTCCAGTGTATTTTTGTGTGTTTTAAACGAATATGACCTTCATTTTTGGCGGAAATTGCTAGTTGCCCCCCTCCCCCCCAACAATAATGGGGGAGAGCCTGGGAATTCGGAGTTTTTGGGTGGGGGAGAAAACGAAAACGAGTCATCTGACCCAACTCCTAGCCGGACCCCCGGTAGGCCTAGCCAGGGGCTACACCCCCGGTAGGCCTAGCTTAAACTCAGCTAAACGTTTCAGTAGTTAAAAACTTTGGGGGTGAGCCATGTCTGAAAGTACAATATCTTGGTTAAAAGTGGAAGGACCAGGGATACGTAAGAATTGGATAGAATAATCGTCTTTCTCGGAAAACTCGTCAATAAACTTTAAATAATTGTAGGAGCACAAACGACAACCAACCTCCACCACGGCCATTAGGAAACTGGTCAGTGAGATTAAAATCGTACCTAGGCCGCTTCCTTTGAAAAAAATTAAATGTGATTGGTAGAAAAAAATTTGCGTGATGATAGTGATACCTCATTGGTCACGAATGGATGACGTCAGTCAACATTGCGCATTCATGATCCACCGATAACATCTCCTCACCCAAAGACTGAAAACTATTTAAAATCAATTCAATTCAATTGTGTCGCTATTATCCATTTCCACCATGTATATATGGGGTTCAAAATGCTCAGAATAGCAAGATCTAAATGATTCAGTAGTTTATAACATTCGAGGGAGCTATATCCTAAAGTAAAATAATTCCAAAGCTTGGCCACCCCTGAGTCAAGAGGTGCATGAGGAGGGTAGAGACCTTAGGGTCAGACAAGCATGGAGAGGGGTTATAAGAAGAGACATTACTTAAAAATCTGATGATTGGAGAGCTCTCTTACTCAAGTTGGTGGTTTATGGGTTAGACTCTTCCAGTATGGCCTAGTTTTAAATGGCTACTTTTAAGATAAAACTGGAGAGTAAGAAAGTAGTCCTAAGCTTCTCAACTGTCAGAGGCTTATTTCCTTACGGGTCAATCACTACAAGTACAATTAACTGATCACTAAATAAAATGATAAACTACCTGGAGTAATGAATAATTGGGTAGAGGGCCTCCCATTTCCCATGACGTTATCACATATTACAAGGCTTCTCTTATAATGTCTGCAGTCTACACCTGGACCTTCCTCCCTCAGCTGCCAGACAGTGTAAACAACAGTCCCCTGAGTCCGGATCTTTTCTCCGGATTCACAAATATTCTGTTTTAAAACGAATTCCTTGAGACTTATTGTTACATGAAATCACAGTTTCTGACAAAAGTGTGTTATAAAATAAACTAGGTAATATTTTTGTCAATTACTACCCTTGACAGACAAGCATGTTACGTGCTGATTTTTTAATAATTTTATATATACCATAATATAATCATATAATTAATGTTTTTTCCAGAAAGTAAATAATTGTATTATATATATATGACTCATAAAAATTTACATATTTATATTATTAACACACCTTGTACATGTAACAATGGGTATAACACTAAAGGCACAGCTCAGCCGCCGTTCGTCGCCCACCAACGAAATTTTTTCCCCAGGACAAGGAAGGGCGTCGCTACCGTCATCATAACGTGACATGAGGAATGGCAGATCCACTTACTAATTATCCATTGCTCCAGGTTGTTAATAACGTCTGTTTTTGGTGCTTTTTAAGATACGGTATTCTTAGGCGAATGGGCGTAACGTATAAGTAGCTGACTGTAGAGCATTACATAAATTAAAACTTGCCTTCGCTCTAGGTGTATCGCTCCTCAGTCTACAAGTTCTTCTATTAACATCACTTAACAAAAGTTACTTCATTACTAATGTTTGACCAACAAGGTATTGCAAAAGTTGTAGTCCATTCATTTACCATCCGAATTTATGTGGAGAGTTTTAACAACAAGAATAAGTTTGTAGTAAATAAAAAGTCCCTTTTGTTGTTATCTGATGTTATTAGTACAGTAACATTACTGTACTAGTGTAGGATAATGAGCTTAAATTCGTGCGGTAATATTAAGTGTCTGGCTCAAAAGGAGTCACTTAAGAAACTCATAAAGAAGAAATCTGTTTCCTGCCTCTTGAATATGACAAAATAAGAGGAATTGCAACTTCCAAACTCTTGGTTTTATGATATTTTTAAGTATATAACTACTATATGTGCCGCTTGGACAAGCACACCATACTATCCCTCCTTCTGTTGACATTAAATAAATTAACCTTAACAAACCTACTTAACCTAGCCTAAAATAATGCACTTCCATCTTAGGTAGGTTAGGTCAGGTCAGGTTAACTAGGTTAGATTGGGTTTATCTTGTATATAGGTATACTGTATATAATAAAGGTAATTTCTGAGAACAGCACTACCACCAGAAGTAGCTGTTTGATTTCATTCATTTTTTCTACAGGTGTTATCGTTATAGTAAGTATTTTAGGCTAATATTGACGACCACACCACAGACATATTATTGGGTTTTATGATTATATTCTTTGTATATTTTCATCAGTGAGTTCTGATGTAATAATCTTGTTTTGGGGGGTTTGGTTTGGTTGGGTTAAATTAAGTTGAACTTTTAAATAACCACTTTTTAACACATTTTCCATAACTACGACAAACCAGATACTAAGAGAAACCAGATGAACAATGATGTTATAGAGAAATCCGTCTGTGAGAAAGATTTAGGAGTAATGATAAAGAGGACTCTTTGAGGCGAGTAAACAATATGTATTTTTTTTTTGAGGATTAGCCCACCCGGACACAGGTCACTGTCCCACATCAGGGCCTGGGGGGCAAAAATATAATAAATAATAATAACAATTATTATTATTATTATTATTACAACAATTAATAAAATTAATAATAATAATAATAATAATAATAATAATAATAATAATAATAATAATAATAACCACAAATAAATACAAAAACGAAAAAATAAATCAAGAGTGAGAAACGATATTCATTATGTATGTTGTGTTGTCCAAGTAAGAGAAACAATTGAGACACTGCAATTGTTTGTAAATGAGGCAGAAAGTCAGATCAGCAACCTGGGACTTGGTCACAATTTTACTGATGCCATATGGCAGCAGGGTCTACCATTAGACAACACATTCTGCTTCCAATATCTTCCCAGGTGGTAGTACCTCCCTGTTTGGTAGCTGCTTACTACCTACTGCCCCCTATTTGCTCGAAACAAGGCTAACAAAGTACTTGGGTTCATACAAAGGAGTGGTAGTTACAAGACCAGTGAGGTGTTCCTAAAGCTATATCTTGCACTCGTAAGACCTCACTTGGATTATGCAGTTCACTTCTGGTCACCGTCTTACAGAATGGATATAGAATTACTCGAAAGAATTCAAAGGAGAGTGACAAGATTAATCCCAGGCATTAGGAACCTCGAGTACAGAAACAGGTTAAAGCATCTTAATTTACATTCCCTTGATAAATGCAGAGTGAGGGGTGATATGATCGAGGTGTATAAATGGAAGTCAGGGCTAACCAAAGGTGACATTACAAAGGTACTCAAACTATCCAACCAGGAGCAAACTCGTAACAATGGTTTTAAATTAGACAAATTTAGATTTAGGCGCAAAATAGGTAAACGTGGGTTTGAAAAGTAGGGTATTATTTTACTTTCGGACATAGCGCCCCCGAAAGTTCTAAACTACTGAAACATTTAGATCTCACTATTCTGAGCATTTTGAACCCCATATATACCAGGCGGAAATGGATGATATCGACACAGTTGAATTTAATTGATTTTAAGTAGTTTACAGTCTTCGTCTCTGAGATGTTATCGTCGCATCACGCATGCGTAATGTTGACTGACGTCATCCATTCGTGACCAATGAGGTATCGATTTCATCACTTGAATTTTTTCAACCAATCACATTTGATTTTTCTCAAAGGAAGCGGCCTGGGTATGAATTTAATTACGTTGACCAGTTTCACAATGGCCGTGGTGGAGGTTGGTTGTCATTTGTGCCCCTACAATTATTTTAAGTTTATTGTCGAGTTTTCCGAGAAAGATGATTATTCAATCCAATTCTTACGTATCCCTGGTCCTTCCACTTTTAACTAAGGTATTGTACTTTTGGACAGGGCGCACCCCAAATTTTTTAACTACTGAAACATTTAGGTTAGTTTAAGCTAGGCCTACCGGGGGTCTGCCCCCGGCTAGGGGTCAGGTTAGGCCTGTCGGGGGTCCTGTTACGAGTTAGGTTAGGTTTTGTTAGGTCAGATGACTCATTTTCTCCCCCACCATAAAACCCCAATTTCCCATGATCTCTCTCATTATTGTTGGGGGGGGGGGGAGGGGAGGGGCAAAAACTAGCAATTTCCTCCAAAAATGAAGGTCAGATTCGTTTAAAACACACCAAAATACACTGGAAAAACATATTGGTCAACCCCTAGGGACTCATGTCCTAAAGTAAAAATTTACCGAAAATAGAGTAGTGGGTGAATGGAACAAGTTGCCAAACATCATCATTAACTCGAATACGCTGAATAGCTTCAAACATAGGTTGGATGGATATATGAGCAATAGGGGTTGGGTGTAAATGGGACTGCCCAATCTGGACCAATAGGCCCGCCGCAGTTTCCTCCATTCTTATGTTCTTATGTCCACTATAAAACACAGTGAAATTGCAGGATTTTTAAATTCGTTTTCTCTGAAAAATCAGCAGTTGTGTAGTCATCAATAATTACTGTATTTTAAAAGAGGTGACAAATTTATATTTTAATTATAAGCATTTTAGTTTTTGGTTTTCTCTACAATCAGAAATGACCTGTAGTGGGCAGGGCATCAAGGACGAGGTTAATTGCCTTGTAAAACACGGTGAAAAACTGATTTGATATTAAAATGATGTCCCTTGTGTGCTTTGTATGTGAATAAATTAATTATTTACTGTAAATAGTCCTCCAAAAAATCTGCCAAGTCACCTCGTGTCATCGTCTGCTCAGTTTGTTCTCAACCGACTGGCTCCATCCGAGCATACTCTCACATCCACAAAAAGCGTAAAATTACATCATGACCCTTCGTGAAAGTTCCTTTCATTGGTACCAGATATCAAAATAAATACTTTCTGTTTAATATGGCGGGGGTCTGTCCCCTGGCTATGAAGTTAGGCAAGGTTAGGTAGATTTCTTTGGTTGGTTAGGTCAGGGTCTATTAGGTTCTAGTAAATGTTGCTTCTTTCAAAATACTTACTATAATGATAAGAACTTCTGTGGGAAAAATTAACGAAATCAAACGACTTCTGGTGGTATTGCTGTTTTCAGACATTACCATAATAAATCATCTCTGTCTCTGTGGGAGAAGTGTGCTGTGCTGCTAAGGAACAATTGCAGGAATATTATGAAAAATTGCTATAACACCTTGTTATTTCTTTTGTTTTTTTATTTATATTATTGTTAATAGTCCTACTTTATTAATAAGATGTTGCTGGTTTTAGCTATTTATTTAATGGAATCATTAATTTCTGAAATGTTTGTCTCTTGGCTCAAGTGATGGTGGCATCCCAGGAAGTTCCCGCATTGATGGAAAATCATGTTCGGATGAAAACTTCATAAAACCAAAAGTAGGAAAGTTGCAATTACTCCACCTTAATGTATTTATTCAGGAGCTAAGAAACAAGTTTTTGTCCATAGAAAATTTTCCTAAAGTAACTTCTGAGTCTGACATTTAAAGTGTTACCTTCATAATTATATTGTTGACTGATTTTGGCAAAGGTTAATGTGGTAATACTCTGGAATAAAGTTGTGCATTAACCAGCAATTTCATATTTTATTTATATAGCAGATGTCTTTCTTACCTCCAAAATTGATGGTTTGCAACTTTTGTAATCTTATTGTGGCAATTTTTTTGTTTTCTTTGGTCTAAACACTTACCTTACATACATCAGTGCACTATCTCGAAGTGACTCCATCTTCAATATTTGCATGCTGAGTGTTTCATGCACAGTAACCTGCATTGTCTATATACATGCCGAACCAATTGTAAATTGTAAACGTCTTTTTTACCTCAAAAAGATCCCAAAATATGAAAAAAATTTGCACACACAGTTCACTTAAATTGAGAAATATTGTGTTTGGCAGTCTGCCATTTAGACCACTGCACCTCTTGTGCACCCACCTTCCACAAACACTGTACAGACAGCAGTTGGCCATTTTCCACTCTACCAAGGGTTCTTCACCACCACTAATCATTACTCTTGTTTTGCCATGTTCAATCTCATACCTTTTGACTTCATTCCATCCTTATATTTCTTAAATATCTCTACTTCAGGTATCCCTCGATTAACGATAGGGTTACGTTCCTGATAAATTTAATGTTAAGCGAAACTATCGCTAAACGAGGGATAACACCAAACCCCTGAGGGCGAACAACAGGTTGAAATGTCAGGGCAGTAAATACTGTATTGTACTCACTAATAATAATAATAAATGAGTTTGTTGTAAATGGTTGGAGTTAAACGATGAATTTGCTAACACAAAACTCTGATATAAATGATGTGGTTTAGAGTGAGCCTTCCACACTCAAACCATCCTCTGGGTGACGCGACACAGTTCAATTGACTCAGAGACGTGTGTGTGTGTGTGCTGTGACATGACATCTAGGGAGGTAGAGCGCGGCTGGGCTGGCAAGTCGGTGATACGGTTACAGCTCATTGCCTCCACACATATGTTCATTTTTCACAAATTCATGCCCATGCTCTTCATTTTTCTTATTTTATGGTTTATCTTATATTTTCTTTATTTTTAAGTCACATTAGAGAATTGTGATGATTTTTCCACAAATATTATGGTTCCATTATATGTAACAATGGCAACATGCCAACTGACAGGCTGCCTCATCCCCAGTTTTTCCCATTCACAGTGAGTCAAGCTATTACTAAACCGTAATTTGACCAAACGTTAGGTGGGAAAGGGTGTAAAAAAAATTATCGCTAAAGGAAATTGATGCTAAACGAGGGATGCCTTTACCTCTTTAATATAATTTACTACCAACACTAAGTCATCAGTGCACAATTCCCAGGTCATACCAAACATAAAATCTTACAGTAGTGCCTCTAACACCATAATAAACAGAAGAGGGCTCAAGACAAATCTTTGATGAATCCCAACTTGCATCTCATGTTTCCCACTTTTCCCTTGCCATTTAACTCTCATAGCAGTTTTTGAGCCCTGATACAATGCCATAACCTCTAGGACAAGACACACTTCAACCCCTAACTTTCTAATTAACCATTGCACTGCCTTTTCTAATTCTAAAATACAAAATACGGCTCTCTTCTTCCCTAGCTATTTCTCTTGTACTTACCTGGACATAAAAAACATAATACTGTACCTGTACTGTAGTCATGTTTGGCATAAATCCAAACTGCATACCTCTCTCCTTCATCGATTTCTTAATCATTCTTTCCACAACTTTCATAATCTGATATAAAAGCTTTAGTTTCCACGTTCAAGATAATTTCCTTTGCCCTTATAAGTACTGTACTGTATTCACAATCATATATTTTAGCTGAGCTATACATTCCATAATACCAGGGTAATAATATTGGTCAATCCAGTTTAGATTGTCACGCTAACACTGTTTGATACCTTCAACATTTCTGCATCTATTCCAGATCTACCAGTAGTCTTTCCATTCTTTGTTTTGTCTATTGCTTTTTTTGTCCATTCTCTTTCAATCCTTGGGCATGGTCGCAGTACTGGCTCTCCTGCTTCTAGAATGCCCCTGTCCCATTCATACTCCTCAGTCAGCAGGTGATTGTTGTGCACAGTAGTACTTTATATCCAAGCATCCTTAATTTCCTCTTTATCACAAACATATTTCCATAGTAATTTTTCACACACATACTGCTCACACACTATGTCCTTATTTCTACCTACTTCAGGGTAGACTCCAATTTACAGAAGGGTTTTGTCCCTAAACACCGTTCATTAAATTAAATTTTTTAAATCAATGCATGTTTTCCAATAGCCTCCCATTATATGATGGGAGATCTTATCAAAAATATAAACAATTACACTGGACATGCTTTTAATGGCATTTTTTGTGGGGAACAATGAGTGTAAGCAAATACTTATAATAAAAGTGAATTATATGCAGTAGTAAGTTTATTTAATCCTTAAAGCAATGTCACTGCACATGTAGGCTTGCTTACAAACTTCGGTATTTTTGCCAGTTTTGTACTGAGTTGGTTCACTCAATGTCATCATCATCATCAAATTACCAGGGTCCAGTCATTGTTTGACGATCTGGGTCACATTCACTGTCAACATTAGAGCCATCAATTCCTTTGTCAATATCAACTTGTATTGGCCCTGTTATCCATTCACTCTCATTACTTGTTGATTATATTGTGTGAGAAGAGATATGGATTCATCATCAGAACTTGGACTATATTCATCATTGGTTTCCTGATTACAGTTGTCTTGATTAGGCACAAATTTAAAGAATTCAGTGATGAGTTTTTCTTTTTGTATGTGGCAATGGCATACTTTAATGTACAGTATTACTGTACTGGTATGTTCTGTAATACATAACTCAAAGTACAGTGACAATGAATAACATGGGCCATGATTAATTGTAACTGCACTACTTTTTCTTTCATCAAACTATTGTATTAGACTGTCACATTTTGATGTAAATATATATCCATACTGGTATTTGTGTATTTTTCATGAATATACACACAAGATCTTCATAAACGATGATACAGTACACACACATCAAGTGTCTAGACCACATACAGGGTATACTGTACTGTAAACTAACCTGGTTCAGTACACAATGCCCTCAGATGCCTGTACTGTACTATTTATGCACCTCAGCATATTCTGATGCTACAAGAAAAACAATTGTAACTTCGGGGTTTTCATTCATATAGCAAATCGCTACTAGTTTTTTTTTTTTTTTACATAAAAAATTAGCAAACAGGTAATTCATATCAGGGTCTGATTGTCCAGTATTTGTTTTGTTGTTCTCGATATCTCACTTCTAGGAATCCATCCTCGTCAAGCTTCGTAGCCTTGTAAACCTCTCTTCTGGCCTTGCACTTTGCTTCTAGGCACTTTCCTAGTATCATTTATCTTGCAAGCCTTATGCAATCTCCTTTTCTCCTTTATCACTCTTCACTCCATCATCCCACCACCTTGTTGCAGCATGCCTGGCTGGGCTCTTCATCCAGCCACACACCTTCAGCCATACTTGATAGACCATACTTTAATGTGGTCCATCAATTTGTTACACTTTCCCTCACACTGTTGCTGTCCATTTCCATTCTCAACTTGGCATAAAATGTTTCCATTACATTCTATTCTGTTTCCTTTCCCTGCACTTTTTTTTAGCAACATGTCACACACAAGCAATCTTTGTTGCAAAGCACATTCTTCCCTTGCTATCACTTTTACATCCCTAACAAGGTTCCGGTCTGACTTCTGGGTTTGTGTACACGTCACCTAATTCATATACTGTACTGTATGATCAGCCTATTCATCCACTTTTTAAAAACATGTTGCATACAACAATATTCATTGTGCATACTGTTATTAATTTAAACAAAACTGGTAATGCCATTGGTAAATCATCAAAAGTTTCAAGTTCTCAGATGGAGATATACTGTAGCTGTAAAATTTTACTCAAGGAGTCATCTATTCTATGGATCTTTTGGAGGAACTGAGGAGAATACCCAAGGAGAACCCTGACTTACTGCTTTGACATTACTAAATTAAATCAAATATAACATTGCTATGGTGCAAATGTTTCTTGAACTAATTTTCTGACCCTATAATTTAAATTTTCTTTAGTCTCTCAATGGGAAAAGATTGACAATCTCTCAGTGCCTCTATGAATCTTCATCCCATATCTCATGTTGCTTTCTATGTCAACAGTTTGGCCTCATCCAGAAACAATGCTTTGTTTCCAATAAATGGAAAATCAATGACCCTGAATAACAAAAAAAGATATCTCACTTTGAAGCTTAAAGGTTTGTTTCCTTGCTGGTCCCATGAGAAAAGATTGTAGCTTCATCCCCTACTATTACCTTGTAGCCTGTCAGATGAGTCAATTATGGTTTCACAAACTTTTCCTACAATACCTATTTCCCCTGTTTTACTTTACCACTAGCCCCCTAAGATTCCCTTGACCACACAAACAGAAGTTTTTCTCCTCCCATTTACCTCTTCTAACAAATCTAGAATTAATCTGCTGCAAACCAGGTAAAAAAAACATTAATAGCTCGGTGGTAAATCCCTCGCCCAGGGACCAAGAGTCTTGTATTAAGGAAACTAATTTTACCTCCTTTGATAATTACTATTAAGACAAAAATGAAGGACCTCTACCCCCAATAATGCTTTCTTCCTCCAATATGGTTTCCTTGGAACTCAGAAGACTGGGAGAGGAGATACAGTATGTTTTATCTAATTCTCCAGAACCAGAAAGTTAAAGATATAAGGTACAATGGAACTGTTGTGGGATAAGATTATCCTGGCAAATTCTGCTGCTATTGACTAGTATACTTCATTTAGTATTTGTGTACAAGAAACAAAACTCAAAGATGTAAGTGCCTGGCCTGTCTTACTACTAGACAACCTTAGGTGGTTGCTTAGGATGCCAAAAATGAACAAAATATCAATGAATTTCCACTTGTGATTTACTAAAATTTATGGATCTGAAAGCATTGGCTCCTCAATCCCCGCTTTTGCTTCTGAAGTTGCAGCCATCTGATCGAATGCCTCGCCTGCCACTCACGAGCGAACCCCTGCACAGTGATGAAACACGGTGCATTACCTTGGGAAACGTATACAGAAAGAACTTATTCAACTTCTGGCAAATGCTGTTCAAAAGACAATCTTAGAAGCTACCTGACCTGAGTCATGTAGAACAGATGACAATGATAATTCGTTTTGTAGATGTGGCTGAGCCTGCAGATATGGATAATAGTGAGCATAAAGGACCATTTTGGGGATTTTGTACCACTGAAGGAAATGACTGGTGCATTCATGACTGATACTATCTACAGCAGCTTGAAGGAATGTCATTATCTGTTGAGAATTTATTTGGCCAAGGCTATAAAAGTGACAGTTATAAAATGGTAAAGACAATGGAGTACAGAGGAGAATATTGGACATTAATCCTAGGGTATTTTTTGTTCCCTTCATACACCAGTCTGAATTTGGTGGTTAACTTGTACAAGTATTTGGTCAGGTTATGGGATGTTAAATGTCACCCCTGGTCAGCTAAAATTATTATTATTTTTTTTTTTTGGGGGGGGGGGGTTAAAAGGTGCAGTTTGGTGTATAAAACCTGAGAATAATATTAATTTTGGCTGTACTCACCATTTTGAAGTTTGCAGGATGGGAAGTTTGGTGCTTGGGGTTCGTGGCTACCTGGCATAACATAATGTACCGTGTTACCACATCGAGCTATGTTTTCTACTCCTGGACTTATATCTTCATTGTTCCCCTCTCATAATTTGATAACTTTTAATGCTTATATATGTCTAGTTTATGTATGAAAGTGATAAGTATATTAGTTACAAGTTTATTGCTTCATACTAACATTGTTTACATTATGAACTGGCAACAAGGTGTCTTACTACCTATTACTGTTCTTTATGCCATTTGTCTTTGTCTAGCCAGCAGTAATTGGGAACCTGGATGTTAATCGATTTGCGGATTGTGTTCTGGGGTAATGGTTAGCCAGTGCAGTTGGCGAGTTGTCCGGTCTTTTCGGACTATTCCTTGACACTGGGTCATGCAGCTCGTTAACTCGGGGTGTGGTTGTTGTGTTGGTGACAGCTTCTACACCTTAAACAAATTCACACCTAGGTGGCCCTTGGGCTGTCCATCCTCGTTAAACGAGGGGTAACCATTATTATTATTACAGTACTGTATTATTATTCACACACGTGCCACCTTGCAAATATGAATATCTTTGTTTTTCTCCAAAGTTTCTTACTTTTACAATAATTATACAGGTACTGTATTTACATATTTGCAATGTTTCTTTTATCTGTTTAGTAGTTTATGGTGGTATGATATTACTCAAAGCAAGACATCAAGCACAATGGAGCATCACACTCGTCTCAGCAATACCTAGTGTCTTTGCGCACTTTTCAAGTAACACTATTCTTGCATACGTGACAAGGTCTGTGGGTATATCACTTAGCCTGTTTTAAGGGCAGCAAACTTGGGAAGTGGTGAGGAGAGAGTGGCTGGCTGTTTGTGTGCATGGGTAGTGGTGGCAGGGTCAGTAAACAAAAACCTGCGCTTCCCCTCACGACTGCCTCACTACGCTCTCCCTCTCCCTATCACACCTTACCTGACAGCATCATCTGTCTAGAAGAATGTTTTGGAGGGACAGAGGTTGTTAAAACAAACTTACATGCCTTGAGAGGTTGCCATTTGTCATATTTTAAGTATGTACTCCACTGTATATTGATCCTTCCAGGCCATTTCAGACACCTCAGGAATTTTAAAAAGTCAAACTCATAGATGTACGTTATAGACCGCTCAGAGAAGGCCACTTGCAGACATAGATCTACGAATTTGACTAATAACGGGTTAATGATGGTGCTAGATGTTGTTTGGAAGCAACTGTACAGTGTATTTTTTTTTTACCTGGTGCAGCGCATCTGTCTACTTTTCATCTTCAACACGCCATGGGGAAGTCCTTAGATGCTATATTCCTTCTCTAACTGTAAAAGAGTTGAGTGAAACAAGATGGGAGAGTAAAATTGATGCACTGAAGCTTCTTCACTATGAGCTTGTTCAAGTCTTTGATGCATAAGTTGAAAAATCTGATATATTACCCTCACAGGATCATCTGGCAGTGCTGCACGTGCTGATGCAGAAGCCCTTGCAGATGGCATTCAGGTTTGTGGTTTCACTCATTTTGTGGTATAATATTCTATTTGAAATTAACCTGACTTGTAAACAACTGCAGTCAAAGGACTTTAACATGCATTCTGCTCTCAAGCAGCTGGAACACATCAAGAAGTTTTTTATTGATTGTAGGAGTGATAAGGCATTTGAAGAGACATTTATAGATGCTCGTGAACTTTTTGATGAGCTAGACTTATCAACAGACTTTGAACCAATACCAGTATGCATTTGGAGAAAGAAGCAGCAGTTCACATACGAAGCAAAAGATGACCCCTTCAGGATCCCAAACAAAAATTCAAAGTAAGCAAATTTTGCAGTCCTTGATACTGTTCCGCAGTGCAATACAGTACGGGTATAGTCAGTTTCATAGCGGTTTGAACAAGCAACCCGATTAAATTCTGTTTGGTTTTCTCTATGATGTCCACTCTTTGCAAGAGAAAACATCAAAGCAAGTAATGGAACTACTGTATGCTTGAAGCTGGAGTCTGCTTTGCAATATGGAAATTCTAAGGACATTGGACATTGATGATGGAGATTGGTGCAGTGAATTAAAGGCCATTGCAAAAAGACTTCCAAAGTGTCTTACACCTCAAGAAGTGCTCAAGTTGATTTCTGATCAGAAATTCACAGACAGTTTTCCTAATGTACACATTGCTCTACAAATTCTGTTGACACCCAATTAGTTTTGCTAGTGGGGTGTGTAGCTTTTCAAAGCTAAAATTGATAAAGACAAAATTAAGATCTTCACCGGTACAAGAGAGACTTTTTGGGCTGGCTACCCTGTCAATAGAACATGAAATTGATGGAAAACTGTTTAAAGAAACTTGTTGACTTTGAAAACAGAAAATACAAAAAGTTAACTTTTAACTCAGTACAAAATTGCAAGATATATCAGTTTTGTTTTCTTTTTGTTTTTTTCAATGTAAATGTACAGATAAATTTCTTGGGGTTGGTGATAAGCATAAAACATTTAGGAAAGTACAGTACTATTATTGTTGACATTGACTATGTTTATTCATTTTATGTTTCCTATGATAACTACCGGTACATAGTAAAAAAGAAAACACAAAGTTCCCAAGCGTTTCTTGTAATTCATTCCATGTGTAGGATTGTGTGTGCATGTAGTACTACCACCTGGGAAGATATTGGAAGCATAATGTGTTGTCTAATGGTAGACCCTGCTGCCATATGGCATCACAAAAATTGTGACCAAGTCCCAGGTTGCTGATCTGACTTTCTGCCTCATTTACACACAATTGTAGGATCTCAATTGTTTCTTTTACATGACAACACAACATACATACAGTATAGCATTTCTCATCTATTGATTTTTTTTTCATTCTTGTATTACTTTGTATTTATTATTATTATTATCACAGTGTTGTTATTATTATCACAGTGTTATTATTATTATTATTATTATTATTATTATTATTATTATTATTATTATTATTATTATTATTATTACCATTAATATTTTATTTTACTTTTTATTATAAATTTTATTTACTATGAAATATTATCATTATTACATTTTCGCTTCCCGGGCCCTGATGTGAGTCAGTGACCTGTGCCCGGGTGGGCTAATTCCCGTAAAAAAAAAATGAATAGAAGAAAATATATGAAGAAAGTTATGTTTATCTACACAAAATTATAACTCGAATCTTCTCAGCATTCATCTTGATTGATTTATTCACGGAAAAACCACTCTGACAGAGGGGACGGACTGGCCTCTGTCTAATCGTAAGAATGTCTAACTTAAACATGATGATGAATAAGCATTTAAATAAGAATAATAAACACACTACGTACTCGCGTATGATGGTGGTGTAGGACGTTGGTTGGACGGTAATAGCTGTGTGGAGATGTACTAAGTGGAGTGTCTTCTTCACTGGAACTGAGAAGTGGTGGTAGAGGAACATCGACTGGAGTTGACATGGCTGGGCTGTGTGAACTGACTGGAGTGTGGCTTGTAATGGAGACATTTGTTTTGGCGGTGACCCTGAAAAACTGGGTCACGGTCGACTGCTTTGCTTTCAACTATTTCTCTTTGTATGTGGAAAGTAGCTGACTTAGCCCTCTCAAAAACAACAAACCATGCTCCACGTTGGGGTCCATGTCCACAGCTTCCTCAGCCAACTGGTCTGTGATCCTGAAGAAGTGAGCCAGCCTCTTGGTGGTCAGCTCAGACTTGACAGCAGCATCAACTGGACTTCTGTCTCTTGAATCAGCTGCCCTAGGTCTTCAGCAGGCAACTCTTCAGTGTAGGACTCCAGCACATCAAGGACATTTTCCTCCTCCATGTCCTGGAGCCCATCATCCTCTGCAATTCAGTCAAGCCAACAATCTCCGCCTTTTCTAGGGGTTGTCAAAGTCAGTGAAGGAATGAGCACAGTCTTTCCACATTTCGTTCATTGTCGTGTCCTTTACCTCGTCCCAGGAACTCCAAGTGTTGTTGACAGTGTAGAGGATGTTATAGTCACTCCAGAACTCCCGAATGGATGGCTTGTTGGGTCCGTCAGTAGCATCCAGCAACTGAGTAAATATACACCTGAGTAAGTACATTTTAAAAGTGGCTATAACCCCCTGATCCATAAGCTGGATGAAAGTGGTCATGTTTGGTGGCGAGAACATCACTCTCACATTTGACCACCGACGGGTCAAGACGCACCTGGTGCTGCTCTAGCAGCAGCCACGTCAACTATTATGTTGGCCCATACCAACTCCCTCCCCTGAACCCTCCTCCCCACAGGAATATCAACAAGTTCTCGCCAGAAGTTACTATTTCATTTGGGAAAGGAATGGAACCAGTGTTGAATAGTGGTGAAAGTGCTCAAGTCAGTGAAAAACAACTCGGCTGTTACAGTTGAGTCTTACCCAAGCTAACCTTCACACAGTGAGGTCCCAGGTACCCAGTGATAGTTCCCCTGAGACTCCACGATAGAGAGGCCTGGGACCACACCTCAAGTGAGTGAGGTCCTGTGACAACAGACCACGTGGTGTCCCCATGAATGAGTTGCTACAGCATCATGTGAGGTTCCTCATAACACCATCTGTGAGGGAATTACTACACCACGTGATGCCCCTCATAGCACCATCTGTGAGAGAATTACTACGCCATGTGATGCCCCTCATAACACCATCTGTGAGGGAATTATTACACCACAACAGGCCCCTCATAACACCATCTGTGAGGGAATTACTACATCATCAGGCCCCTCATACACCATCTGTGAGGGAATTACTACATCATCAGGCCCCTCATAACACCATATGTGAGGGAATTACTACATCATCAGGCCCCTCATAACACCATCTGTGAGGGAATTACTACATCATCAGGCCCCTCATAACACCACCTGTGAGGGAATTACTACATCACGTCAAGCCCCTCTTAACACCACCTGTGAGGGAACTACTCCACGTGATGCCCCTCATAACGCCATCTGTGAGGGAGTTACTACACTACGTTTCTGCTGTTCAACACCTCAGCTCACATGATCTACGTGACCTTCACTGTAAACATTAATCTGTATGTTCACTGTATGTTCCTTCACCTTTCTCTAATGAAGGCTTTTGTTAAACCACCAATGTATGTAATAAGTCATTTGTGTCAAATGTTTATTTTCAGCCTTCGAGCTGCAGAACTTTTTAAATAAACCGTTTATTATTATTATTGTTATGGTGGTCGGGTGATTATAGTTTTTTTCTTTCTTTTGTTTTTTACCTGACGCTCATGGCTCATAAGAATGTTCAATTAATATAGATGTATCAAATAAATCCATATGTAACTGTTAAGAATACCTAGTTATGGCTCACATTAATGCCGAATTTAATGTCTGTAATTATATAACTGCTTGAAAACATTAGGTCTCAAGCATGAGTTGAGAAAGTTTGAAATAAAAAATATTTATCATCAGTCACAAAAAATTGACGCTCTTGGAGAACACATTCAGAGTAAACCCACTACTAGAATACTAATCTTTTCACTAATTATTATGTATATCAAGACAAATGACACCAAGCATATGAAGCAATGGATAATACTGAACATATTATAAAGAGTAAAATCAAGCGCAAACACCACATATTCATGTAAAGGTGTCGTTTAAGATGAACGTTACGGGGAAGTGGTGTGCTTGGCAGAACAGCCCCTCCTCGGCTGACTGCTAGATTTCTTATAGTACTCTGTCTACCACAAACATAATCACATAAAATTAGATTGTCAGGCTCATCTGAGCACCTCTTCCACCAAGTGAACTACCTTCCCATAACGTTTGTCTTAAACGATGGCTTTAAATGAATATGTGGTGTTTACACTTGATTTTACTCTGAATTTGTGGAGTACTGTAGTCACTTGTAAATGAATTTCAAAGACGACAGATTGACTGGTTGGGCAGCCTCAAGGTAGCACCCTGTCCTTTTAGTGTAACCTCAGTACCTACAGGTAATTTCATCCATTTAGAGGTGATGGGTGTGACAGAGAGGACTGGGCAATTGATTTACTGTATTTAAGAACAACTTAAATGGCTTTGCTGCCATATGGGGATGTGGTTAATTTCCTTGAAAACCCCCAAACAAAGCAAGCGCTATTAAAACAGGTATTGGCTGTAGTGTTTCCCAGAAAATAGGGTCTCGGGAGTTTAATCCTTCATTTGACCCCTTTTATATATCTTGTCTTTATATCCGTAAATAAGAACATCAGGAAAAGGACGTGATGCAACAAACCCCCAAACCATGTTTGTTTTTGTTTTTGTTTTATAAAGTTTGATGGGTCAGATATCAGAGATTCTTGCATAATTATTGTTTATTAAGTGTCATTTCTTTATATATTGGCCATCAAGACATCATTACACAAAGTTATGCTTTAGTAACCTTACCAGTACTGAATAGTTAGTTTCAGATAGATTCTGAATTTATGACGTTTTGTTCCTGTTTTAGGGGTTGACTGATTATAAATATTGTAATAGAGGGAAGTGTATTATATTTGCTTTAAAATATCAATGATTTTAATTTATTGTGCACTTTATTTTCACAGCAAATTTTACCTGATGCATATGAATACCGCATCTGTCAGTTTTCCGAGGCAGAGAAAGAAGAAAACTCCGAACCAATTACAAAATTTGAAGCAACTATTAGGTTGAAACTAAGAACTAAGGCAGAAGCAAAATTATGGATAAAAGATCTTGAAAGAGCATCTGCAGTGACGTGGAGAGTTGATAAGACTTATCCAGTTTGTGGAGGCAAGAAGAGCCAAAATGTGTATCGAGTAAGTACAGTATATTTTGTTGGTGTTTAGTTGCTGTAATTCCTCATTGTTTGCAAAGTTTTTTACTGAATTAAGCATCTTTCAGTTAGTTATGTTAAAGAAGATTTCCTAACCAATACCTGTACAGTACAGTATATCAATTTAACAAATTTTATAACATTGTGGAGTGACCAATGGATATTTGTACCCTGGCCTTTTTAGATTTTTCCTGTACAGTAAACCCTAGATCGTGGTAACTACGTAGTATTAATCCAAAGGTTGATTATTCTTGTGATGGCCTCCACTCAAAATAAGGGACTCTAGGTCATGGATTACATAAAGGCATTGAAGTATGATGAGTCATGATGTTATGCAAGTTCATTCTTTGTACTGCACAGATCACATTAACATTTCACATGCTGTAAACCAGGTTCTCAGTAACAACCCCCTCACTCTGGTTGCCACCCTTCCCAAGGAAAGACATCTTTGTCTGATTCCTAATTTCCTAGTTTAGAATAAGGTAAGTCCATGCTTCATTGACACTGAAGTTCTTCTGAACTATGTACCTGTAATTCTTAATATTTTATAAGGTAAGATTTTATTTTTTCTCATTTCATCATTTTGTAAGTATTTATGAATGACACTGTCCTGTTATTGGGAAGCAGTTGGACACTGCTATAGTCCAAAGTTTTTAAGATGTTTATTGGCTGGGTCTGGAGTAGCATTGTAGGATAAGTTTTATACCAACATTTTCCACTCGTTACCAGGTTGCAGGGGCGGATCCAGGAATATCAAAAGGGGGGTCCAAGAAGTTGTGGGTGGGGGAACATGGTGAGCACAGTGAGCCCACCCAGCTGGGGGGAGGGGGGTGCTCAACCCCCCTCCCCTCTAGAAATTTTTTGAAATCTGACCAATATCATGGGCACACTCAACCCCAGATAAGTTATTATGTGGTATTAAAAATCTGGTTCTTTTTGACATCGTGCAGTCACAGCCAGCCTGGTGCCTGCTTGTCTGGATGTTGTTGCATTGGTCTAACTCACACAAAATTATGAGAAGGGAAGGAGCTGTTCATGTAATACCATTATGGAAATACTTTTTGTATGTTTTATGTACGATGTTTAGTTTTTATTAAAGAAGTTTTGGAACAGTTTATGGTTATTTCTTGGCCTCTGGAACCAAACTATTTACTACCTTCTCAACCATTTAGGCTCTAATTTGTGATTTGATAATTTACGATGTCTTTTGTTACCAACCGTATATACCCGTGTGTAGTTCGAGTTTTTAAGACCAAATTTTTGGGCAAAAAATTGGGGGTCGACCTCTACATGGGTCATAGTTTTGTTAGGTTGAAAAATATTTACCAGTTACTGCCAGTAAACAATGGAAACGACGCACCATCAGCTGTGAGTGTTGGTACAGTTGCCAGGGCAGATCTCTAGCGTTATCATAGCAAGCCCAAAGTGGCCAAATGCATGGTATGGTAGAACAGGACGATGTAAAACATAAAGTATTAATTTTTAAAAGTTTATTTATAGATACATCAATTTTTGTTCATTAAATTTGAAACATCAATCTTTGTTAATTAAATTTGAAACAAAAGAAAACTACGATACCGTGTTTCTGAATATTTTCATTAAAATATTACATCACAAGTATATTTTACCTTAACTGTGCCTGAATGAATATATTCTCAGAAATAAATATGTAAATGTAATATTTTTTTTCGAAATGACATACGTATTACAGTGGAAAGTGGGATAAAATCGTGACAAAAACAATGGCTTTCGCTTTCTTTCGTAGTTCAAAAGATGTTACCGTAACCGCTTTTCGAATGGTTTTCAGTTAAAAAACTATTGTATTACAATAATATTCTATCCTGATTCACTTGAATAAATATTACGATACCATATTTCTGAATATTTTCATTAAAATCCATCAAAATCATTTTCCTTGTCATCATCTTCAGCACACAGTTACCAGTTTCAAGATTTTCCGTTTAAATTTGTAAGTTACCGAGTATTTCTTTTCCCAAATCGTTTTACAATGCTGTAGGTAAAACAGTTTACTATTGTGCAAACCCCACAGAAAAAAAAATTAACAGAAATGGAAACACCAAAAATGTAAAAAAAAATGCTGTCTGACTTGCAACACTTGGTAGGGTCAGGTGGTTCTAACGGCATCCTGCCAGTACCCGGTAATCAAATTTATAACAGTGTCTAACCTCATTTACTGTAGTTTATCTGATGTATGTAATATGAAGTAAAAAATACCAGTTAAAGTGAGAAATTGGAAGAGAATAAACAAGAAAGATGTCATTGGGCTATTTTTGGTAGGGCTGAGGGAGAGAGTACCAGCTGTTTGGTCTTTTTTGGTGGGAGAGTCATGCAAATATCAGTACAGTGAGTTCTGGTAGGGTCAGGTGGTTCTAACGGCATCCTGCCAGTACCCGGTAATCAAATTTATAACAGTGTCTAACCTCATTTACTGTAGTTTATCTGATGTATGCAATATGAAGTAAAAAATACCAGTTAAAGTGAGAAATTGGAAGAGAATAAACAAGAAAGATGTCGTTGGGCTATTTTTGGTAGGGCTGAGGGAGAGAGTACCAGCTGTTTGGTCTTTTTTTGGTGGGAGAGTCATGCAAATATCAGTACAGTGAGTTTTGCTATAACGCGTGTTTTGATAACGCGAATTTGCTCTAACGCGATTTATGAATTAGGAACGATATTTGTATAACGCGAACGCTTGTTTGCTATAACGCGATTTTTGCTTACTATTTCTCCAATTTTGTGGTATTAACTGTGAATATGGTAAAGAAGAATATCAACAAGAAGCGTTCTGGTGATAGAATTCCCGGTGATGATCGTAAAAGAAAGGATATAACACTTGAAGAGAAGCTCGATTTTATCAACCTCAAAATCACCCTTCTCCCCCATCAAGTAAAGTGTTACATTTACTGTATGATTTCATTATTAGATATGAATGTAACATTTATTTAGACTGTGCTATCCTTTGTGTTAGGCTAACTACTAAATTTTTTCGATTTCGAGTAATCTGCACCTAACCCTATTTTCTCCATAAGCCCTGTTATTTCTATTACACGATTTTCTATAACACGATATTTTACAAGAACACAATTATCGCCTTATAGCAGAACTACCTGTACTGGTATTTCTTTGGTGTCTTCTGTATTTTTAAAAATTAATACAAGTATTTGTAAATTAAAAGTACCGTAACATTGTATTATATACAAACTTGTCATATTTCTGGAAAATAAGAAGCAAGAAAATAAGAATATACCGTTAAACACAATTTCAACGTACGCTAATATTAAAGTCTGCTTAAGAAGGGCTGATGCAAAAACAAAGCCTCCGCGACCAGGGCTCTGCTGTATCAGCTTGACGGTACACGTGTTTTTCGAATCGTTTTCAGTTAAAAAACTGTTACATCACAAGTGAATTGGGATAGAATATTATTGTAATACAACAGTTTTTTAACTGAAAACCATTTGAAAAGCGATTACGGTCACATCTTTTGAACGAAAGAAAGCGAAAGTCATTGTTTTCGTCACGATTTTATCCCACTTTCCACTGTAATACGTATAGTATGTCATTTCAGCAAAAATATTACATTTCCATATTCTCAGAAATAAATTGTAGTTTTGCTGAAACGTGATGTATTTCAATGTAAAATATGATAAACTACATGACAAAAACAAAACACTTTACCTAACCTTCCGATGTTCAAGAGATGTTACTCGTTTTTTTAATAGTTTTCGGTTAAAATACTGTTATATTAGTGATATTCTATTCATACTGTGCTTGATATAATATTTTTGCTGAAATGACGTACGTATTACAGTGGAAAGTGGGATAAAATCGTGACGAAAACAATGACTTTCGCTTTTTTTTGTTCAAAAGATGTTACCGTAATCGCTTTTTTAATGGTTTAGTTAAAAAACTGTTGTATTACACTAATAATCCCTCCTAATTGACCTGAATAAATACTTGAATGGAAATATACAATATTTTTGTTGAAACTACCCGCGTTTCACAGTAAAGTGTCGTAATAAATGGTAAACAAGTTTATAGGACATAGAGTGTTTTTACTGAAGGTTTTGTTGTTCCTTTACCCTCAAAAACTTGGGTCGACCTATAAACGAGGAATATCATAAATTAACGATTTCTTGGTCAAAAATTCAGGGTCGACCTATAAATGAGGTAGATTTATAGACGAGTATACAGTACAGTCGACCCTCGTTAATTCGGACTAATAGGGGGGGAAGGGTGTCCGTTTTAGCCGATTGTCCGAATTAACCGATTTAGGGGTTAATATTGCATTATATTTCAGTCATTGTTTTCGTCACAATTTTATCCCACTTTCCACTGTAATACGTATGTAATTTCAGCAAAAATATTACATTTCCGTGAATGTATTATATCAAGCACAGTATGAATAGAATATCATTGTAATATAACAGTATTTTAACCGAAAACTATTAAAAAAACAAATAACATCTCAAGAACATCGGAAGCTTAGGTAAAGTCTTTTGTTTTCTTCATGTATTTTATCCTATTTTTACATTGAAATACATCACGTTTCAGCAAAACTACTATTTATTTCAGAGAATATATTCATTCAGGCGCAGTTTAGGTAAAATATACGTGTGAAGTAACAGTTTTTTAACTGAAAACGATTCGAAAAACACGTACCCTCTAGCCCTGTTCAAGGAGAGGCCCTGCAAGCCTCTGTGGTGGATAGTGATACAATTGATACAAGTGATACAGGTAAGGGCCAATAATCTGCCCTCTGCCTCGGAACCAACCCCCCATCCCCGTGTGCCCAGCCATCTTTTCTACTAATGTAAGTGTTAAAAAACCTAATATTATTGATATTTCTCTTAATTATTAATTGTGTGTGCATACCATCATAAAATTAAGAAGTTATTTTTACTACAACGTAGGTATTGTGTCTGAAAAAGTGGAGTTTGGGGGTCGGCCCGGTCTCTTTTTCAATTAATCCCATATGTTATGTTGTTCACTTTACGCGTTTCTCACTTTCCGCGGTACCCTGTAGGTTGAATTAACAACGTAAAGTGAGGGTTCACTGTAGTCTGTACACACTCGTCATTTTTATCATAGACATTCTATAAACATGTGGAATTTTCTTGGGGAGATTCCACTAAGAATACTGATAATGGTGAATCCCAGTAATCCCACACCCATGCACTTGCTGGTGGTTTATCTTATATGTCACTTGTTTAGTTCACTTGCATGTACTGTAGAGTAGTAAGCATTCTTTATCATAAATTATTTTTGAGTCTGTATCAGATTTTTTTTATAAATTTTTCTCCTTCACCAGATTGACATGAGATGTCAGCATAGAACATACTCAAGATCTCCAACTGCTGATAAGAAGGCCTCTTCAAAAAATACATGTTGTCCAGCAAAGATGTTCCTTGTAGTGAAGCGAACTCACATGGCAAGTGGTAAATTATCTCAGTAAGTACTGAGAAAGCTTCCCATTAAAGAACAAGTGATGATATTTTTTCTTTGTGCTTGTGAAATGTTGAAACTACTCTACGTGATAAGAATCTGTCCTGCATCATTTTTTTTATACACGAGTCATGCAAATACTGTATTGTAACCGTGTCTTAAGCACAATATTGTCATCATCTTCTCCACCATCACTGTTTTGGGCTCTTTTTCCACACTTGATTGGGTTAGCTGTGATTACTTAATGGCATGGTGTCATGGTTGCCATTAGGCAAATGTAAAGTAAATTGTATAAATTTGGTTGCCCACACTATCACCAACCCATTTTTAAGTACCCTCTTAGCTGTTCAGGCAGGGTTGTAACTCCCTAAGATAATCAAAGATTACCTGCCTACCCAATGTAATGCAATTTGAAAGGGTACTTGCAAGCTACCAGCAACTTCTAATTCGGCTTTAGATACTCTTTGAACATCATGCACTATTCTTTCCGGACTTTCCATGAAGGCCTGAGGATATTTTTATTGGAGAATGTACCTAAAGGAGACCTATATCCTCATCTCGGGCAACTAGTGTTTCTTTACAACACTGGATCTGATCTTGACCTTTTATGAAACTCTGATCTACTTCAAACTAAGCAACGTAGAATCAGAAAAAGACTTATTTACAGATAATGATTAGAAAGTCTCTTTTTATCCCTATGAGAAATACATTGTACATCAAGCAATGTCAGGCCTTGCACAGTAAGTTATTTGTCAACTGTAACATTTGGGACAAAGAGGCTTTTTTTAAAGTGGATAATTACATAAAGGAGATATTATCATCCATGTAAAAAAAACCTGAGTACAGGTATCCTCATTATATAAATGGGTTAGGTTCCTTCAAAACCATTTGTTAAGTGAACACGGTGGCTTCGCTTATTTCACTCGGCTAAGGTTCCGCGATCCATGAGTTTCAAGTGAACCCTTAAGTTCCCTGCATCACGACATCCGCACACTGTTCTCCCGAGTTTCACGCTCTACGTACTAATAAAATGTGTTTTGTACCTTCTACTTATGAGTTTGTGTCCAAACCTTGCTTTAATTGTAAGTTAAATATTATTTGTGATACATTAGAATTTTTTGTTGTATAAAAAATTCACTGATTTGGGAGGGTTTGACTGGATATTTTTCAGCTGTGGTGTGTGCTAAGTTGGCCACTATCCTTGATACAGTACAGTAGTGCTCTGGGCTAGCCTTATCCTTCCCAGTTTGGGGTTACCAATCCACAACTTGTTGGAAATGGCAAAAAGGATTTTCTTTTACATTCATAAAACTGACTTGATTATAAATTTTTCGAATACACTAGTTTTAACAATGACAAATTTTATCCGAGTTTTTGGTAAATTTGTAATGTTTATATAATACTCCTCACATTTCATATCCATTCAATGAATATTCTGTTGTTGCTGCATTTAGAATAGATTTAAAATATCCTAAAGGATAATCTGTATATCAGTTATCAAATTTTGCAGATCTACAGATCAATATTTACAAGAGTTTCCTACTCGTGTTTACCTGGACTTCCGGCACAATCATAAGCTCCTTTCCCCGGATATTCTTCGAAAGAGAGATGTCTCTGAAGAAACTGTGCAGAAACTGACAGATCTGTATAAAGCAGGTCATACACCACTCTCTGCCTTGGAAGAAATCAAACGTGATCTCCAAGCAGATTATGGAGAACAGTTTGTCTTTGTATCAACAGACAGATCAAAGTGCCCTGATAAACAGTTTTGCTATCGGTAAGAAAAATGACTGTAATACTGGTTTTCTTATGCTCACTGTAAAAGACCATTTATAATGATCAATAGCTAATAATTTTACAAGTAGCCACACAATGGTTGATGAATAATGTGAAGCATCTACACAAAAAGCTTCCCTTGTGGGTTTTAGGTAAAGGCTATTTTTTTGCCTTGACCATCTAATCATTCCAAACCATTCATCAAAATCAGTTCCCATCCCTCCCCCACCCATGAATATATGTGTCTGTTAAATAGTGCAGGGTTTTCTCTATAAACCTCCGAACAATGTGTAACTTTAAGGCACTCTTAAATATCACTCTGCTCCCCCATGCCAGCCCACTCAAATATGAGATATTAAAAGTCACAGTTTTCCATTAAGACATGTGAGGTAATGAGTCTTGATGCCACACAGCTTATTCTTTCTCCATAAAGTAAATTGCTATTTATTTGTTATAAAAGCTTTTTTGCAGTAAGAAGCCCCTTGCTCGTCATAAACCTCCCTGAGGAAAGACGTGGCTTCCTGACTCCTCTTTAGGTTAGAAATAACTAAATTCATACCTCCTTGACACTCAGGTTGAGCTGGGCCACATAGCTGTTGATAGCTTGTAAGGGATGTGCCTGATGAACTGCAGTATTAATGGCACTAAAACACTTTAGTTTAGCACACATGTTTATTTATTGATCCAGATATTATGTTAATTTTTGTTATTCATCTGGGCTCTGGCTAAATTAACGGGCCCATCTGGACACTCGGATGATCCGGACATTCGGTTCATCCAGACACCTCTTTCCTCTTTTTAGTTGAGATTGATGAGGTTTATTTGTACTTATGTGGTAGAAAGAAAGAGTGGATGGTTTCCTTTTTTAAAACAATGAGGTGTGTTACGGTAAAAGGAAACCGTGTTATGCCTTGGATGTTGGTTTCCGACAGCTGTAATTGAGTCCATATTTTGTGGAGATTTGCAAACTTTTTTATTTATTTTTTAATTAAACGATCTGCAAATCTTTCAGGAGATCTGTAACTTACTGTGGGAGGCATTGTTGATCACTAAAGTACATTTTTGGTAGGGGAATATTGTAATGTACAGTATATCTAACCCCTAATCTAGCCACAAATCTGAGATCCAGACCCCTACTGACGTGCTATGCCCGTAGAACCATAATATTTTTTGCATCATCGAGCTTATTAGTCATTGGATACATAAGCTTTGTGTCTGTATGTACTAGAAGACAAACTCCTCAAATATAATGAGCAGTTAATTTATCAATGTATGTTTCGGTATGTTTATGATTTAATACATTGTTAATATGCACTTATTACTGTGGCAGTATGAGTTAAATTTTTGGAATACTATATACCATAATCTCCCCATTAGCTGGAATCTCCGGTCCATGGAACTCTCCAATAGCCAGAATAGAATTTAGCCAGTAATTTTTCTGGAAGATTCTCTCAATTCCGGGTCTGCGAATGAGTTTCTGGGGATAGAAATCAACAGGATATTCCGGAAAAATTCTGAGAAAATTCCTCCAAACCTTTCTGCTTGGGGACTGGGGACAAAGGTTCCAGGAGCTCCAATAGATTGTATCATCCTGCACCGCATCCCCACATGCTGAGCGTGTGGGTTGGCAAGATGCTTAACCTTACGTTAAGCAAAATTATCGCTGATTGAGGTATAACGAGGATTAACATCCGTGGAGGTGGCATGTTGCCATTGTTACATGTAATGAAACTAAAAAAGTTGTTGAATAATTATTACAACACTTTATTGTGGCTTAAAAATAAAAAAAAAATATAATTTAAAACTATAAAATAAGAAAAATTAAGAGCATGGGTGTGTGTGGCAAGTGATCGTATGTGTGGGCTCATGGAGGCAGTGGACCCATCACCCAGTAGTACTGTGAGCTGTGAACTATGTTATGGTTATTTTACTATTCATAATTTTGGATACATATATGTAATTTTCTTCGTTTTTCTTTTACTTTGTTACATGCACACACAATCGTTCATACAGAATGTGCAAAAAAATAATTATCATAAGGTCAAAAACAAAAAGTGAATAGACATTCCTTATGTGCATGGGAGTTATCACAGAGATCTGGGGAAGGAGAGTGGCGTGGATTTCTCAGCTTTGCTCTATGTTCTGTCCCATGTGTAGTGAAACGATTGCCAGAAGGCAGTGCAGTATTTTTTCTTTTACTGTATTCAATTTATTTCTCACATTTTCTGGTACTACAGTAAACACACGGCACAGTTCAGCCGGGTATTCACCCAGCTGACTCAAGAGACGTGTGAGACTGCTGGCTATGTATGCTGTGATGTCACTTTCATGTGCACTTGACGGCCTCTTTTTACTCATCTTGAATAAGTGTTAAATCCAAGAGCTGTGGTTGAGAGATCAAGTGTTTATGCTGGGAGATATAAACACACTGAGTTCAGCTGTGTACCCACATTTGGTGGTACAGTAGCAGACACCAAGAAAGTCATACCAAGTAAATTATAATGTCTGATTTTTTTTCTACGGTATATCGTGATTTTTGTGTTGAAAATTTACCCTATTCTGTAAAGTCGAATTTACAGTACTTGCCGTATCCCGAATTTAGTGGCCATAACTTACAAATTCAGTACTGTACAGTAGAGTAGTACTGTATAGGCGACATTCTGCAACATGAATTTCCATATTTTTTTTTGGGGGGGGGATTAGCCCACCCGGACACAGATCACTGACCCACATCGGGGCCTGGGGGGCGAAAATGTAATAATAATAATAATGATAATAAATAATAGTCATAATAATTCATAATAAATAAAATTTATGATAAAACAAACAAAACTAAAATAATAAAATAATGATGATGATAATAATACAGTAACTGTAATATTAATAATAAAGAACTATAAATACAAAAATGAAAAAAAGATCAAAAGTGAGAAACGATATATGTATGTTGTGTTGTCAATGGTAAGAGAAACAATTGAGACCCTGCAATTGCATGAAAATGAAGCAGAAAGTCAGATCAGCAACCTGGGACTTGGTCACAATTTTCATGATGCCATATGGCAGCAGGGTCTACCATTAGACAACACACTATGCTTCCAATATCTTCCGAGGCGGTAGTACCTCCCTGTTTGGTAGCTGCCTACTACCTCTATCTCACAGCTATCAATGGTTTACTGTGTACTTTATTTATTAGATATAAGCCTTTCATATTACGGGGCTCTACTACACATTAGAAAGGACATTTAATTTATGTTATGTAGCAACTTTAAAGTTATATTTGAGATATAAAATGATGCATATGTAATTTTTTTTAATGTCCATATATGGTGTTCCTTTATAAATTGCTTGATTTAAATTTGTATACTTGAATATTTAAAAAAAATATATCTCTGGTTTAATGCAGAGTTATTGTATTCTACTTAATATTATTTTATATTTTTATTTTCAGGCTGTACTACAAACTCTTCTGTCCTAAATATCCTAAATCACCTGGGAAAAAAATGCTTTTGGAACTACAAGGACACTTGAAACCATTTTGTGAGAAATATGATTCTCATTGTGCAAGTATTGAAAAAACTGAAGACGATAATGTTATTGTTGCAATTTGTCCCCGTCGACCCAAACAATTTCCTCATGAAAACAACGAAGAAAATGACCAGAGAGATGCCTCATTAGTGCCTCAGGCTGTCCAGCCAGTAAATGTTGAAAGTTATCCACCCCACCTGCACCTTCTTGATCAGTTTCAGTCACAATCAGATTTACGTGGCCAGGGTATAGGGCAATGTGCTGAAGGTATGAAGACGGTTTTTGATGATTTGTTATCAAAAATAGAATGCTATCCAGAAATTTATCTCAAACCTGTAGAAACATTTCTAAACAATTATCAAAATCTAAAAAAAGATAATGAAAAGTTAGTAAATGCTTTACAAACATTTGGTCAGTACTCAGGTGTAACCATGGCTTTGTCAAAAACCCTAAAACGTCAGCATTCAGGAGATTCATCAAAGATTGACTCAACCACTATAATCTGTGCAAAAAAGAAAAAAGGTGCTCGACGTCGGCTGATTACTGCAAGGCCTGTTGTTCAGCAATCAACGCTTAACCATGAAGACAGTAATTCTGAAAGAGAGATATTAATTCATGAAATGTCGGCTCATGAAATAGCTGTTCATGAGGTAACTGCTCATGAGATATCAGCTCATGAGATATCAGCTCATGAAGTATCTGCCCATGAGGTTACAGCTCATCAAGTAACTGCTCATGAAATGTCAGCTCATGAAATGTCAGCTCATGAAATACCAGCTCATGAAATATCAACTCATGAAATATCAGCTCATGAAATATCAGCTCATGAAATATCAGCTCATGAAATATCAGCTCATGAAATATCAGCTCATGAAATATCAACCCATGAAATATCAGCTCATGATATGTCAGCTCATGATATGTCAGCTCATGATATGTCAGCTCATCAGATCTCTGCTCGCACCTTACCTCCGATCATACCTTCACATGGAATCCATTTGCATGCCATGTGTGCACAACAGGAAAGAAGATCATAGAGCCACGTAAGGAAAACTGGAATGTATTGGAAGGTAAAGTATTTAATGTTATAGTATATAAAATTAATAAAAAATTTTGGTGATCATATTATAATGCTACACCTTTCAATATTAACCAGTTTCCTTGCGTGAGTTTATCATTTATTTCCAAAGGATGTTAACTGATTCTACAAAAACTGTACAGATAATATAAGAAATGCTATAGATTATGATACATATAAAATAGAAATATTATTGTATTGTCATCCTTAAAAAATGGAGACCCTGAAACAAATTGTGGAAAGACAATCAATATTTTTTTTAACATGTAAAGGTAACAAGAATACCTGTACAGGATTTCCAAAAATTCCTCGTCTATTTTAAGGTAAAGGCAGATCATAAGTTCATAACCAAATATATACATTCATTTAGTGTGCATGACTAATCATTAAATTCATAACCAAATACTGTATAATCATTCCTTTGCTGCTCTTCTTCACTAAATAACAGATTCAGCTAGTGCAGATACTGTACAGTACAGGGTACTGCACTATGAACTCTCACTAATTTGATATTTTGGGTAAATTTAATATTTTTGACAAAATATTGTACAGAACTGTACAATAGATAGGCATTATACTGTACAGGTTGTAGTATGTAGAATTTATGAGAGAATTTCATAATTTTGGGATGAAGATTAGGTGCGTCTTTACTTGAGCATTTTAGCCCGAAAGAACCAAACGAACAGACAGCACACGAACAAACTAAACGAGCTGTTCGAGTGCAAGCTCTCTGTATTCTGCGTGTTCGACAGTGTTCGTCTTATTCCCACCGTTTTCCTCAGTTGAACCATGGATCTCACAGTGATAGCAGGTGCACTCCTCATTATTTACTCCTTAGCCAAAAGGAAGAAGAAATCTAGTAGTGTGGTTGAATGAAATGGATCATGGCCATTTGAAAAACTACTCGAATGACACCCCTTTTCCCTCCTGAAGCTGGCAAGAGAGTTTCCCATTTTCTTCTTCCCTTCTCCCGGGGAACATTCCATAATTTGTGCATTGCTCACCCAGCAACCATGCTTCCTAACTTTATTACAGTACAAACCATGTTGGGATTCCACAGCTCAGGATGCTTCTCATATTCATCCAGTAAGGCTAAACATTTCTCCCCGTCCCACTCCATAACGCACTGAATAGCCGGAACAACGCGAACACCCGTCCTGACTGTGCACCAACGAGCAAGCGAATCCTTTTGCGCACGCACCATTTACGGACAAGCGACGGAAAACGTTTGACGCGCTCGGTTGGGCTCGGGGACACATCCTTACTAGCCTAATTCTGCTCATTTTGTTCATTCAGGCTAAAATGCTGAAGTGAAGATGCACCTTTACATTAGTCCAAAAATCTCAAAATAACCTTCAAGGTGCCACACCATTCTTGAGCGTTACCACCATCACTCTGGTTATTTTATAAAACAAAAAAATATGTACAGTACATACAAGAAGTACTTGATTTACAGAAGGGTTTCGTTCCTAAAAAGTTGGCCATAAACCAAACTTCTGTATAACAAACCCAACATTCCGATTGAATCCCATTACAGTATATAATGGGAGATGTGCTCCTCCAGAAAAGTTTCCAACCCAAAACTTCGTAATACTGTATCTGCATACATAATTTTTTACCTTTTTATCACATTTAAATAAAATACAATAATATTTTACAACATTTTTATAAATCATATAGTACTGGAGGCAATAAACTGCATAAATAGTTGTACAGCATCGTAAAAGTTGTGAAGTGCAGGAGCATCGACTGGTGTGAGTGGTGCAGTGGCGCACATGTGAGGCTTGTGAGCCGTGGCCCGAATGACTCATGGACTTGCTCCTCTGTGCCATAGTGGAGTTGCCATTTGCGACATACTACAGTACTGTACAGTACAGGTATTGTTAAACAAAAAAACTGATATAATTCACTAATACAGTATGTAAACATTGACTCAGGAGTGTAATTCATAAAATTTTATAATATCTGAATACATATCAATAAATTACTTTTGAGTGTCAGTGTCTATTACCAATAACAATGCGTACCGTTATTGTCACACAAACAGTCGTATTTTCAAGATTTTTTTCATACAGGATATACCTGAATTGAAAAACTTTCATTGTGACTTGATAATGTTTTATTTAATATATGTGTAAAGTCAGCAACTTTTTCTAATGCCTCCATGTTCCTATTACGGGTACAAAAAATTATGATATGAGAATGATAGTAACTGCCTGTTGGTTTCCTAAACCTCAATAACAGGAACATATGTTCACCTTTACCCTCCTAAATCTACCATACAAATAATAATCTTTCTTTATTATGAAAAAGAATCAACAATTATGGTCAAGTTAATATCAGTAAATTATTTAATGTTTTATTACCACTTTATGGGCATCGGACACAGTAGGTACGGTTCACTGAACTTTCATTCTCGTAAACAAACTCACGGGTAGACGACAGGCAGAGTGATGATAGTAATGGTGGTGCTGATGGTACTTTTGACTTAGGATACTTCTTTGTTTATTTCTTGTGGAGAGATTTTTTTCTTACAGGTCATTTTATATACAGTACAGGTAGTTACCTTCCCCAAAAAAAAAAAATCTATAACTGCACAATTTTTGGATGTATATAATGAATCTGAGTACAGTACTGTACTAAAATAAAATTTCCGTCAGTGTGAAATTCCATATACGGGTGTCATATATCGAGGACGTATTCTATACATATACAGTAAAACTTCCCTAAGTCGGACTATATAGGGATTTATCCAGTCTGACTTAAAGGTAATAACCCCTATTTGTGCCCTAATGTAAAAAATTTTGTCTAAAAACTTAACAAAACTCGAAAGAAAGAAATGTATTTGCTATTAAAAGAAATAATTACATCTGAACACTCAAGGGCAATTAACTTTTCCCATAAGATTGGTGGGTGGAGAGAGGCTAGTCGACACGCTTAATGTTAAAGTAGAAATATGTACAGTACCGTATTACACTAAACATAATTACACTACTGTACAAGGTAATCTTAATTATGTTAAACTTATATATAATCACTTAAACTATGTACTTTACATTAGTCACTATTTAATCACTTAAATTACTTCTGGGTGCCATCACATTGTCCAGAGTTCTGGTGTCACAGAATGATCAGAGTTGAAGAATGGTGTGGCATCACGTGGCCAGTTACAACTTGGTATGTGCACTGGCAACTCAGACTGAGTCCAACATAGCATTTAATCTAACTTAAAGAAGTCCAACTTAGGGGAGTTTTACTATATAAACATCTCAGAGGGCACTACAGTATTCAGTCGAGTGTCCTTACTTGGAGCTGGCAGATATTCGCCCCATCAGAGGTCTCAGCTCAAGGTTGAAGAAGCTACAAGTCTAGAAAATTGTGAGGGCCAACAATCTGCCAGAGAGTACTGTGATGGCAGGGGTGTGAGCTCTTTCAAGACCAGACCTAACCAACACTGGTTCAGATACAGATACGTTCTGAAGCCAGTACTTGCCAACAATGCATAACAAAGGCTTGACCAACCAACCAATCAAGCGGCTAACAAGTCGATTAGTGGCGAAGAGGGTAAAAGTAAAAGTTAAGGTTGAAGAAACCACAAGTACAGAAAATTATCAGAGCAAACTTTTTTGGGGTGAGTTGTGAACCATTGGGACAATCTGCCAGTGTTGTGACTGTTACGGATACTAGAGTTAAGCACTTGGAAGCTTTATTTAACTTAATACAACATTATATGTACAGTACAGTACCTGAAATCAACAGAAACACACTATTTGTAGTACAGTACCCAATTATGTAGCTACAACATTGTCAGCAAAAGCATAATATACAATAAAGTACACATCATTCTTCCCAGCCTTTAAATGAGCAAAACAAAAATGTACTGAAACTTATCTGAATACATTATTTATGCTATAGCTGAATGTTGTGTCATAAACTAGTACCTAACATAAGAACATTGCAGAAAATAATTTGTGTCCTCATAACTCAACACAACAAAATAATTATCAACCCAAAAGTTACGCAAATATCAAGAATGTTTTCATTGATAATTTTACAGGGTTGAACCTACAGCCTACAAGGAAAAATCAAGTCTAATATGAGAGCAGACACCTAGACCACTCTGATTGATGTAGGATTGGCTGAGTGGTTGGTATATCCTGTCCCAGTCTTTCCTCCTCAACTCTTGAAGGCTCTCTAGGGTTTTTCACTGCCACTGGTCTACAGTTTGGTGTTAGGTTACTGAATAGGGATGGAGATGGAGCATTAACAGTAGTGAGTTCACAGATGCTCAAGGCAGGTTTGGAACCTCCAAAGGGGATTTCAATAGAGCAGTGCAGCTGCAGAAAGTAATGAGGTCTTACAGAGGTCTTGCATCACAGAAATTTTGACACCCTTGTATGTCATTTTTGGGAGTTCTATATAAACAACACCAAAGCCAAGCACATAGGATGATAGGGAAATTTTTGCCATTGACATTTTTTCCATACAAGGGAAGAGATGCCATCCATATGCATTTTTTATACTAGCAATGATGAGGCTTTTTGAGCTGCCAAGCCTGCCAGTATTAATCAACATATTGACAGAAACTCCAGTAGTATTAGCCTTCATGATAGTTTTCGATAGGCAGTCTAGAGAAGCAGCAGTAATAGTTGCTTGTGTCAGTAAGGCTGCAGAGGTTGACTTAGGAGAATGACACTTTTAGCATAGTGGTCTTTTGTCCGACAGTTATTACATTGGGTATCTCTAGTAGGACACTTACAATGGGGATGCTGTTAAGAGCACAGAACCTAGAAACATTTCAGACTCGTTGAGGCAGCTGTGATGGACTGATCAGGGGGAACAAATGACTGTCATGAACTTTGAAAAGTGGCTGGAGCTGGTGATGATCCCATGGCAGTGTAGTGGACGTCTCCCCTACAAACTGCGTAGCACCCACCACCTGCTATCACATTCCAACGTGCCGTTGCCTAGCAACGAAACTATTCACCGGCGACTTTCTGGGTTTTCCCAACATGACTCATAGCGGCTGCTGGGTATATAAGCTCTGTCTCTCCATTGAGATTCATTCTGACCATTCTTCTACAACAAGCAACACCTCCTCCTCCTCCGCCGCTGCCTGGCGGCCCCTCGCTTCTCCTCGCCTGCCTGGCAGTCCTCGCTCCTGCCAGCGAGCATGTCCTTCTCTGAGTTTCCTCACCCACCAGCTTTCTCATTCTGGTCTCTCTTCTACAACAAGCATCACCTCCTCCAGCAAGCTCCTAGCTATCCAGCATTCATTCAACCTGGAGGCCAGCAACAGGCAACATCTTCTCTAACGAAGCTCCTGCACATCTACCTCCTTCAACACGCTACTCACCGAACGTCTTCTACTGAGCTGCCCCACCACACGGCACCTCCAGCACCAGACTGTCTATCATATAACTTATATTATACAAGAAAACCACATTAGAGTTTTCTTCCATCCTGAGTGCTAGACAACATTAATATCTCAATACCCCTACAGCAGCATTAATGGAGTTTGGTTATATATAAGAAATGGTGTTTTTAAGCTATTGCTAAAGTGTACTGTACAGTATTTGTAGTACAGTACTGTACCAGCTAATATAGATAAAACTTTGTCAACAATAGTATACAGTAAAACAATAAAGTACAATCAAGAACACTGGTACAAGTACATATACATTCTAGAATCAGTACATGCCAACAGTGTGTAACCAGAGATATATGACTAATCACCTGAGTGACTAACAAGCCACCAAGTGGTGAAGAGGATAAAGTAAAATTAAATGCAGTTATTTATTTGTGTGCACGCTCGTGGCTTTAAAGAGTCCCGCCTCCCTCGGCGTCCACATCACACTATAAGAGGATACGGATCTAAAGCTAAATATATATTTTTTCAATCATGCAGATAAATTTTGTTTCTCTTCCTTCACTTTTTGTTTATGATAAATAAATTATTCATTTTGCAACTTGAGTCATCTTTATGTGTAAGTACCCGGTCATATTAAATATTGTGGAAATCGAAATATCTTAATTTTAACATACATAATCTAATGATAGCATTATTTAAAAATCTTTGATGAAATTTATGATATCAACAGTACAATAGAAACTTGCCATTGTTATTATAAATAAAGTTAAATATGAGTAAGTGTGTTTCCCACACGTCATACAGTCAGCAGTGGTTCAACATGGCATCCACCGGAGAGTGGGAGTTGGTGGTTAAAGGCTCTAAAAAGGGCAAAGGTGCAACTGTTGCCAATGGGAAACTTAATAAAGAAGAAAAGAAACAGTTTATTCAAAAAGCTCCCAGAGTTACACTAACAGGTACAGGAAGTGTAGTAATATGTATTATGGGTTTTCACATTTTCGGATTTCTCTGTATTTCTTAGGATTATTATTATTTTACTTTAAAAGGCAGTATACCAGTCATTGAAATGGTTTGGTACCGGTTATAGTTGGGCTGTGTACTGTAGTGTTGTAACATCCTGCACCTTTGTTTACTATACTATTCTCTTAAGTCGGGAAAGTATAAACAAAATGGAAGATCTTTTATCAAGTTCAGTATGTTTGTGTTTTGATGAGGTAGTTTGGTTTATTGATGTGTAAGGTGGCCGTGGCATAATGCTGGGAGGTTCCTTACTAGTGTATTGATTTTAGGATTTTTATCAATATTGTAATTATTTGACAGAGAGGTAATTATGATGGTCTTAATTAAGGACAAGGGTCCAGGCTAACTAGTTACCTATTATAACTAAAAATATCTGTAGAAGAAAACGTATATCTTCCCTGTAATGTTGTATTCAACGGCACAAAATCACGAGTACCGTTGTTGACACTCGCACCAAGTGACGCGACTGGCACACCTTATCATGTGCTCTGAACATGTTACCTCATAGCTAGTGGAAAGTTACAGGGGGTGATAGAGTATACAAGTCTAATGTAATTAACCCATTTATATAAATGCTGCTGCCTATATAAGACGGGCTAATGCAAGATTGTTTCATTGAACAGCTTCCTTTCTTCAATAGAACCACTTGTCTCATCTCCTTTGTGCATGTATTTCATTCTTATTGGCAGAATTATGGAGGTTATTTGTATATTTTAATACTCTTCATCCACTCCTCTATATATTTATGTAATATTTTTTTGTCAGTATCACTCTCCTGTTACTTTTAATTTTTTTTTTTAATTTGCAGGGGGAATTGAGGTAGTAGCAGCTGGTAAGGAAAATCGCAAACCAAAGTCACCAAAAGCTGCGAGTGCACCAAAGAAGAAGAAACCAGAAAAGAAAAATAATGTTGGTCCATATCAGCCTGGTACTCTGGAGGAAGCAGTGTGCAGGGTAATACAGTACAACTTTTGATGCATTTGGCTAGCTAAAGTTTATCTTCCTATATATTATTGCCCACACTATGAAGAACTTGTTTGTGTAAATGATTATTGATATCCTGATATACAGGGAGTTCAACTCTTTATGTCATGTACTGTACAGGGTTTTCAGGAAATACCTTTCATAATTCTGGGGAGTATTCCTGAGACCTACAAAAGGAATAGGATTTTTAAATACTGTATGTCTCATTATTTTTCTTTTATAATGTGCACATACTCTTTCTTAATTCTTATATTTTTCTTCCAAGCAGTTGAGTGTAGGAGAGATGCAGAATCTATTGGATGTGGTTGTGTCACGTTTTTATGATTCTCCCTTAATCTGGTTGAAAGATTTGGCTTCCTACCTAAATGTACGAGTTAATCCAGTCCACTCGCCAGATCCTGCCTTCAGGGGTCATCCAAACACATTCCCTGCATCCCTGTTGGGTTCAGAGGTTAAGAAGGTAAGTTTTGCTCTACAACTTTTCACCAAATCCAGGTATTGAAAGTAAGAAATCGGGTTTAGACTAACAAATTTACTTTTGCGTGGAAATGCGGAATGTGGGACCGCGTAAAGTGAGGGTTGACTGTATATATATATGTATATATATACAGTATATGTATATATATATGTATATATATATGTATATATATATATATATATATATATATATATATAGTATATATATATATATATATATATATGTATATATATATATATATATATATATATATATATATATATATATATATATATATATATATATATATATATATATATATATATATATATATATATATATATATATATATATATATATATATATATATATATATATATATATATATATATATATATATATATATATCTCTCTCAGAGATTTGAATTATTTGTCTGATGAAATTGGTATCTTCGGTCTATCCCTAAAAGTTTTAAAAGGTTTCTTTAGCATAATTAAGGTTAAAATCTTGGTGTTCATGATTCAATGTGTGACCCTCCTTTTGTCACACATTATTGTCTCCTCATGGACACTCGTTACAGAAAGTATCTACAAGGTGGGATCCAATGGATGCCAAAACAAACGCTACGATTCCTGGTGTCTCAGTAGAGTTGTCAAAATCCTTCGTCCGTTGTCATATTGTGTAGCAAAAATATTTGCTGATACTGTACAGTGCTTTTTGTTGCGAGTGTACCAAGCATTTCCATTATAGCCAAATATATTTTATGGAATTCTTATGCAAGTACTATGAACATGACTGTTGGGTCTTGAACAGATGAAGGTATGGTGATTGCCCATAGCAAACACAAAGCATATTGATAAGGTCAATAATATAAACATTTCTTGCTTTACAGTTGCTGGTAAACACATTGTCAGGTTGTACTGATAATGTACTAGCATTATTTCACAAGCACTGTATTACATCTATGGTCCAGGAGCAAATTAAAGGTCTTGGTGTGGCTGGTTATAAGCTTTTTTTACAGGTAAGTAGCATCTGAAATATGTTTAAAATGTAGTTCTGAGGACATAATTTTTGATGAGATTTTCGAAATGTATGTGTAAAGTTTTTCTATCCATGTCTATGCCTTTATCATATATGCATCATAATTTTAAAAGTAGTAACACATCAAGCCCATATTGTGACTGATAAAGCAGTAGCAAATTAATTTATGTATTTGCTTAAACCCTTCATGCAGTTGATCTTCAATCAAAATTTACAAAGCTCTTCTATCTTATTTTTAGCAGTTTCTATATGAATATTGTTCAGTACAGTCAGTTCTGATCTAAGACGAGCAAATTCAACGTGTGAATTGAAGTTTTTCTCCAATGACTAAAATAGTCTTTCTGGAACCATACTTTCATAGTGAGGAAATCATTGATAATTAATCAATTAGCTTTATGAAATCAATATCCTTCATAGACTTGAATGTCCCCTTCATCTACATCTAAAATTAAAAACAAAATGTTTTATAAAGTGCATGAGGTGATATTTTTTTTTTCTTCAATAAGTGGGCTTACCACAATTCTCTACACAGTATTCCAGGTGTCATCAAACTTGGTTTCACATATTTCTTGTACTGTACTTTGATAATGGTTTTTCAGTTTCATTGGAACAACACACTATGTTCATTGATTTTGATTGCAGTACAGGTATATTAAAAAGTACAGTAAATGGATATATTGAGGATCATATGTGCAGCAAAGGATTAAAAGTAAAAATTTGAAAAATTTATGAAAATTCTTGAGCTTAATTTTTTGTTTTGTGGTCCAAATTTTGAGGACATTCTTTGATATGGTCAAAAAATTACTTCTTCATAAGGTAAATGAAGTTCTTTCTTAGCATTAATGATCTTGACCATCAAGCCAAAAAATAAATAGTATATATCCTCTACCCAGCTTCAATATACACTACAGTACTGTAAAGTACTAAGTTTCATGAATAACAGTGTGCAAGAAGTGACACTATGAAGGCAAAGTTGAAAATCTATGTTTAATAGATTATTAGAAGAAACTATCCTGTAGCTAAGTTGAGCTTGCACTACAGTAGTTGCAATTCTGAATTTTTAATTTACAATGAACATGGATCAAGTAATTCAGATCCCTCCTACTTCACTTGGGATGTTGAAGAGAGCTAGGAACTGAAGGTTGATTGAAGCGGAGCTCTGTTCTGTATCTTACTATTGGGTCATGAAGTGCGTGCACAATAGTACAGTGGCATAGACTTAAAGCACTCATCTTTGGCAGTTTGCTCCTCACTGCCACCCAATATTTATAGTGACTGGTTGAGCTTGATGAGATGCAACCCATAGTTTTTTCTTTTATTGTACTGTACTTATTTCTGGAGTGTGGGAAGTGTGGTTAACCCGTAAGTTTTTTGACATACCAGTAATGCATGAAATATTGTGATCAATTCATCCCATTTTTTCAGATCTTGTCAATTAACCATGCACATGTGGGTGTCATGAATTTGCCTTACTATTGTGATCTGCGACACAATATCCAGAACCAGACTCCTGCCTGTCTTTCCATGCTGTGGGCAGTTGGGCAGTCTGGGCTGGATGACTTCACTGTAGGTTTGAAAGGTGAGTTTATTATTGCTTATTTTCTAGTAAAATTAGAACTAGATAAGTAATTTCTTGTAGATTTTAAAATTCAGATATAATTTGTAACAGAAAAATAATCCCAGCAACTGATCAGGCTTCAGTACCCCCACCGTCATTGATCATGTCCACAGAACTTGTCGACAGTCCAGGGACATATCCCCATTGTTGAACTTTTCCAGCCTTGCTGTGGGCACATGGTTACCTGCCCATACAGAAAACTTAGTCAGCAATATCCTGCTGTCTGTCTACTCCACATCACCTCTTGTGTACCCACCTTCCACACTTGTTGCACTTTATTGAGTTGCTACCAACACTTTTCTTACAGACATCACACATCAAATTCTATTGCTCCATCAGGAAGTAGTTATTCTGACCCAAGGTAAGTTATAATTTTTAAAACAGTGTTTGAAGTGATGGAATTGTTGCAATGAGGAATTTTTTGGTGTATTTTTTGAGCTATACAGTGATCCCTCGGTTAACGAGATTTCGGTTGACAATTTACCTTCCATAAGATTCTTAACTTCGGTTAACGAGCAATCCCTCGATTAACGAGTTTTTTACGAGCCGACTTCAACATGTTTTCGCTTGCATTTGGCGGTCCACCAGCTGTAGTATTAGTCCGCCAATACAGTAATCGGTTTTAGGGCTTAAATTCCCTACTATTTTAGTAAATATCAAGAAGTTTATACTATTCAATAATTTTAAAAGTTTAATATTAACTTTTTTAGTCATTTTAACAATTATTGAACATAATTGAAGGTAAAGAAACAAGTTTCTGGCGTGCCATCCAGCCTGTTAACACACCAGACGGGCGTTAGTGTCTCTCTGTTTTCAGTGGAGGTAACATCTTGCTTGAGACTCTCTTCAACTAAATGCTTTTTTCTGTGTTTCCAAGCAAATTATTGGTCATTTTGAAATATATTTTACATATTGACAATATATAATGCAGTGCAGTGTTGATTTAAAGAAAATAATCTTGAAATACACCAGGAGAACTAAAATTTTATGGGTGAAATGGTGCCATGGGGTGACTTCTCTTCCACCCCAATGCCTTCTCTTCTTCCTTCTCCTCCACCCCCATTCTAATTCCCATCATCATCATCATCCAGGAGCCTTCTACATACACACCTCAAAGTAAGTGTACTTTTCTGCCTTTTTTTTTAATTTAGGCAATTTTCGGTGAGCTGGAACCAATTACCCAAGAACCCATTGAAACAATGGTTTCGGTTAACGAGTTTTTCGGTTAACGAGCAACCTCCTGGAGCGAATTGTGCTCGTTAACCGAGGGACCACTGTAGTCCGATACACTATACTGTACAGTATTTTCTTTTAAAATACATCGATTGATATAATGTGATCCACTATTACATGATAATTTTCGGTCCCATTCTTATTCTGTATCGAAGGTCTACAGTACAATGATGTATAAAGATTATATAATTACCAATATCTATTTAATTCAATGGTGAGAATAACAAACATCTTACACATGCTTGGGGAGTTTTTGACCCTTAAATCAAAGAAAATTTACACAACCGGTATACTGTATGTATTTTTTTGGGAGGGGGGGGGAATTCATTGAGTACCGTATATACTCGTGTATAGTTCGAGTTTTTAAGACCAAATTTTTAGGCATAAAATTGGGGGTCGTCCTATACATGCGTAATAGTTTTGTTAGGTTGAACCCGTGCATGATGGGAAGGGCGAGGAGTAACTTTTAGCTTCAGACATGAAAAATATTTACCATTTACTGCCAGTAAACAATGGGAACGTAAAATATGTACCAATTAGTAATGAAAAGTTGTGCAGTTCCTTCAGTAAATGAAGCTCACCAACTTACAATAGGCTAAATTACCTTACAACGTGCTTTCAGTAGTCTATGTTGAAGTTCTTAGCACAGGCTAACTTATCATATCATATACGGTATCACAGTTCTCATTGATCTACAAAAAATACCGGTAATAAAAACCTTTTCGATATTTCACACTTAATATAATACCCGGTAATCTACTTCAACCTCCTATTGTAATAATAATAATAATAATTGATGGTTTATTGAAAAAGTTCTGCAGCCCGAAGGCTGAAAATATACATTGGACATAAATGACTTATTACATACATTGGTGGTTTAACAAAAGCCTTCATTAGAGAAAGGTAAAGGAACATACAGTGAACATACAGATTAATGTAGGTGTTGAACAGCAAAAACGTAGTGTAGTAACTCCCTCCCAGATGGTGTTAGGAGGGACCTCACGTGGTGTAGTAGTTCCCTCACAGATGGTGTTATGAGGGACCTGACGTGGTGTAGTAATTCCCTCACAGATGATGTTATGAGCGGCCTCACGTGGTGTAGTAGTTCCCTCCCAGATGGTGTTAGGAGGGACCTCACGTGGTGTAGTAGTTCCCTCCCAGATGGTGTTAGGAGGGACCTCACGTGGTGTAGTAGTTCCCTCACAGATGGTGTTATGAGGGGCCTCACATGGTGTAGTAAATCCCTCACAGATGGTGTTATGAGGAGCCTCACGTGGTGTAGTAATTCCCTCACAGATGGTGTTATGAGGGGCCTCACGTGGTGTAGTAACTCCTTCACATATGGTGTTATGAGGGGCCTGACGTGGTGTAGTAATTCCCTCACAGATGGTGTTATATGAGTGAGGTGTGGTCCCAGGCCTTCCTATCGTAGACGGATTAACACATCGCTGGTTGTTGGGTCTCATGGGCCGTTATCACTGGGTACCTGGGACCTCACTGTGTGAAGGTCAACCCGGGTACGACTGTTACTGTTGAGTTGTTCTCACTGACTTAAGCACCGTTCACCACTGTTCACCTCTGTTTAACACTGGTTCCATTCCTTTCCTAAATGAAACAGCAACTTCTGGCGAGAACATGTTGATATTCCGGTGGGGAGGAGGGGGCTGGTATGGACCAACACAACAGTTGACCTGGCTGCTCCGAGAGGAGCGCCAGGCACGTCTCGACCCTTCGGTGGTCAAGGATGTAGTTTACAACGACGCAAGACGCTTCAGGCACCACCAGCTGTATCAGCTAGACGGTACACGTGTTTTTCGAATCGTTTTCAGTTAAAAAACTGTTACATCACATGTATATTTTACCTTAACTGTGCCTGAATGAATATGCTCTCGGAAATAAATAGTAGTTTTGCTGAAACGTGATATATTTTAATGTAAAATAGGATAAAATACATGACGAAAAAAAAGATTTTACCTAACCTTCTGATGTTCAAGAGAAGTTACTCGTTTTTTTAATAGTTTTTGGTTAAAATACTGTTATATTACAATGGTATTCTATTCATACTGTGCTTGATATAATGCATTCACGGAAATGTAATATTTTTGCTGAAATGACGTACGTATTACAGTGGAAAATGGGATAAAATTGTGACGAAAACAATGACTTTCGCTTTCTTTCGTTCAAAAGATGTTACCTTAATCGCTTTTCGAATGGTTTTCAGTTTAAAAACTGTTGTATTACGATAATATTCTATCGTAATTGACTTGAATAAATACTACGATACCATATTTCTGAATATTTTCATTAAAATCCATCAAAATCATTTTCCTTGTCATCGTCTGCAGCACCAAACAGCTTCTCCCAGTCCTCTCCTTGAACAGGGCAAGAGGGTACGTGTTTTTCGAATCGTTTTCAGTTAAAAACTATTACATCACACGTATATTTTAACTAAACTGCGCCTGAATGAATATATTATCGGAAATAAATAGTAGTTTTGCTGAAACGTGATGTATTTCAATGTAAAATAGGATAAAATACATGATGAAAACAAAAGACTTTACCTAAGCTTCTGTTCTTGAGATGTTACTCGTTTTTTTAATAGTTTTCAGTTAAAATTCTGTTATATTACAATGATCTTCTATTCATACTGTGCTTGACATAATACATTCACGGAAATGTAATATTTTTGCTGAAATTACGTACGTATTAAAGTGGAAAGTGGGATAAAATCGTGACGAAAACAATGACTTTCGCTTTCTTTCGTTCAAAAGATGTTACCGTAATCGCTTTTCGAATGGTTTAGTTAAAAACTGTTGTATTACAATAATATTCCCTCCTAACTAACTTGAATAAATACTTGAATGGAAATATAAAATATTTTTGTTGAAACTACAGTACCCGCGTTTCAGTGTAAAGTGTCGTAATAATAAATGGTAAACAATTTGCCTTCAGCACTCGTGTTTCATGCACGGTGTTACGAGTTGGGGATTTTGAATATAGTTAAAAGTCTACCCAGATCCCAACAGGCAACAACAAAAAAAAACAAAGACAATCGGACTATAAAAGGGTAGACAAAGGATGGGAGTTTTTGTTGTGTATAATAAAGTACCATAAATTCCTTAACAAAATATTCAGCTTTCTATAATTTACCCTTAACCATACTTAACCTAAACATTAACAGTATATACATATTTATACAAGATTACAAAGATACATATTTATAAGATTACAAATACTTAAGTGAGGAGCTGAGATGGCTGACGAGTAAGGCTGAGTATTGTAGAAGACGGTAGGTAGTCACTGTGCCGTAGGTTTCCAGGATAGGTGATCCTGTGGTCACTTCCCAGAGTGAACTGAACTCTCCTCGAACTGGAGCTGACGAAGAAGACTTTGAGGAGGTGACGCAACAACCAGGATATGGAGAAGGGAAACCCCGGAGTGGTAACTAAGAGTAGTCATACTCGGGTTTCGTCCCTAGATGGCGTTGCTCGTGGTGCTGGGTAGGTAGATCAGGACAATAGATGGCGTGGTTCGTAGTGCTGGGTAGGTAGATCATGACAATTGGTGGCGTGGTTCGTAACAACGGCGAGCCTCAGTTTATAGGACGTAGAGCATTTTTAGTGAAGGTTTTGTTGTTCCATTGCCCTCAAAAACGTGGGTCGAACTATAAATGAGGAATATCGTAAATTAACGATTTCTTGGTCAAAAAATCAGGGTCGACCTATAAACGAGGGGGGGTTATAGACGAGTATATACGGTACTTAAAATATGGGGAGAGAGTGATATCATATTTATCTTCCAGTTACTGTAGTTGGTTTAAAATGATTAAAGGCAAAACTGGTGACCATTTTCTTTTGTTATGTGATTTTAAGAGCTTATCAAAAAATTGTTTGGTATACAACTTTTTTCGATTCCACTGGTCCAAATACAATGAAACCACTAATACCAAATTTCAACAAAAGTTCCTCAACATTTACATATAGGGCTTCATTTTAGAAAACAGGTCCAGACTATCATAGGCATATTTGTGTTGCTGGGGGAGCAGAATATAATAATAATAATAAACGGTTTACAGTGGTCCCTCGGTTAACGAGCACAATCCGTTCCAGCATGTTGCTCGTTAACCGAAAAACTTGTTAACCGAAGCCATTGTTTCAATGGGTTTTTGGGTAATTGGTTCCAGCTCACAGAAAATTGCCTAAATTCAACAAAAAATGTAGAAAAGCACACTTACTTTGAGGTGTGTATGTAGAAGGCTCCTGGATGATGATGATGGGAATTAGAATGGGGGTGGAGGAGAAGGGAGAAGAGAAAGCATTGGGGTGGAAGAGAAGTCACCCCATGGCGCCATTTCACCCATAAAATTTTAGTTTTCTTGGTGTAATTCAAGATTATTTTCTTTAAATCAACACTGCACTGCATTATATATTGTCAATATGTAAAATATATTTCAAAATGACCAATAATTTGCTTGGAAACACAGAAAAAAGCATTTAGCTGAAGAGAGTCTCAAGCAAGATGTTACCTCCACTGAAAAGAGAGAGAGACTAACGCCTGTTTCGTGTGTTGCCAGGCTGGATGGCATGCCAGAAACTAATTTCATTTCCTTCAATTATGTTCAATAATTGTTAAAATTACTAAAAAATTTAATATTAAACTTTTGAAATTGTTGAATACTGTAAACTTCTTGATATTTATGGAAATGGTAAGGAATATATGCCCTAGAACCGATTACTGTACTGTGGACTAACACTACAGCTGGTGGACCGCCAAATGCAAACGAAAACATGTTGAGGTCGGCTCGTAAGAAACTCGTTAATCGAGGGATTGTTCGTTAACCGAAGTTAAGAATCTTATGGAAGGTAACTCGTTAACCGAAATCTCGTTAACTGAGGCGCTCGTTAACCGAGGGACTACTGTAGATGGGATGGTGCTATTCTTATATCTATTGGTGCGGGCTCTTATGGGCTGAATTTTGTTGTAGTGGCGGACTGTGCGAGGTGGGTGGGGGGGCTGCCAGTGGCAGGAGGTGGCGATGACGAGGGTGGTGCATTAGTTGGCTGCTAAACCTTTCCAGTGCTTGGTGACGGAGGTCACTGAGGGATGGCATTTCCAGGGTGGAGAAAGCGTTCATGTAGCTGGAGTATTCTGCGCCGAGCATGATTCTGCAGGCCATTTTCTGTACCTTCTCTAGCCGTCGTTGTTGGGTGGAGTTGAGAGAAGACGACCAGGCTGGTGACGCATACGTTAGTTTGGGGAGAAAAAAAAGGCTTTGTGGATAGTCCTCAGCTCCGGCGCGGGTGTTCCAAGTGACCTAAGTCGTCGTAGCATGTAGAGATGGTATGAGGCTGCCTTGACTGTGTTATTTACATGGGCCTTCCAGTCCAGTTTGTTGTGCAGCATTTTGTCACATTGATAATATTATCTTCTTGCAGTATGGATGGAGCTCATGGTACCTCTCATTGGCCTGAAGAACTACTCTGCATATGTGGTAGACTACGGAAGCACAGTATTTGGGGGAGGAGGGGGAGATGGGGCTGAAGACTGTGGGGATGTCCTGGGTGTACGTGAATTTTTCACAATCTTGGATTTCACTTGGTGTTCTTCTGTGTCATTGCCAAAGCCTGTACAGAGACAGCTCTTTGCCCTCTATCCAAAAGTCAAGGTATGTTTTCTATATACTGTATACATTGTGTGGATTATTATAAAGAATAGTTAATTATACTGTACTGTCCTTAATTGTGGGCAGGGTATTGATTTAAGTTATGTCGGTCAGTTTGTGTTGCCCAAATTGTTTGTAGATTTGCACCAAATTTGGGAAGTTTGGTCAACAAGTGTTGTCATGGTAATAAGAGTTTTCTGGGGTTAAAGAAAACATTGTCATGAGACAGTCTCCATTGGTGACTACTGTACATTGATTTATAGTAGCAGCATCACTATCTCAATATTTATCCTGCCTGCCATAGTGTGTGTGGGCTGGGTTTGCACAAACCTGATACATTTGAAAAGGAATTGAAAAGAGGAAAAAAGTCAGAATAGATGGAGACATTTTTAAGAATGATAAAAAGGAGAAGAATGTAAGAATTAAGAAAATAATTTTAGTGGGAAATGTGTCAGAGTTTTTAATTTTAGATTGTATTTATAGCAGTTATCAGTGCAAATGGGAGTGATGAGAGATTAATATGGGATAAAAGTGTTGATGTTCTCTGAAACCTAAAGTTTATTTCTCGTCATTTGAGATAAAAATTCTCAATAGCTAGTTTTTACAAGTTTCATCCATATTGAACACCTGTTTGAGTGCATAGTGATAAACTTCTTGGGAATTGCAACTAGGTTAACATTGTCAGCATTCATTGCCTTACCAGAGAATTTGATGTGAGGAGACTGTGACATAAACTTCTCAAACCAAGGCTACAGCTTTTGATTTGTGTTTTTTAAGTAATTTTTTGTCCATTTTAGGTTGTTAAACTTAAACATGACAAGTTATTGGAAATTAGCAAAATTAATATAAAAGATATATTTTTGTTAATATTACCTTAATGTATATCTTTCCAGACAGCAGCTTTCAGTTCTAGTCCTGAAGTGACACTGCGCAACTTCTTTCCATCATTTTTACGTCGTCTAGATCCAAATGTGTCTCATGCATTAAGAGTGGAGGTGAGTCTTTTGTCTTGATGCTGTTTGAAACTCTAGAGTTTATATATATATATATATATATATATATATATATATATATATATATATATATATATATATATATATATATATATATATATATATATATATATATATATATATATATATATATATATATATATATATATATATATATATATATATATATATATATATATATATATATATATATATATATATATATATATATATATATACACACACAGTTGGTCCTCATATTACGCGGTTAATGTAACCCGGAGGGTACCGCGGAAAGTGAGAAACGCGTAAAGTGAATAACATAACATATGGGATTAATTGAAATGGAGTCCGGGCCGATCCCCAAACTCCACTTTTTGACGACACACAACTATGTTGTAGTAAAAATATTATCTTAACTTTATGATGGCATGCACACACAATTAATAATTAAGAGAAATATCAATAATATTAGGTTTTTTAACACTTACATTAGTAGAAAAGATGGCTGGGCACACGGGGATGGGCGGTTGGTTCCGAGGCAGAGGGCAGATTATTGGCCCTCACCTGTATCACTTGTATCAATTGTATCACTATCCACCACAGAGGCTTGCAGGGCCTCTTTGTCAAACCCCCCAAAGTTCATATAAGTCCATATCCTCACTATAATTATCACTATCACTGACTTGGGCCGGCTGTAGTGGGTGGCGGGTGAAGAACTGGTCATGTTTTGATGACTGGGCGACCTTGTGCGCACCATTTTCGCGCCTCTTACACAACATGGCGGATGGCGGGAGGTTTGGATCCAAAAATGGCGCGGCTTGCCAGCCGCTCTCCGCGTAATGGGGTTCACGACCGCGGAATGTGAAAATGTTAGGTTCTGGCAAGGCACCGCGTTAACGGTGAAACGCGGAATGCGGGACCGCGTAATATGAGGACCAACTGTGTGTATATATATATATATATATATATATATATATATATATATATATATATATATATATATATATATATATATATATATATATATATATATATATATATATATAGATAGATAGATAGATAGATAGATAGATAGATAGATAGATAGATAGATAGATAGATAGATAGATAGATAGATAGATATAGATATAGATATAGATATAGATATATATTGTGTGTGTGTATGTATACCCTATATACTGTACTGTATATTTGTTCAACAGTTACTGACATGCCTGGTTCAGTGCTTAACTCAAGATCCCCAGTGCTGGAGCATATGGTCACAGCTTTACCTCAAGCATTTACCACAGTCAGCTGTCCTACTTCATCACTTAGGTATGGTCTACATAATATCTCATTACCAACTACAGTAATATCTCTGATAGCAGGAATTGAAATTTTCTCGGAAAATCGTTCCCAAAGCCGGAATTTTCCGAAAAAATGCGGCTTTGGTAACAATTTTCCGAGGGGCACATTTTCCGGAAATTTCTGAGAAAATTTTCCCGATACCTGGAAAACTCCGGGGATTGGGGAGTTTTTTCGGGTTTGAGAGATGAAAATGAGGCGCATTTCTTGGAAATTGCGAGAAAAATTTTCCGTTAACCGGAAAATTCCAGGGATGGGGGATAATTTTCCAGGTTTGAGAGATGATGTAATAGACAATTTCTGGAACTTCAGAGAAAATTTTTCCGTTACTCGGAAAATTCCGGGGATGAGGGATTTTTTTCCGGCTTTGAGAGAGTCGTCGCATCACCCAGAAATCTCTCATTCCCGGAAGTGCTCTACACCAATTGTTCCAGCTAACGGGGACATCACTGTATTGTTATTATTATTATTATTATTTTGATTTAATTACCTGGATGTTCTGTCTTTTGAAATAACAATATGGTAAATAAGGGCAGAAATCACTTGAACTCTTTATGATTGTTAAAATGTAATAAAGGTCTGCCAACAGAGTAAGTTATACTTAACCCACTAACTGCTAACTACTGTAGGTACTCCAGAAAAGTACTTGTCCCCACAGGCACATGATTTTTTGAAAAATTCTAAATTACTATCAAATAATATAACAAAGTACAGTGGTCCCTCGGTTAACGAGCACAATTCGTTCTAGAAAGTTGCTCGTTAACTGAAACCATTGTTTCAATGGGTGTTTGGGTAATTGGTTCCAGCTCACCGAAAATTGCCTAAAATCAACAAAAAAGGTAGTAAAGTACACTTACTTTGAGGTGAGTATGAAGAAGGCTCCTGGATGATGATGGGAATTAGAATGGGGATGGAGGAGAAGGGAGAAGAGAAGACATTGGGGTGGAAGAGAAGTCACCCCATGGTGCCATTTCACCCATAAACTTTTAGTTTTCTTGGTGTAATTCAAGATTATTTTCTTTAAATCAACACTGCACTGCATTATATACAGTGACCCCTCGGTTAATGAACTCAATCCATTCCAGAAGGTCGTTCGTTAACCGAAACCATTGTTTCAATGGGATTTTGGGTAATTGGTTCCAGCTCACCAAAAATTTCCTAAATTCAACAAAAATGGTAGAAAAGTTCACTTACTTTGAGGTGTGTATGTAGAAGGCTCCTGGATGATGATGATGATGATGGGAATTAGAATGGGGGTGGAGGAGAAGGAAGAAGAAAAGGCATTGGGGTGGAAGAGAAGTCACCCCATGGTGCCATTTCATCCATAAAATTTTAGTTCTCTTGGTGTATTTCAAGATTATTTTCTTTAAATCAACACTGCACCGCATTATATATTGTCAATATGTAAAATATATTTCAAAATGACCAATAATTTGCTTGGAAACACAGAAAAAAAGCGTTTAGTTGAAGAGAGTCTCAAGCAAGATGTTACCTCCACTGAAAACAAAGAGAGACTAAAGCCTGTCTGGTGTGTTAACAGGCTGGATGGCACGCCAGAAACTTGTTTCTTTACCTTCAATTATGTTCAATAATTGTTAAAATGACTAAAAAAGTTAATATTAAACTTTTAAAATTATTGAATAGTATAAACTTCTTGATATTTACTAAAATAGTAAGGAATTTAAGCACTAGAACCGATTAATGTATTGGCTGACTGATACTAAAGCTGGTTGCCCGGTCAGTGCAAGCGAAAACATGTTGAGGTCGGTTCGTAAGAAACTCGTTAACCGAATTTTTGTTCGTTAACCGAATTGAAGATCCTTATGGAAGGCAGTTCGTTAACCGAAATTTCGTAAACCGAGGCGTTCGTTAAACGAGGGGTCACTGTATTGTCAATATGTAAAATAAATTTGAAATTGACCAATAATTTGCTTGGAAACACGGAAAAAAGCGTTTAGTTGAAGAGAGTCTCAAGCAAGATGTTACCTCCACTGAAAATAGAGAAACTAACTCCTGTATGGTGTATTGACAGGCTGTATGGCGCGCAAAATACTAGCTTCCTGTACTTCAATTATGTTCAATAATTGTTAAAATGACTAAAAAATTTAATATAAAACTTTTAAAATTATTGAAAAGTATAAACTTCTTGATATTTACTAAAACAGTAAGGAATTTAAGCCCTAGAACCGATTACTGTATTGGCGGACTAATACTACAGCTGGTGGACCGCCAAGTGCAAGCGAAAACATGATGAAGTCAGCTCGTAAAAAACTCGTTAATCGAGGGATTGCTCGTTAACCGAAATTAAGAATTTTATGGAAGGTAACTCGTTAACCGAGGGATCACTGTGCAGTGATCCCTCGGTTAACGAGCGCCTCAGTTAACGAAATTTTGGTTAACAAATTACCTTGCATAAGATTCTTAACTTCGGTTAACGAGCATTCCCTCGATTAACGAATTCCTTACGAGGGGCCCCCAACATGTTTTTGCTTGCACACTAGCTATGGTATTAGTCCGCCAATACAGTAATTTGTTCTAGGGCTTAAATTCCGTACTATTTTAGTAAATATCAAGAAGTTTGTACTATTCAATAATTTTAAAAGTCTTATACTAAAATTTTTAGTCATTTTAACATTTATTTAACATAATTTAAGTACTGTACAGGGAAACTAGTTTTTAGCACTCCAAACAGCCTGTCAACACACCATACAGGCGTCAGTCTCTGTGTCTTTTCAGTGGAGGTAACATCTTGCTTCAGACACTCTTCAACATAAATGCTTTTTTTCTGTTTCCAGTCAAATTATTGGTCATTTTGAAATATATTTTACATATTGACAATATATAATGCAGTGCAGTGTTGATTTAAAGAAAATAATCTTGAATTACACCAAGTGAACTAAAATTTTATGGGTGAAATGGCGCCATGGGGTTCCACCCCAATGCCTTCTCTTCTCCCTTCTCCTCCACCCGCATTCTAATTCCCATCATCATCATCATCATCCAGGAGCCTTCTACATACACACCTCAAAGTAAGTGTACTTTACGAATTTTTTTGTTGACTTTAGGCAATTTTCTGTGAGCTGGAACCAATTACCGAAAACCCATTGAAACTATGGTTTCGGTTAACGAATTTTTCGGTTAACGAGCAACCTTCTGGAACGAATTGTGCTCGTTAACCGAGGGACCACTCTATGTACTAAAAATAAAACAAATTAAACTGATCTGGTGCATTGTAGAAGAAATAATTGTGGTAGCTGGCTTGGACTGTGATATAAGAGTTCCTCATTATACATCAGTGATGTATTTCAGAGAAAAGCAAAGTCCTTGTAGTGAATGTTTTATAATTTGGAATTTTTTCCCATAAGAATGATTGTAGTAATTTGGGATATATGCATTCCAATATGCACAGTAATACCCCTTGAAAGCTCAGGATGTGTTCTTAGAGAGAGTTTTCAACAAATAAGCTTACAATGGGGTCATTATAATGTATACTGTACAGTATTTGATATGGAGATAAATTCCTAACGTCATTAGGATTTGTTACCTTTGAGTGTTACATAATGGCTTGAATTGGCTGCTTGTTCACTTAGACAACTGGTCAATGAATAAACCAAGGAATATGTATACCCATAATACACTACAATATTATTTAACAAGTGTTGAAGACAGATGTTGTGGTAAGTACCAACCATCTTGAGCAGTGATAGCAGAGGTGTGAGAGAGATGCAGAGCGCCGGCAATACTGCAAGGGAGGGCGATAATGGTCAGCTGTTCGCGCTGGTAAACAATGCACTGGGATTTTAATACAATGCAATAACTCGTTTGGGTGTGGGATTCTTTGGGGAAAATTTATTATTTACAAGAATATTTTATTAACCTGGCACCAAGTGAACCTAAATAACATGAGAATTATGGTAAAACTGCATACTGTCGTGTTAAGGGGGCAGTTGTCCACCCAGGTCCCACACACAATTAATTTCCCGCTTTTCATTTTTCTTTGTTTATTTTCTTTATTTCTTAGTCACATTAAAACATTGAAATAACTTTTCCACAACTTTTATGGTTTCTTAGACAACAATGGCACATGCACAGTCTTCTCGGTGCTAACAAGCACCCGTGTGTTACGGTGATTTATAGACTTGATATTCTCCCATACACAATAATATACTGTACCAGTGCAATTATATTTTATTATTTTATATCTTTACATTAATCAAGTACTGTCATTTTTAACTACTGTTATTGTTTGAATACAAAGTCAACAAATAAATCAAGAGTGAATAGGACTAATTTTGAGTAAGCAGAGACAACACAGGATAACTTTTTGACAAAATAGGTGTGCACAAAGGACAAAGTCACATGGGACACAGGTGGGAAGTGCCCAGATGGGCAATGTTTATACTGTGCAGTATATCATGTGGGTCAATTCACCACTTGGGCCAATTGGTGGCTGAGGCAGACACTGCCCTGTGTTTATGCATTGCTCATATGAGAAGCTTAACGTGCATGACCATAATTTTGTACATACTATGTGTTCAAGATTTCAAATTTTTTCTGAAATATAAATATTTGATCCAGTAGTGAAATAGCCAAACTCGAAAAAGTTGAATTCCAAAATTTTAAGATTTACTCTATTAATTGTGATTCTGTACCAATTGTGGAATACCTGTTATGGTCCTTAGGATTTTTGACTGGTAAGTTATCATTGATAAGATAAATAAGATTGGTCATGATTTGGAATACTTGATGAGATAATGACTGATTTGATCTTGGGAAGGTTTTTACTGGAATTAAAGGATTAAAGCATAAAGGTGTGAACTGAGTTGTAAATGGTACTCGCTGTTTGTGTGAAAATAAATTTTGTATATAGTAATTAATACAATTAAATTATATAACTACCTGTATTGCAAGTGATTACCCATAGATTTTACCCAAATTTTCTCTCATGCTAGGTCGAGAATGGAAGATTCTGAGTCGGTCCTTGCGTGTCCAAAGGAAAGAGGTACGAGAAACTATAGAAGGTTTTGCGGAATCCAATGAACAGATGTCGCATAAAGCTCGTGCTGTGGCTGGAGTTATTGAAGCTACAGAGGCAACAAAGGTAAGTTGTCTTTTTGATGATTTATGGTCTATTTGTGTGTATTTTTATTTATTACCTACAAATCCTCTTTAAATTATATTTTTAATGGAAAAGCAGTCCAGGATCCATACCACTCAAAAGTATGTAATTTATAAAATTACACACACAAACACACTGCTTGGTCTTAAGGTGCTCAAATTTTTTAATTTTGGCTACCTCTGAGACCCTCTTTTTCAAGAATTTAAGGTTGTGTAGAAACTACAGTACTTACTTTATCTATTAGTTATGACCCAGTCACAAATATCAAGGTCTTCTAAGCCCTGGTTGTTAAAGTTTAGACTCATTGACTTTATATGAGTTGCTCAGTCCATATTCATTTATAAAATGTGTTTTTCAGGATTAACTCCTTAGTTATGAGATTAGTTAATGGTTCCAAATGTGTGCCAGGTGGGCCAGGTTAGAAATGCTGAGAGGGATATACCATATGAGAAAGAAGGGAGGAAGTCTTGGTGAGGTTTCTTTTATCTTGTAAGGCTTCAGTATGTCACAGTATATGGGTGTCCAGCCTTACCATATAAGTGTTCTTTTCAACCTGGTGTGTGGTGAATGTTAAAGTGCAGTGATGTATTAATAGAAGCTTCATCTGAAAAGATATGACGCTTCGAGAAAATAAAGTGTATGGTTATTTTTTGTATCGCAGCTTTATGGCAGTATGTTTGGAAAACGTGGACAGAGTCAACCAGTGGATGGAAATTCTCGAAGTCGTTTCTTCTCTCTGCCATTATCAAGATCCTCCAGCCTAAGTACAAAACCATTCTGCGTTGACCAATCCCAAGAAATTCCATGCAGATTCTCGTATGTTCGTGCATCAAATTCTTATCATCGTTATGGCAGAAGCCCAAATAGGAGGACCCTGACATATGATGCAAGTTCTTTTAGTAGTAGAGAAGATTTGTTAGAATGTCCTGGCCTTCCTGTTAGAAGAAAAAAAATCGGTACAGTTAAACCTGCCTCTCAAAAGTACAGAAGTGGCAACAGTAGCTCTGATGATTTGCTTAATGAGGATTCTGATATAACTGATGGACTGTTCAGTAGTGGGATACCAGAGACTGATGGCAGTGTGTTCAGCAGTCAAGAGGACCTGTTAGGCCCTACTGTGACTCCTAAGGTCAAATGTTCTGCTAATGTAGAGAGGTTTGTCCGTAGGTCAAGCTCTGGTAAAGGCAGCAGTATCAGTAGAGTGTCAAGCAGCCCCTACAGACATCCTCAAAATGTACCGGTTCAGGCAGAATTATTGAGTGAATGCAAATATAATGAAAAGAACCATTGCTCTACAATTTCCAGCTTAAGTACATCTGAGAGTGAGCAGTATGAAAAATGGAACAAATTCATTCCTTTTAAAGGTGAGAGAAGATCTCCATCACCATCACAACATTTACATGCTACAGTAACCCCTAATGGATCATCTGAAATAGCTTCACATCCAGCCACACCAGATAGCTTTTTACCAATGCGCTTTAAAGTCCAAAGTGCTGTTGTTAAAACAATTTGTAGATTGGTGGATCACCTTGGCAATGTACGAGAACAGGTGAGGATTATTGAAAGCAGGTGTAGCCATCTGAAGGACACAATGTGTGCCTTGGAATATACTCAATATGTACTTGATGCAAAACTAATGGGGCTAGAAAGGCAGTTTAAGTACTCAGACAAGGTAAGCTTTGATTCAGACTCAGGGTGTCCTCAGATGGGTGTAAAGTGTGGAGAAAACAATCATAAAACTGCTTGTTATACATTTAGAAAACCAGTTCAGGAAAATACTTCTTCATTTAAAACATCATCCCGTAACATTGATGATAAAACAGACTTGTCGTCACAAGAAAGGGCCATGGAAGAGTCAGACTTTGAGGATTTTCCCAGATTCTTGCAAGTTTCAGAAACAGATCTAGTAAGTTGAAGTAAATATGGAATTAAGTTACCTTATTTACTCGTATATAAACCATTATCATATATTGTTCGACACCTTAATTTTTTTGTATAATGCCTGTATTTTTAGTATAATTTGACCCTAAGTTTTGAAAAATACTGGGTATGATCCTAGACATATTTTCTAGTGAGAAAAACTGCTTGTTATACATTTAGAAAACCAGTTCAGGAAAATACTTCTTCATTTAAAACATCATCCCGTAACATTGATGATAAAACAGACTTGTCGTCACAAGAAAGGGCCATGGAAGAGTCAGACTTTGAGGATTTTCCCAGATTCTTGCAAGTTTCAGAAACAGATCTAGTAAGTTGAAGTAAATATGGAATTAAGTTACCTTATTTACTCGTATATAAACCATTATCATATATTGTTCGACACCTTGATTTTTTTGTATAATGCCTGTATTTTTAGTATAATTTGACCCTAAGTTTTGAAAAACACTGGGTATGATCCTAGACATATTTTCTAGTGAGACCCCAGATTCACACCAATGCATCTTGGCTGTAACCTCCACCACAACAACAGTTGCTATGCATTGTTCCCGCCAGTTACCAACTCCTATTTATAAATTTTGCTAGATTCACCCCTGAAGGTAGCTTTAACTGTACACTGTGATATAAAAAATTAAAACTTGGCATATAAACAGCAATAACAAAACCATATAAATAGCAATGATGAAACTATAAACTAATATACAGTACAGCATGCCCTTAAAATTTGCAGGGTTTGAGTCTCAAAATGGCCATGAATTGCCAAATCCACGAGTATCATTTGTTGACTGGGAGGGGGGGTAAATATTTACTCATGTGCAAAGAAATGTATTTTCCCTCTATATCTTTTTGTCCTTAGGACAATTATTTCTTTTACCTTTATTGTATGTGTGTGTGTGTGTAGCCATAGACACACACACACACACAAAGTCATTTCATTCATGTGTAATTAGTTTATTGCATTAAGATATTTTAGTGGCACCTCTCAGAGATTTCATGTTTCTGCTCCAGCTGAGCATTACGTGTCTACTGAGTCTTACTTAAATCTTTTGAGTACCGGGAGTAGCAGCTTTCTGTAATTACAGATCACATAGTCTGAGTTCACATGTAAAGTAAACACTATGAAGATTATTGTATTTAGAATGAAACCAGTGATTTTTAATATTGTACAGGATTCACTATATGGTGTACGCAAGATAAAATATGATTAGCTGTGGTAAGCCCAGTGAATGCTTTATAAAGTACAGTACTGTATAGAAAAATGTGTTTTTCTTTGTACAGTGTGATTGAAGGAAACTGAAGTTGAAGTTTAAGAGTTTCTTTCTACAGAAAGCTGAAGTTGAAAATAACACCCTTCTTAATTTTTCAAATGCAAATGACCATCAGTAATAATTGTTTATAATACAGGTATTGCTGAACCAAATGAAGACTGTGAAAGGCAAATCACCTCTTCCACGTGTGATGAAACTTCTGGGGATTGTCTTGGTGACAGCCATCATCTGGGACATTAGAAGTGCAGGATCATTCTATGGTAATACATATAGCTAATTATTATTTATGTATGTATGAATGTGAGTGAATTGAAAAAAAAACAATCTAAGCCACTTTAACAAGGTTGAATACTTGTGCTATTGCTTAGAGACAGAAAAAGAAAAAATATTGTGATCTGAATTTAGTGACTGTACTGTAGAAAAGGGGAAGAATAACAAATGAACAGTGGTGCCACTTTTGATTTTTGGTCTTTTAATTTTCCCTTTCCTTTCACCCATGTTAGTCCCCAATATTTTCTTCCTGTTATGATATTCCAGTCAGTTGTCCTAGTTTTAACACTTTGAAAGCCAATGAATTTTGCTTGATTTAGGCTGTACTACTGAAACTTAAAGTTGTACACACACACACACACACACACACACACACACACACACACACACACACACACACACGAAGTGCCTCACACGCCTGTATAATATAGGTTTTATATTTTTAAATATATTTATTTAATAAAACTTTTAGATAAATTATTCAGGTTTATTTGAGTAAAGAATTGTTTCTAACCCAATTAGAACAGATTTCATAGACTCCTGCATCAACATTTCTTAAATTGTTTTGTAAAAGACTCTAGTCCTCACCATTATAATGTGTCAAAATATTTTGTTTAAGGATCGTTTATTGGAAAAGTCTTGTAAAGAATCTATTCAGGATCATCGTGGTATCAAATTCATCTCTCTAACACAATTAGAACAGATGATGTGAGGAAGGGAGAGTGGGAAGTGACTATTTTAGGGAAGAAGTGACTGCAGACACCCTCAAAAAGGGTCACCTCATTCATGATACAATATTGTTTATTTGTTATTCACTAATTAGAAAATTTACATTACTGTAATAATCTGTGTTTCTTAATACATGTACCCTTCAGAGTTAATATATTTTCTTTATGAAGATTTAATATCATATTCTGTCTTTTGATTAATTATTCAATTTGTTTATTCTTTAGGATCAAAGTTGGGACAAACTGTGGAAAGAGCAGGACTTGTTCCATATTTGGAAACTTTTGGACAAGCCTCCAAAGCTGCTTTTATTCACTCATACAAGTAAGTGGTGTGTGGGTGGGTGGATAAATTTTGAAGGCGGTCGATGCTCATTTTATCTAAATGAAGGGACTAGTAGTTTGAATCGTCTTTGGGTTTGAGTAAATATTTTTACATTTTTGTTATCATACGAGTGTCAGGCAGAAACTGGTCTGAAAGAACTACAGAGCTGTTGGCTTTCTCTTATTAAATGTAAAAGAAGGTGTAGTGGTAAATTAATTCAGGTATCTGCCTTACCCCAATTTCAGTATGACATATTTTGATACAAGTATCCTTCGCTATAGAGATGGGTTAGGTTCCTTGAAAATCATTCAGTATGTGAATATTCATATAGCATATAACATAACATAGGGAAAAAATAGGGTTAAGTTCCTCAACTATAAGAAATCCCCCAATATTATACCTACAAAATTGAAGTAGGTCCATAGACCATAAAAAAAATATACCTAACTATTGTACAAGAAAACTTCTGCATTATAAAAAAAAAAAATCACATACAACAAAAAACCTAACCATATACTGTAATTTAGTACATTACCTTAATCCCTAGGCTTTGGGTCATGTTATATGACGTGCGCCTGTAGAGGGGCATGCTTTATAAGCAAATATTCGTAGTGTGAACATTTGAATAGTAAGGGATACCTGTATCAGAAATGGATACTGCTCAATGTGCTGACTGACTTATAAAGTTATACCAACACAGCTCTTCAGTGTACAAATATCACTAGGCACTTGCAGAAGCAGTCTGTGATATTAAAGTATGGAAAAAATATGGATAAATTGAGAGGGGATTGATAATGATCTGACCTGCTTTGCACGGTGAAAAAACTCTGGATAGAACAGTATTATATGAACTAACACAGTTGTAGGTTAAGGTTGGGTATAAAATGGGATGTTTTATGTAATCTTAACAATTTATCAATGCAATGGTTGGGAAAATATCAATTTTATATAGTTAGGGAATTATTTAGATGATAAATGAGGATATGAGATAAAACTAGAATGTGGTCAATGAGAGTAGAACCAAAGATAATTAAAAGTGGTAAAAGGACAAAAAAAGTGAGTGCTTATCCAAAAATATGTAATCTGTATATAAGTTTGTGGCAAAATAATAGTTGTATATGATATTGTTTTTATGGGGATACAGGTACAAAAGCTAATAAGTTTTCTTTATTGTCCACAGGTGGTGTGTTATTAATATACCTGTGTTCTATATTCGTGGTTGTGAGCTTGCAGCACCATATCTTCTTTTGATGATGGAAAAAGTAGAGGGGATTATTGGTTATTGCTCAGCAGCATTGGCATCAGCTGAGGAATATATTCCAGTTCTAAAAGAAAAGGTAAATTGTCACTGTTTCTTCTATAATATGAACTTAAGGTAAAACTGGTACAGAGAGTATAAATGGTTGTCATTGCTTAATTATTCTTCATTAGATACTCATAGGATCCACCCCCTTTCAGTTATTTATTCATATGTTGATTAATTACTGTCCTACATTTGATATAAATAGAGGACTTGTTCAAGACTAAGAATTGAAGAGTTCATTTAGCACTCTCGCGCTTCTGTGACACACAAAGGTGTCAATGATAATCTCGTCCAATTGACAGTGATGCCCCAAAGCGTCATTCAAGAGAAACACATTCACAAAAATGAGTATAATTCCGATTGATGCTTGAGATTTTGTTGCATCTTTCTGGTAGGCCTCATCTCTTGATAATCCATCACTAATTGGTTACTTGGCAACATTCCAAAGCACACTGACCATGAGACATGAGTGTTGTCCCAACAGTGAAGCTAGAAGGCTGAGTGGGTGAGCCCTTTTAATTTTGTCTTGATATCCACCCCACACACTTGTGCCATCCATTGTACAGTAATATTAACCTGTAAACAAAAGTGTTTTAAGTATTTACAAAATATTATTTTATTTATTTTTTATGATATTTTGCATACAGCATTCAAATTTGTAACTGTCATGTGTGTAAAATATGCCATAATGACCTTCTGAAGATAGGATAAACATTTGAGCGATCTATAAAAGTGATGAAAAGTGTTGAAATGTTTTATGAATGTCCATATGTATGTTGATAAAGTGTTAATTTGTGAATTTTATATTTCTCTTTTTCAAACTTTTAAGACTTGTGTGTGAACTGTGTAACAAATTCCCCTCTGTGGATACGATAAATGTGTTTTTAACACAAATTTCACCACAATATATCCTGTAAAATAATAAGTGATGAAAAGTATTGTGAAGTGAAAATACCGTTAATGGCAAGAATTAAAGAGTGAACAATTTACAAAAAAATTCTAGATATTCTGTTTTTTTTATACTCATACTGTACTGTGTGGCTCTTCTGTGCAAGAAAGTCACAATGAGTCCATGCATTGGAGGGGTACTAGTTATAAATATGGTGGTGTACAAAAGTGTTGGTAGCCAAATTTTTTTAGAATCCTACATTCTTTTTTTTAAATTTCCATATGCCACACATAATTTTCAAGCTTCTCAAGAATCCATCGTCTTCATCAACATTTTACAGCCATTTTTCACACTTGTGTGGGTAAACTGTGATTACCTGATGGCAGCTGTCCTTTCTGCATGGTCTCTTGCAGTCTCTCACATTAGGTTCTTAACTCTAATGAAATTTCTTACAACCTCTCCTCAAGTCATTCTTGGCCTGTCCTTGGCTCTCCTCCCCTCTCCATTTAGGGTCATGCACCTCTTGACCTAATTGGTCTCCTCCATTCTCTCCACCAGTTGGGATCCTTTACTTGTTTGTGATAATTTGGCATCCAGGCAAATGGTCAACTTACTCAAAGGTGATGTAATATATGGAGGTATACCAAGCAGTCAAAGCAAACAGTGACATAATTATCTGCATCCAACACCGTCATTGTCAACTTCCCCCCACATACAACCTGTCTTACTACAGGAAAATGTCATTGTGTTGATCTCACTCAACCTGCCCCAGCTCTTTTCCATACTAACCAGTCACAACTTGCCTCACCTTGTGTGACATAGGAAGTAGGGTAGATGACCACTTGAATATCATTAACTGGGTTAGCTGTGAGTACATGCATCCACCAATATACAAAGGTTGCATTCCTTAAAATCCATTCATTAAGTAAAGTAACATATCAAATGTTAGAACCATGTATAATTTGGGGTTACGTTCCAGGGGGATGATAGCAATCGTATCAAATAGTTGAGCCTGTGTACTATTGGGATGTATGTTTCAGGGAAGGAAAATGTTGGTCAGCTGGTGTATTTGTTTCTTTGTTTTGAACACAAAGTTCACCACTACATCCTTTAAAAATAATAAACTTTGTTCCTGTACAGTGTAGCATACATGCATCTCGGCACTTCTTGGAAGGTCACTTGATCACTTGTCAGCTAATAGTTTTCATTCTTTAAAGTAGAAGGGGTGTAAAGTGAATGTTTGCTTTCATATAAAGAAAATGAAAGGTGTTGAAATATGACTTGTTAAAAAAAATTTTAATCAGGTATACATATACCAGGTAGAGTAACATTAATCATGGGGTAATACAGAATTTATGAACTTAAGTGTACAATATGGCTACTTTCCAAAGCCATTAAGTTTGCAGTGTTAGATTCTTGGACTCCTTCAGGGTATCCCTTTGCTCAGGATACCTGGGTGGTGTTGGTTAAATCCTTTTGCATGTGATTGGTGTATAGCATCTGGCTCTCCTTACATGAAAATTAAACTGACACTTTCCTCTACTGTTAATATATGTGCCATCTTCATCGAGATATTATGATTTCCTCATCCGTAAGGGAAAAAATAACAGCATGAATTTTCCAGTGGTGCATGATTTATGAGACAACTTGTATACTGTATCTTCATTATTCCATGAACTGGTCACACTAGTACCCCTGCATTCTCTGTTCAACCAAATGTCTGTCTTGATCCCATCTAAAACTAAAATTTCAGTTTTTGTACTTTATATCAAAATTTATTTTCTTGCACAAATTTTTTTCACTTGAAATTACAATACATCAGTTAATTATTTTAATATTTTAGATTGAGACATCAGTGCCTGGACTGAGAGCATCAGCAGGTCATTATGGAACTCTTGCTTTGGAAACTATGCAGGTTGGCTTCTTAGCAATCAAAGATGCATTGACACCCTATTTGGCTGAGGCTCACAAGTTTTTCTCCACAAGAGTGTTTGTGTAAGTATTATTATATGACAAAGCTTGTCATACAGTACAGCTATGTTTAACAGATTGTATATCATATTTAGTTCAGTGGCCTCCTGCTGGTATCCTATCTTCAGAGGAGAGGGGTCATATTTATTTATTTTTAGTATTGTTAATTTTTATAACTATAGTACGGTTATCAATCAGTCAGAGTACCGTCATTTTATCTGAGGGTTTGCGACCACTGTCTTCCTCTCTAATCATTTTGGGTCTGTTTTCACCAATCCTTCAAGGTTTTTTTTATCTCTGGAGACCCAGTTTTTAATTTCATTCATACATCCATCCCAGTCTCTGCCTTCCCCTGGACCTCCTACCCTCAACTTTGCATTAATATTTATATTATCGTCCCCTCATCCCTAATTATATGACCAAAGTATCTCATTTTTATTTTTTTGTACATATCAACTATTTCCCTTGAAGTTTTTGCTTACCTTAGTATGTCTTCATTTGTTTTCCTGTCAATGTAACTTATTCTTAACATATGCCTATAACACTACATTTCAAAGGCCTCTAACCTCTTTCTTGTGTCTGCTGAGAGTGTTCATGCTTTTGACCCATACAATAGTCCTTGCCATATGTACAACTCATGTTAATTCGGTATTATTCGTATTTTCGCATACCTATTTTTATCTGGAATGAATCTGAAATTAGAGTGGTTCTAAAAAGTTTCCTTGACTACCACATAAAATTTTCTATTTATAATTTGCAAATATAAATATTTTTCAAATGTACACAGTAAAAAAAAAGTACCGCACTGATTATGTGCGAAACAGTATGACACCACGGACGAGGGATAGTGGAATATGTATGGGCTTGGTATATGGTGCCTTGTAAGATAATTAATGTAATGGTGTCGATGATATTATGCTGGTTGTGTGGGACATAACTAATATGGCTCTCCCATAAGTAGGTGGAAACTTTTTCCATACAGGCATGCATACCAACCCTCCTGACACATCAGGTGATGTATGGGTCATTACGGAAGTCAGCAGACCCCCCCTCTGAGCGATACTTTTTTTACTGTGTGTACATACAGTAACTGAGTAATACATAAACGTAACATTTACAGCTGTCTTCCAAGAGAGATATCAAAATGAGCCTTGAAATCATCAGTAAGTTTCTCGATGAACTGAAGATGCATATGGTGATGATATTTCCCTCCTTTGGTTTGCTCCAAAGGTTTGGGGAAGTGGAGAAGTTCTCCCTGGAGATCGTGCTTGAAAAGTTTCAGTTTCTTCTGAAAAGTTTGAACAGTTGATATCAGATCACACACTGTGTTGTTTTCTCCTTGAAGCTTGACATTAAGAGCATTGAGATGAGATGTAATATCTGCTAACAATGCAAAAACTCTAATAACTGGTTTGCCTTGGCACTCATTTGGTCTTTGATGAAATTTTGTATCTTTCCTGGCACTGACTTGTGTCAAAAAGCCATGAAGCAGGCGATGCTACCTTGATGATGTTACTCGCAGGAAGTTGACAAGTTTCATCAACTTTTCCATGACCTCAGCATACTCCTCTCCAAGAGTGGCACACAGGACGGATTGGTGGATTATGCAGTGGTACAGTAACATGTCAGTGTGGTCCTCTTTCAAGTGTCCAACCAGTCCCCTTCCACTTCCTATTATGGATAGAGCTCCATCTGTAGTGAGCGACACCACTGACTTCAGATCTATCCCCCATTTTGTTAGCATCGCTTTTATGGCCTCATAAATGTCCTCTCCCAGTGTTCATGCTTCTAGGTTTGTCACAGGTCCTCACAAATTCCCCCTGTTTATTTCATCATAAAACCTGACAAATCACACAAGCTGGGGTCCGTACCAAAGCAAACCGCAGTCCACCAATTGATACCCCTGGTCTAAACAATGCATCTCGTACAGACAGTCACTATCACACATCCCCGGAATATTTCTGGGTGTTGGGAAAAGTTTTCTAAGAATCTAAACTACATATGAAGGCAGGATTCAGAATGAGACACATGCTGGCTGACACCCATGTACAGACATTCAACTGCATGTATGGACTGATGCTGGATTTTGATATTTCTGGTGAATAGAGGGGTGGTCCTCTAGATTCATGATCACCTTAGAGAGTCCAGAAAAGCAAATTACGGTGCATAGAGGTTCTACTGTAATTGATAATTCGATCGCCCAACCATGAACTAGCAAATACTGATATAATACTTTAGCCTCAATATAGTGGGTATTTACTGTACTTACATATATCATTCATTAGATTGTTAAACTAATTTCCTTGTTTCTTTTTAATACAGAGGACCTCTTGCCCCAGAGAAGCTGCAGGAATACATGATAGGAGCTGTGGATTATTTGAGCCAATTACTCTTAAGAATGCATTCAAGTCTTGTGAGTGCTCTGCAAGATCCTGATACTACTACAAACAAGACCAGCTAATTATTCATTAGTTGGGATTTTGTTGGTTTCCTAGTGTATTGTATATATTATGTAGAGTTAACTTAGCTGGTTCATTTACACATGTAGGATTATCCTGATAGCTATTCTATATTCAGGTTATTTATGGTATTTGACATTTAAGTATTAATTTTGCATTCCAAGAAACATTTTGTGACAAGACATTTGTACAGTACTGTCAAAGTAGTGCCATAAAGGTTGACACCTATACATACACTGTAATTTGACAATAATTTAGCAGCTATTCAGTTCATTACCTCTAGACATGTCCTGCCAGGAGTCTCATAAAATGAATGAAGGTCTTGTACATTTTTCTTAAAAACTGTTTATATGAACTGCCCCCCAATTTTTTTTAATCCATTTGGATTATAGATTGCTTAAAAAATGGTGGTAAACTGGTTAGTAGTGTGACGCTGCAGTGGTCTCATAGCAGCCACGGTTTGTTCGTCTCCATTTTATATTTTTGTCAATGACATGACTTGTGCCTTATTGCCCACAAGAGATTTATCTACATGCTTTGCTGTGAAATCTGTGCATCGTTTATTATTTGCAGTAAAGGTGGATTTAATTCTAGTAAGTAAAGATAGATATAGTCAGTGCTTTCAATTACCTTTATAATGGTATTTTTTTATGGTGAAAATTTATACTTAATTATTCACCAGGTATCTCTAGCCCAGTGGTTCTCAACCTTGTTTGCCCCATGCACCCCTTTCACCATGTCAGAATGTCATTCCCCCCTCCTTTCCAAGATTGTCTGCCTCAAAAAGTGCATTCCAAATAATATGCATATAATACTGAAAATCCTTTATTTTTTCCATATTAGTACATATACATGTACAATTTTACATGGATTATTTTTATAGTGGAGTTTTACAAATTAAATGCCAATTGAAAATGTTGATGGATTTATAAAACTTGAATAAAAGTAAAAGTTTTTTTTATTTATAATGAATTACTTAACAGACCAAACTGAAGCATAATGCAATAAACAAAAAGTTCAATAGAATACCAGGATATTGTAAATTTGTAATTAATTTTATTCAGATGAAGATTACAGTCAATGAGAAACCTGTGATTGTTTTTTCTTCGCCAATTCTGGGATACGCGGAGGAGTGCTTGAAAGGGCACAACGCAGGTCATTTTCTACCTCTAATCTACTATGTTGCTTCGTTTTAATTTGCAACAGAGTTGAAAAGCCTGACTCACAAAGATATGTCGACACAAACGGAAGCAATGCACGGATAGCTCTTTCTGCCACTTTTGGGTAGGAATCGCACATCAAGGGCCAAAATTTTGTGATTGATTTCTCATCGAACATATCTCTTGCTCCAGAATCAGTTTCCCCCCCCCCTGCAAACCTGAATTCCCCCCCTGGGGGGAATTCCCCCCTGTTTGAGAACCCCTGCTCTAGCCAAATTAGATAATTGTAATGATATTTAATTTCTTGGTGTTAACAAATTTTTTATTGTACATATCGTTACAAACTGTATTGATATGGCGTGTTATTTGAGCCATATTTCTTTGCAAGGATGTCAACAAGGATTAGCAATTTTGTAATAGAGGTACAGTACTGTGCTGACTGCACTTAGCAACAACTCAAATAGGATATCTTAGCGTCCTGCCTCATTTTCAGTGCAAATACTGTATTCTTACATGTATCATTGGTTTGCTCTGCAGTGTGGTTAGAAAGTGGTGATCGTTTGTCTTTAAATTTTATAAAATTTTCTTTAACTCGGTTACTTTTTTTTTAGTGATGTGGTGTTATTGTTTTTACTCACAAAATATATCCTTGTTATTAAAAATCAATAAAAATCAATTATTTTAAAAGGTATAGTATCTTCCAGTTACCATGAAAATGAGTATTAGTTAACCTGATGGCTTTTTTATATCAAGAGTTTGTAATAATATAATTTTACAAGTACAATATACAGTAAATTAGTGCAAAATTATCTCGATTCTGCACCACATTTTACTACTGATTCATATACTGTACTTGAACTATAAGTGAGATTGTTTGAAAGTTATGATAGTTATATTTTTGTGACAAAAATTATTTAAATGTGTGTTATGGTCTGAATGCATTGAACTGTAAAGAAATTTTCATATTGCACTATACTAAGTGTAATATCAGCTTCAGTCAGTTTCTTGGAAGCAACATTTACAGTGTTATTTTCAAATAAAGGTTTCATAGAATTGTTTTTCGTTATTTAGAACATAATAATATTTGTGTTTGTGTACTAACATTTCTCTCATCTCTTCTCCAAAGGGCACTGTTGATAAGGATGGTTCAATCTGGGGTCTCCAGTTAAGTTGCCCTATTAAAACATTTCCTTGGCTTAGTCATTTCCCCTTACAAGACCCCATTCCAGTATATATTATATACTGTACAGTAAACCCTTCAGTTTGGTGAATTCAAAGTTGGCGGTCAAAATTCAAAGTACCCTGCCCTCCATTTTGGCGACCAAACCCTCGCCTTTGGTGAGAATTTAAATTTAAATGCATTCACAACTAATAATTGTAGAATAATAAGTGCAAGATAAATCTCGCTTAATATGGTATTTTACTTTCGGACATAGCGCGCCCAAGAGTTATAAACTACTGAAACATTTAGATCTCCCTATTCTGAGCATTTTGAACCCCATATATACCAGGCGGAAATGAATAATAGCGACAGTTGAATTTAATTGATTTTACTTACTTTTCAGTTTTTATCTATGTGAGGTGTTATCGTCGTGAAAGCGAGCTAATTATGAAAGTGTTTACATCACGCATGAGTGATATCTTCCAGTCGTGACCAGTGATGTATTGATCTTTTTTTTTTTTTTTTTTTTTTTATTGGGCACTACATCCTTGTGTAAGGTGAAGCACTGAAGCGTTTACAGTGCCCAACAGGGAAGCATGCTAAGTTCATGCTTGCCTTTATGTCTCATGAGTTAAGGGCGTAGTGTAGGGGTTACGTGATATTATGTGTCTAGCACTCAGGATGGGATGGATGGAAACTCTAGGTGGTGGTTTTCATATATAAAATATATTATATGAAAGACAGTCTGGTGCTGGAGATGCCGTGTGGTGAGGAGCTTGCTTGGAAGACACGTTAGGTGAGTAGCTTGTGAAGGAGGTAGATGTGCAGGAGCTTCGTCAGAGGAGATGTTGCGTGTTGCTGTCCTCCAGGTTGAATGAGGGCTGGACAGTGGGGAGCTTGCTTGGAGGTGGTGTTGCGTGTTCAGGAACGTAGGCCAGAATGAATCTCAATGGAGAGATAGAGCTTATATACACAGCAGCCGGAAGTAAACCCGTGGGAACTCGCCGGTTTCTTAACTCCGTTGCTAGGGAAGACGTAGCAGGTGGCGACCCCCGGTAGCTCGCTTGGTTGCTAGGATACTGTCGCGTTGGAATGCAGATGTAGTTGTAGGGGAGAGATCCACTACAATACTCCCCCTCCCCTCCGGGCGCTACAAAAGACTTGCTGTCAGCAGGGTTGTATCTCATATGTGAGACATAACGGGCAGGGGTGTGGACGACTCGGCCGCTACAGGTGACGACTCCGTCCAGTGAAACAGAACCTGTGGGAGAATTGGGGAGAAGGAGGGTTGTTGATTAGAGAAGGTTGTACAGGCAATGGTTGTTGTGTTTCAATCGCGGCTGGGGCAGCGTCCTCAGGGGCACTGGCTGGGTTGACTGGATCAAGGGCGACGTCAGGAGGAGGGTCCATGACAGGAGCAGGTTCTATGACAGCAGTAGGGTTCACGACAGGAGGGTGGTTTATGATAGGAGTAGGTTCTACTACAGCAGCAGGGTCCAGGACAGGAGCAGGGGGTACCTGAGGGTAAAAAGAGGGTGCCCAGAAATGTTGTCGGCGAGGTGGTGCTGCTCTAAATCGCAATGTTGGGTAGATTGGCGGAGGTGGTGCGGGATGAATGTGTTCAGGGCGGTGGGAAGGCTGGCGTGGGGCAGTAGCGTTGAATGCAGAAACTGCCTGATGTAGTGTTTGTAGTAGGTCGTGACGGGCAGCAGGAGTGAAGTGGTCAAGGTCAGAAGTAAGGCGTGTGATGTGCTGCTTGATAGTGGCGGAGGTTATGGCGCCTACCAGTCTCCGTCGATGTTGCTTCGCCGTGTAGTTGCAGGGAGCCTCACAGCGTCTAGCTTTAGCGCCAAAACGTTGATGGTACCAACAGAAGGTAGGTACATTGTGCTAGGGGCTGGCGGCGGGGTCTGGGGCAGGACGGGGGTGTTGGGGTTGGTAGGACACAGTGCGTGGGGCAGGAACAGGAGAAGAAGCAGGCATGGAGGAGCAGAGCTGTTCAATGGTGTCCATCCTGCAGTTCAAAGTTTGCAACAGGTCCCTGATGTCTTGCTTGTCTGGTGGAATGCTACTTCTCTGAGGAGCGTTGATTAGGTTGACAAAACCGGTGCTAAGTGGAGGTGTGACCACTGAGTGGTTTGCGGCAACATGGCGCACAGCAGTGTTTTCGTTGAATATTCTATCTGCCGCGGTGTCAACGAGTAATCTACTGACGGACAGGGTGATACGTACTTGTGTGGGGAGCTTTTGTGCGTGAAGCTGGTGCAGGATAGGTTCGGGAAGTCTGTCTGCATGCCGGGAGTTCAGCCTACACGTCTCCCAGAGAAGTCCCGGAGTTGAGTTTCCAAGGGAGATAGAAGATAGGTTCTGCAGGAGACTGGGGCTGGTCAGTCGGTAATGCGTTTTTAAGGCGTCCCGCAAGGTGGCGAATTTGTTGTTCTCTGGAGGGTTGGAAGTAGTCCGTGATACATGTGTGGCGACTTCCGTGGGCAAGGAGGAGAGCAGGGCACCGTACTTTTGCTCGTCAGTAGCTTGTGAGCTGATGAGGATTGCTTCCACATGATCTAATCAGTCCTCAACGTTGTGGTTGAAAGTCGGTTGAGAGATCCGTCCATCCTCCATCCTGTGTGAGTACGTTTTTCCGGGGGTCACCATTTGTAGGGGTTACGTGATATTATGTGTGTAGCACTCGGGATGGGAGAGATGGAAACTCTAGGTGGTGGTTTTCTTATATAAAATATATTATATGAAAGACAGTCTGGTGCTGGAGATGCTGTGTGGTGAGGAGCTTGCTTGGTTTACTGTATGCACCGTCGGTCAGTAATATACTGTTTGATTTTGTTGGTGTTTATTGTCTCAATACAGAAGGCACCAATACCTGAAATGTACAGAACAGGAATTAACACACATAGGCTACACCATCTCACACATATACTAGTACACACACTCCAATGACTATATGCTTGGAACAGTACATCTTCCCCTCCCTTTTATTCATGATGATAGTTCTGTATTGCCGTTCTCTTTAGTTCCATGAACAGCCGGGTTTATATTCGTCGCTTGTCTCCATCCATTTCGGAGTCATCAACTTCATCCGTTCCAGAGCTTTCACTTCCACCTGTTCCGAAGTCTTCAGCTCCATCCTGGTATTTCTTCGGTTTTACTATAGTACGACGTGGTCGCCTAGCAGCGAGTGGTTCCTCCTCGCTGTTCCCATCCTGCCTGGACTCGTCCATCCCTGTCCTCGGCGTGTTGGCGGTTTCGATGGGTGTTGTCGGTTCTCTGCCGTTTTGTGGCTTCCGTCTGTGTCACTGTCCCCGCTGCCGTCATTTCCTCCTTGGCATCTCCCTGGAACTCTTCTCATCTGGGATGTGCTGCGTAATATCTTCTTGGGTCCTCGCTGTAGAATAGCTGAATCGCCTCGTCTTTCACTTACCGTCCACGGTTTAGGATCATAATTAGTTGAGAGCTTGTCTTTCTTGGTTTGCTTCAGGAGCACTTGATCAGTTGGTCTCAATTCCGCTAGTTTGGACTTATTCCGGTTGTCTGTCCAGAGTTTGTTTCTCCTTTTCTCTTTTATCTCTCTTGCGTGCCACATCCCAACATGTCACTTGTGTGTCTCCTAAGTCATGACTCACTTGGGGGAGTTTCACCTTGATATTCCTTCCCATGAGGAGTTTGGCTGGCGTCTCTCCCGTCATCGAGTGTGGAGTGTTCCTGTAGTGCATCAAGAATTTACCGAGGTGCCGTCTCCAATCTTTCCCCTCAGTATGCATCGCTCGGAGTGCTTTCAACATGGTTGCGAAGAACCGCTCGATTTCCCCATTTGCTTGGGGATGATTTGGTGTCACTTTGTGGTGTTTTACTCCCCATTCTTCACAGAACTGTGCAAACTCCTTGGCTGTGAACTGTGGTCCGTTAACTGACACGATGACCGCTGGGATGCCGTGTGTAGTGATGCATCCTTCGATCAGGGTCGTAACGGTATCGGTGTTGATAGTTTTGACCACAAAGGCTTCTGGCCACCGGGATCCTGCATCGATGATTCCCAGCACATAGTCACCACTAAGGAACGGTCCACATATGTCCACGTGGATTACCTCCCACGGCCCCTTCATCTCGGACATATTCACCGGATTGGCTTGTTTTCTTGTGTCGAGGCTTGCACATGGGATGCATTGTCTGACTGCCTTCTCCACGTCCTTGTTGATAGTTGTCCACCATACCTTGCCTCGGAGTAGCACCTTGCTCTTGACCATTCCCAGGTGTGTGTCATGTGCGAGTTGCATCGTGCGTCGTTGTAGTGTTTGGGGCATTACGATCCAGGATCCCCTCAACACGAGTCCCCGTTTTGATATCAGTTCTGCACGTACGACGTACGTGTTTGAAAGGCTCCGTTAGTTTATCCATCCAGTCATTCTTGGCGATGGCGTCTTCGAGGGCTCTTATAGTCGGATCCTTCCCTGATTTTTCGAGAATTTCAGACGGTGTCATAGTTTTCGGGATCCCGTTGGCAACCACATGGTTGATGAATCCCTCTGCCAGTTTCTCTTCTTCAGAGATTTGAGCATCGAATGGCAGGGGTTGTCTAGACAGTATGTCTGCCGGATTGTCACTTCCTTTGATGTGTTGGACCGTGAAGTCGTACTGTTGCATGCATAGGATCCACCGGATTATACGGGCTGATGGTTTGCCTTTCGGGCTGAAGATGGTCGTTAGCGCTTTGTGATTGGTCATGATGGTGAATTCTTTCCCGTAAAGATATAGATGAAATTTTTTACATGCCCAAACTATGGCTAAGGCTTCCCTCTCCAGCTGACAATACCGTCTTTCCACCTGAGTTAGTGTTCAGGAGGCATAACTGATGGGTTTGAGTACCCCTTGGTGGTTTTGGCATAACATTGCCCCTAGTCCTACCGGACTAGCATCCACAATTAGTGTGGTTGGTAGCTGAGGGTTGAAGTGCATGAGTGCCTCACTCTTCATGACGGCGTTCTTCAGCTTGTTGAAGCACTGCTCTTCCTTTTCTGTCCAGGTCCACATGCTGTTCATTCTCGTCAGGTTTTTCAGAGGTTCGTTCAATGTCGCTAATTGTGGTATGAATCTGGTCAGGTGGTTGATCAGACCTAGGAAGCTGCGGACTTCCTGAACCGTTTCTGGCCGTCTGAAACTCTTCACGGCTTCGATTTTTTCCTGTCGGTTTGATGCCCTCTTTGGATACAGTGAATCCATGGAATTCAACTTCATCTATGTGGAACACGCTTTTGTGTTGGAAGATGGTCAGGTTGTTCTCCTTCAACTTTTGCAGTAATTTTTCCAGAGCACTGCTGTGTTCACTCGTATCCTTGCCCCAGACCAGGATGTCATCTGCTCCATTCCGACAATTCGGACACTTTTGCAAAATCTGTTGTAGCAGACGTTGTCCTTGTTCCGCGGCTGATGCAATGCCCATGACTAACACCTTGTACCTGTAGATACCGGATTCGCACGAGAATGTTGTTATGTCTCTCGATTCGGGGGTTAGCTCGATATGATGATAGTATGAGTTTAGGTCGATTTTTTAGAATTTCGTAGCCCCGTTAATTTCGCTGAGTAGTTGTTCCATATTTGTCATAAAAGGTCGACGAATTTCGCTTTTGAAGATTTTTTTTTTCATTATTTCTTTGTTTTATACCAAACATAAAGCAAACGGAAGCAAATGATACCAGACATATAACACATTAGGTAATGAAATACAGTTTGTACGGGTGGATATATCCCAAACTATTTATATTCTGTAACTGATAAAACTCAATATACTGTAAATATGCACAGTTTGGGAGGGGGGGGCGGTAAAATGCTCAGGGAAAGTCACTGGACTTTGCGGCCACACTGACAGGTGATCAGCTGTTCCCCCCCCCCCTCCCCCCTACATCCTTGTGTGAGGTGAAGCGCAGAAGCGTTTACAGCGCCCAACAGGGAAGCATGTTAAGTTCATGCTTGCCTTATGTCTCATGAGTTAAGGGTGTAGAAGCCTGAAGAGTCAAGGGTATAGAAGCCTGAAGAGTCAATGGTTTATGTCTAAGCAAGTTATTGGAAGCTCCAACTCCCTGAATACGAATTCGCATTTTCGATTTACAGCAGGTACCCAGGTGAACAGGGACCAAGAGGACTAGGAAGAATGTCCAAACAACTTCCGCCGGCCTGGGAATCGAACCCGTGACATCTTGCTTGCGAGGCAAGAGCGGTACCATCAGCGCCCCGATCTTGTTTGGTGATTACTGGTCACTTCGCCTTTAGGCTCAGCTGATATTGACAGATCAGCTGGACTCTTAATTCGTACTGCCAGCCAGTACGGTAGACCTCGCATTTTTTTTGGGGGAGAGCACCCCTTGCATCTTTGTGTAAGGTGAAGCACAGAAGCATTTACAGCACCCAACAGGGAAGCCCTTATGTCTCATGAGAGGAGCAAGGGAGGCTGGGAAGTGTGTCCGAACAGCTTTCCACCGGCCCGGGAATCGAACCCGTGACATCTCGTTTGCGAGGCAAGAGCAGTACAGAGCTCGCATTAGAATATTATGACAAATTAATTATACCTTGTCCATCATTGGCAGAGATTTTCACTCATTTGCACCAATTTCTTGATACTTGATGAAAGAGGATGAAGACGTTAAATATTTATCATAAAAGGTCGAAGTAAATATGGGGAGTAAAAAGAGGGTCGGGTCGGGTCGTGTTGCGTCTGTAACAAAGCGTGTTCAGCATTTGGGCCTTCGATGTTGAGCGGCAGAAATTGGACAGTGATTACATAAGATCATCAAGATCGTCTTAGTGATGTGAAAGTGTAAATCGATGTAGGATTTTTAATGCTAGACGTGATTGTATTTTTGAAAACTCAATTTCCACAGAGTTGGAGGTACAGCCAAGCAGGTCGGGAGGCCAACACCCCACAACCACAAACTCGCTGCCATATGACAAAGCTTTTATTTTTTTTTAAGGAGTTGTGGTCACGGCTGTGATAAAGGCCAACCAGGGAGTGTAGTACTGTAATTTTAGGTAAATCAGTTCATAGTGTCACTGCCAGCCTATTCGTGTCATAGGTGCCACAGAGATTTTAAATTTCATTTTGTTTGTGTGCTTTCTCAAGGACTGAATCTGTGTTTATAATACACCACTCACAGGGAGATACAGTGCACACAGTGATAGTTCATAGTGTCATCAGAGACCGCGGAAGTTGTAAATAACTTTAAGTGAGCGCTAACTAGCAAGCAAGCTGGAAAGGCACCGTGCCAGTTGAAACCAAGTCGAGTTATAGGTGCCACAGACTTTAAATTTTATTTTGTTTGTGTGCTTTCTCAAGGACTGAAACTGTGCCTACAATACACCATTCACAGGGAGATACAGTGTACGCAGTCGCAGAAGACAACGCTATAGGCAACAGAGAGTAGCTAAGTACTGTTCTTTTTTTTCTTTTTTTTTTCTCTCTACTTTTTTTAATAGGTGTAATCTACACAGTCTGCACCCCCCCCCCTCTCCCCCACAATAACAATAACCATGAGTATAATATGTGATTACTGCAGGGAGAAGTCGGATATGGAGGATACAGGCCTGACTAATGCAACGTTTAGGACGTTACTAACTGCCGTAAAATATGATGGCTGTTGCTGGTATTGCCCTGGCTGCATAGTCAAGGTGAGTGAGGCGATTGCAAGCCATAAGGGAACGAGTTCTCTAGGGACGATAATAGATGAAGCTGGAGCCCTGAGGTTGCCAAACTGGAGCAAGTTGGGAAAGAGATCCTTGCTAAGACTGAAGAAGTAGCCGATAGAATGGAGGTGGTTGCTAAGAGGAGTTATGCTGACATATTAGCAGGGCCACGGGAGGGGGCGGGGAGTAATGCAGATCAGAACAGGTTCTACAGCAGATTGGGACTCTGAAGAAGTGTGTCGAAGAAATGAAAATTAACGGACCTACTGTTAGGGGAGAGGAGGAACACCAGGAACGTTTCCAGTGCAGGAACAATGTAATAGTTTTTGGAGCCCCAGAGAGACAGATGGAGGGAACTGTGAGTAAGGTAACACACAAGATGCTGTTTCAAAATATTTGTACAGAGGTTCTGAAGATTTCATGAACCCCTCAGGATGTGAGGAGGCTGGGACAAAAGTAGGGGGATAAGCCTCGTCCCTTCAGGATCACACTAGCGAGCGGGGAAGAGAAATGGCAGGTTATTCGGCAGGCAAAAAACTTAGTAAGGAGCGAGGCATTTCGGGATGTATTCATTCACCCAGATCGCACAGTAATACAGAGGGAACAGCACAAGAAGCTCCTGCAGGACTTGAAGCAGAAGAGGGAGGAGTCAAGGAAGAACGGGGACGGGTGTACATGGGTTATACTCAGGGGAAGGGTAGTGGAAGCAAGTGTGCCGACACAGGGCCAGGGGGCAGCAGTGCACCCTCCACCCGCTCTAACCCCCACCCGGGAGGCGGCACCAGCTCCACTTATACTGCCAGACTGGGGTCACTAAGTCTAAGGGGATAACTTAACTCTAATCTTAATTTCTAAGGGTCGCTGCCACCAGACCCCCTCTGGACAGCATGTAGCTCGTTAGGTAGCGGGCAGAGTGGACTAGGCATTGGGTTAGGTTTTCCATTGACCAGATCGATAAGGGTAAAGAAGGGTGAAACCAAAACATGTCTTAATTGATTTATTCCTTATAAAACATACTGGTAAAAAACACATACAACCACACTGTGGACCATAATTCCAAGGCCTGTCCCAGGGTATAGCACTGGCGCCTCTAACAACTGCTGTTGTGGTCGGTTACACTCCGACCCGAGGTGGGTTTGGGGTCCTCGGCCCACGAGGTAGAATAGAGCCGATTAATCATGCCGAATCAGCGCCATCACTCCTATATTGACCACTGCTGGGTATCCACCGGCTCCGAGCGACCGGTGGGTTTCAATTAAGCCCACCCTCGGTCTGGAGACAAACGGGGCAGCGTCAGGGGACGCGCTCCCTGGCCATCTTGAGTTTATATACCCCTGAGTTGCCAGTGATCGCTACTCACGCAATGACAATAATCACAAACAAACTAACTGTTACTCATTCAAAGATGACCCTCAGTTGACAAAGGTCTGGCGAATTACTAAAGTTGATTTAAACAGACTAATTCAAGGTTGCGTTTGCCAGTAGAGAGTGCAATAAACGTAGTGACAACTGTGTTCGAAGGCGGGACTTACTGGGAGTGATCCTGAGGGTAAAACAGATGGGAAATACACGT